GGGGAAAACCAGCATGGATAGAGAGATGTAACAAAATTATAAACAGAACAAAAAAAGCAGAGTATTATGATTACCTGCTTTCCGGTCCAAAGAGGCACTGGTTTCAAAATAGCAGGCGTGACTGTCAATAGCTCTGCATTTGAAGCTGATTGTATTACTTTCTTGCCCGATCTTCCAGAAAAAGAACTGAGTACCATGTCAGTCACGCCAGAACTGAAGAGAAGCTGATTAAATTCATCTTTGTCCAAAAATGTGTCCCTTTTGGTAAGCAAAACGGAACTGACAATATGATCCTGTTGGGTACATGCAAGGTCCATAAATATGACTGGTAAACAACCCAATTCGTGAAATGAATACAAGGATTTGAAGAAATAGCTTGGATGTACAACCTGAATTAAAGCTCGAAGTGGATCACCATTAGAAGGCCTGGAATATTGGTTGTTGGCATTGACAATATTGTAGGCCTCAGCACGTGAAATCTCATCTTGTGGAAAGTGCACATTCATCTCATCACCATCAAAATCTGCATTGTATGTACTGAAACCAAAGTAATTTTTTAAGTCAGTCTTGAGATACAAGAAACTGCAAGTGGAACATCAACGTAGACGTGGAAAAGGTCCAAGAATGTAAATTCGAAAAGTGAAAGCAGACAATGACATCTGGAAGAGACGGAATTCTTTATATCCACGGTGTCTACCTGCAATTTGCATAGTGGAGACGAAGTGTTTTCTCCCCCTTAAGAACACGGACCATGTGCGCCATTATGCTAGGTTTATGTAATGTTGGCTGCCATGAAAAAAAAAAAAAAAAAAACACTTGTAAGTTGATACAAACGCAGGCATTACTGACCAAATGAACAATGCTGAGACTGCAACTAATACTGAAGAAAGAAATAAAACAAATGTACTGCTTCATTATTAAATCTTTTTAAAATGGCGTAGTAAAAGACCTCAAAAGACTTGAGAAACATTTTAGATAGTCAATTATAATGAAATAAAACAGTATGTGTCCACACCTGCCGATTCACAAGGACGACGTCACCATCTTGCATATGTCGATAGACAACTTTACCTTCAAAGTTGACATCACAAGTTTTTCCAAGTTCTGTAGTGACTCCTCGTGAGGAAAATAGCTTTCTTGCAATTGCTATTCGTGCTTTTCTGGTTGGAGGCAGCTTCATTGTAGATACTTTGTCAGAGTAATGTGTTGCTCCCGGATGAATGTCAGGACCATTAATGATAGCCTCCCTCAACTTTTCAACATTCCAAGGAGTCACCCTCTGCAGTAATACATAAACATCCATTACCGGAAAAACAAACATAAAGTGATACTGCAAGTCGGACATATATATTGTACATCTAAGCGTTCCCACTAGCCATCTCCACATAGTAATGGGAAAATTGGAAGATGCAAAATTTGGTAGGAAATCAAAGCTATAAAGAGAGTCCGTAGGCAATCACTGTGGAAAGAGTATGTTTTTTAATTTGACAAATATTACAAGCAAAAGTAAAAGCTGTCTTCATCATCACTCTTAAGATCAGTAAACCAATATTTCATCCATATAACCTTTTGGGGCGTGTGATTTATAGTAAAAGGTTTACTGATCAGATTCAGGTAAGTAATTATATGCCGGAATAACAAGTGAAATTTACTGGTTATGATATATGACATCATACCTCGGGATACGTCAATTTCAAAGCAAAACAAGGAGGAATTCCAATGTCATTGACAGCGATAAAAGGATCTGGAGATATCACAGATCTGCATGCATGATTCACTCTCTTTCCCATCATTTTTTGCCGAAATAGACCCTCTTTCTTCTCTAGAGTTTGACATATTCCAGTACCCTCTTTCTGGCTTTTAACTGTAAAGAAAAAAAAACATGATAGTCAGTCTGCACTGATACAAGAAAGCAGATAGAAAAGTGGGGGCAGCCAGCTACACATAGCTAGAAAAAAATCAGGAAAATCTTAAAAATAAATGCACCTCAAACAAGTAAATGAGCTAGAAGCTAACCTGTGGCAGTTTTGCTATCAAACAAGACATTGACTGATTCTTGAAGATTCATCCATCTGGAAATTATCTTGGGTTGATCTAATTTGTTAGTACAGGCATTCCCAAGGGATATATTGGATTCTAAGACCTTATTTAACCCTACGGTTTGAGGATGCTCCATAACCTGTAAGAATCAAAATCGTAACTACATGAGTTGAAGGGAATAACCATAATGGAAAGGGAAAATTATGAGAACACTGAAAGTGACCCACAGAGGAAATGCCAACAGTTATAAAATGACCATAAACTCCAACTTAGAGGAAACAAAAGCACCCAAACAGTTTCATTCTTTAGGAATTACTTACGCTATCGCCTCCTTTTGTTGGAGCTCTAAATTTAGTCGGAGGCACAAGAATATTCTCCAAAAAGAACATAGAATAGTCGACATTTTCAGATTCACTCTGCCAAAGATCACCAATGAAGGAGCAAAACTCATGCTCATTTTCCCACAAGCCTTTTAAGATTTTCTTGACCTGAAACAAGTGTAAAGCAAGACATTATAAATGTGGAATATTTTGGTCGTCAAATTATAAAGTTAAACCATATCAGAAACAAACCTCACTCGGGAAAAGGTCTCTTCTAGTATTATTTTGGTGCTTTGCAAACTCTTCAGCTACTTCTGAAGATTTTCTTTTTTTCTTTTCAGAACCATCTTCAACTTCTGATAATGCATCAATACCACTGTCGTCAGAGTCATTGGGATTTTCCACACTGCTAGCGGACTTCTTTACCTTAATCCCTCTAATTACATTAGCTCCAATGGCGGACGCTGACATACCAACCTGTTCAAAAAGATTGTTATTGATAGGAATATCACAACTTTTACCGATATCAAGATGGAGCATAACATTGAGAATTAGAACGCAGATAAAAATATAAAAGCGCGCTGGACCTCGAGTGCACACATGTACAGTATAAGGTCCACGAGTAAGACTTTAAAGGGACAAACTACAGAAGTACGGGTGCAACAAATGTAATCTCTAGAAAAAAGGCGAGTGTAGCCTTCAAACCAAATAGAATGTCAAGGACATAATACTAACGAAATGGGAACTTGAACTGTTAATAAAGGCATTGTCAACGGTATTTCTCTTCAAACGCCAAAACCAGTTGTAAAAGTTATTGTTCCTTAGGAAAAAAGAACAAAAAGAAAAACAGGAGCATACTGACATTAATGGCATTCGGCCTAATCATGCTTTTGAAGGCAATTTCACACGCACACTAAACTACAGAACAGAGCAAATATCAGGTTAAATAATAGAATAAATGAAGATCTAGAACTCAAATCACTTAAAGAAAACGGACTATATTCTAAATTATGCATGCCATAAAAAAACTTCAAGAGAACGTACAATGCGAACCCATCCGAACATAGGCTTCTCTAGTTTAGGAGGTTTTGCTTTGCAAGACCCACAGCTTTTTGATTTCAACCTCAAAAATGTATTCATGAGGTCGGTGACTTCAGCAAACTGAAGAGATGTCCATCTCTGTTTTCCCATGTCAGAATCTTCACATCTCTCCTTCTCCATTTCAGAATCTTCACATTCTTCTGATGAATCAGTGGCTCTAGAATCCAGCTGCTTAGCGGCAACTAAATTACCTTTCATGATGAGTTTCAACTGAGAAACACATCTTTCAACCTTAAAATGAAACAAAAAGCAAATAAGTAAGCGCAAATGAGAGACAAGTCTATCCAACTTATGATATATATATATATATATATACTTACGTCATTCTTATTTGCCATAAAGTGATGACAGAAGAAACAGGTCCTCTGCAAGAAGTTATAAAGGAGATTGAACAGCAAAGGGTGGTAAATAGGATAGACAAGCTCGATATGCCCACAATGTCCTGGACAAACAAGACTGAGCTGCCCACATGATTTACAGCTGCATTAAGAGGGAAAGGAATGCTTTGATTACGCAAACAAAGCCAAACATAAATGAAGAGAGAAACATGGGGAACAACAAACAACATTATCAGAAAGTATCAGCTGTAGCAATTATCAAATATCTAACCAACGTCCATTATAACTAAAAAGAAAGTCTTTATACAAAAAATCTGTCAAAAAAAGAGTTATTTATAGCTCGGCAGAGATTAAAAACCAGTTATAGTGAGCGTAAATCATATTGAAGAAGACTTACGATGTTCTATCATCTAAAGGACCCATTAGAGGATCGTAGAGACCACCAGGTACAGGTCTCTCAACGTTATCGAGTAATACGGGATTTGTAACTTTCATAACACTATGTTTTCGAACATCTTCCTCTGTCATGAAACTAAACCTAACGGATTCGACCACCTGGGAAGCTCCCTGGAGAAACCAAAACCTCGAAAACATAAGTTAAACTATCCAAAGCAAAAAGAGAATTCGAACGCCGTGAAATCGAAAACTCAAACAAACCTCTATGGTTTGAGCTTGAGCCATTGCGTTGCACAGGACCGGTTCTCAAGTTGTGCGAACTGTGCCACTGAGTCCACGAAATCAGGGCTTCTGTAAGAACGGAGAAAATTAGGGTTTATCAATCTCTATGCTTTGAAATTGACACTACCGGCGTTTAATCAGAGTTTAATCGGAGTTCGAAAGTGAGAGAGCGCGGCGCTACGAACCTTGAGAGTGGTTCAAGGTTTTTCTTTTTTTTCTTTTTTTTCTTTGAACTCGGCCTGAAGGGTTTTAGGGTTCAAGAAAACAAAAAATAAAACTGTGTATTAAATTAATTATATTAACACCGACTTGAGTGTTCTCTATTACTACTATTCTACCTTAAAAATGGAAATATAAGTTATAACTTTTTTAAAAAATCCGTGTGTTAACGAAGAGTTTTTTCATATAACATTTGTTACGTTTTGTCGATGAATTTCTTGCAATGACATATTTTGTCTAATGAATCTACTACACTATCAGTAAGAATTTTTTTTAAGGAAAAAAAAAACTGTTTTCGAAAAGGAAAGTCAAGGATCAATCCCAAATTCCAAACTAATAATAGAAAAGTTATACAAGGCCTATGCACTTGAGAAAAAAAAAAAAATCCCAATGGTCTATAGGGATAAATCGTTGACCCTATACAACAATCGACTAAGAGACACACATAGGCTGAGTAATAGTAGTAGCAGTAGTAGTAATAGTAGTAGCTGAACAAAACAGAATTGATGATATTAAGGGATTTCAATTGGAGAGTTTCTTTTTTGTTTCTTATAACAAAACTGACACGCTTCTTTGTTGTGTTTGTTGTTTGATCTCTTAGATCCAGCTTTTACTTCTGCTTCTCCATTTCTGTTTGGGAAGCCGATTCTGAGTGGTGATGGTCCTTTGGCTTGGCTGGAGCGACTTTGGCTGGGGTCGAGCGCTCTGACTGAGAGGATCGGATCAGGATCTGCATACAGAGAGTGATGATACCTAGACCAAGCGCCGATAACGCGATACCTTTCCATGAGGAAAAGAGTTTTGCCCAGTGTAAGAACTTCATTGCTCCAAGAGTTAGTAGGCATGCCCATGATACAACCACCTGGAATTTTAAAAAAAAAAAAAAAAAAGATGAGAAGTGATATGTGAGTTTTTATGGATGGATCCATGAGATTGTTTTGAGAGACTCACTGCAAGTGACTTTATGGGACGGCCAATGTTCTGTTCTTGCTGACCGAGGAAAGTGTCTGCAGCTATGTGTTTGTCTAACAATGCATCCTGTATCACAACAGAGCGTAGTAGATGAGAGAGAGTGTCAAAATATACATTTTTTCCTTAGCTTCTCTCTTTTAAATCTTGACCAAGGAAAAATCAAAAAATCCATAATCTTTACCTTAGCCACAAACTGATCTCTGCACCACTGTGCAATTGCGTCATCTGATTCAGGCAAGTCTTTCATCGAGTGACACTTGATGTGAACATGCACCTGAAAACAGCAGCAACGGTTTGGGGAATAGACAGGAGTTACAAAAAGCTTTGGGATGCGATGAGCCCAATGATTTCTTACACATTATGGAAGCAAAGCTGAAATATCACTCCTTAAACCAGTAATCCACAAGATAAAGGGTTACATTCGTTTCAGTTGCAGTGAAAAGAAAATGGATAATGAAGTGAATATTATGAAATTCGTTGTGAGAAGAGTGAAACATGTAGATACTATATGTTGCTTAACGTGAGCCCTATTCATATTTTTACTTGCTTACCACAGAAGGTTGTCCTTTAAATAGTCTTAGCATCGTTGGGGGCGGAGAAGTTTTTGGAATAGCCACAGTCATATCATAAATGGCTGGGACAAAGGAACGCATATTACTAACAGCTGACACAAAACCCTGAAATAAAAATACAAACCAAGTCTAGTTATTAGGGCAGAAAACACAATATTATCCACCATGTCGGTCTGATGAAGGCGTAATTATAAAATAGATCCACATATAAAGGCAACAAAGATCCAAACCACGCATTGAGATTTGGATCAATAATGGTAGCCATTTTGCTCTTTTAAGGTCACAGTGAAGATATCAAATTGCCCAAAGAATGGCAAAAATAAAAATAATACAACTTACTTTGGTGCGAGGAATCAACACATTTCGAGGGACAGGCAACTCAGAGGAGGCTGCGTACTCTTGTGCTGCTTTAAGTTTAGCCTCTGTAAAGCGGGTTCCCTCAACGAAAAGGGCTAGCCAGAATGGTCGAGGGAAATCGTTCAAGCGTTGAAGACCTGACTGTAAATTTAGATAAACAAACATAACTCATGCTCTAGAAATGAAGATTCTGTATAATCAGGCTAATGATGTATAGCATGCTTATGATCATTTTACACGAGCAAAATTAGATGTTTCACAAGAAGAATGTAAGACCATACCTTTAAAGTACTTTCATCCTTTGCCCAATTTCTTTCCAGAAACAGATACTCCGAGAACCACATTGACCAGCCTATGACCTGTATGTGTGCGACAATTATATGCTTATGAATACTTTAGAGTATGTAACAGGATAAAAAGGGGAAGAAGTGGATGAACCTAAAAAAATGATATTTTTATCAATCCAACGCCAGTTATCAAGTTTCTAACTTACACCAGAGACTGAGGAATTTATTAAAGATCACTAGTTTCTTTAAACTCTAGCAAGCACTGCAGTAAACTAATAGATTCACATACTGGAAGAAATTTGGAAGACTTCTTCATTACAGCTAATGCGCTTCCCAGGCAACCTGACCTCTGCGAGGAAAAAAAAAATATGAACAATAAATTAAAAGAGGTAAGCCGTATAACATGCAGCCTGTTAGAGCAAATAGTATGATGCTATATTCTCTCTTGTCTCATCAGTGGACATTCGGGGCTGTAAACTTCTACCTAGGAGAATCTAAATTCACTAGATACTAGAAGCAAGATAATGGTCCCATTGCACATATACAAGATTGATCACCAGGAAGTCTATGTAAATTCCCATGTATGCATTCAAGCAGAAACGGTTGTTTAGAGACAAAATGCATGAAACTGCGAGATTAAAGTATGTACCTGAGCCAGAATCCATCCCACAAGCCAATCAATATCACTTCGGTGATTACACACTACAAGAGCATGTTCTTTGCCTGGAAGAAAAGTATAGAACAGTCACTGAAGTTATAGATTTGTTCATATATAGGACTTTTATGTTTTGATTCCCACAAGCAGGAACTTACCCATTCGATTGAAGGTCTCATTATCAGCAAACACTTGGATCTAGGGAAGAAGGAAAAGGAGGTTTCAGAGGAAGTCATACACTCAAAGTAAGATCAACAAAAACTACATATTGTCATGTGTACACTAACTGAATAATAAAAAGGATGCCCCTAATATGTTCCTTGACTTATATAAGCTTCCGTAATAATGATACGCAGACAATGGTCTGCATCCTAATCATTTTACATAATAGGAAAAAAGTTTATGGGTACCTTTACTCCTGCCCACCAGTCAACGATCCAGACAAGCTCCAACCACAAGGTTTCTGCAACCACTCGGTTAATTTTTCTGTATGTGTTCTTAGACAGGGGACGAATGAGGACATAGCAAATTGCCTGAAATAAAATGTTGTAAACATCAAACTTAAGGAAATGAAATTCAGAGAGAAAGCTCTTTGACACCTAGGCATGAAGATTTCTTTCCTCAAGCCCAAAACTTAGAATCTGTTGACAAACATTCTAAGCCTTAGAAAAAATGAGGTTTAGCATCTTAATCTAGTGAATCAACATAAATCTGAAGGAATTGTTACTTAAAATCGCTGAATTAAAACAACACTCTTCTGATCAGTGCATGAAGATCTACAAAAATGGATTTTGAGCTTAGACTGTGTAGTCTCACTCTCTCTCACACGCTCTCTCAAATTCTAACAGCACCGACAGAAATGAAGACCCAATTCGGCGACGGAAACCCTAAAAGCAGTGAATCAACACGGAGAAGGTAAAAAAAGAAGAAGAAGAGGATCTACAATGCAGAACATCAACGGAATCTAAGACGAGTAACACCAGAAACGAATCAGACAAGGACTAAACATAGAAAGCTTCGAAATTAGAAAAACCCACCTGAACGAGATTCACAGCGAGACCAGATATGAAGAAGAGAAGGCCCAAAGGCACAATTACAGCTGCAGCCATCACCATGGAAATGCCTACAAAAAACCCAGCAAGCTAGTGTGGGGGGAACGAACCAACACAGCGAGTAGGTAACCCAAACTCGTTCCGAGATCAGCAATGGCGCAATTCACCCCAAGCCCAGATTCCAAAACAGCTTGCAGAAAATTTAAAAGGAGAAATTTAATAGCCAACCAGAAACAAATCGCAAAATTTAACTTTGCGATTTAATGGGAGCAGATAAAAATTGGGAGAGATTGAAAATTTTCAGAGTTACCGGATTTTATTATTCGTTGATTGAATTATATACGGAGATGCGTGTGTGGAGACGATCACGAGGACACTTGAAACACTTTCGAACACGAAATGAGCGTTTTTCTTATTATTTCAGTATAGCCCCTCAATTTGTTTTCATATTTTAATAACGTCCCTTCTCTCTTATAGTTGATTTAATCGACCAACTTAATTGCTGTCTTCCTTGAATTCTGAATTGGGCAATTAAAAGTATTCATATAGGAGGAGTTGATTTCTAGACGCGATCAGCAGAGTAATCCTCCACTACAATTAGTCCACTACCATCACTTTTAAATTTTAACCATGATTTAAGTAATCTGTACGGTCCGTTTGTATTGCATATGAAAATATTGAGTTAGTTTCCATGTGCATGATTACTTTTGGATGTGATAAAAAATGGTGTGTTGTGTTGTGGTTTATTGTGGATTTTGTGATTTAGCTGGCAAACATGCAAGAAACATTTTATGTGTACGTGTGTTCCCACTCCAGATAAGTTTACCAATATCGCTTGGTATTAATAGCATCTTGTCAAAACAAATATTACTAACTGTATACTCTTCTTAACTACATCTATTTTCTTACAACAAAACAAAAAATGTCGCTAAGATCCGATCCTTAATTATGTTGCGATTTATTTTCCCATGCCTGGCCCTAGTCTAAGTTTTGCACCTTCTTCCATATGTTTCTAGTTCACTTCTTTTGTTCTTTGTGGATTTCATTTATTTCTATTTACATAATTGGCATGGTACAGACTATTTATGTGCCGTGTAAAGTATAAGAATCTTTCGTTTGTAATAATTAAATGAGACTTAAATACGTTTGATTCTTTAACACTGAAAGTTCATTTAAGTAAAGTTCAAACATTTTTAAAAATAATAAAATTTTTGAATGTTCGAAAGAATATTGTTTTTTTTTGGGGTAAAAAGAAAGAATATTGTTGAAGTGGTTGATCTATCTATCTAACCCCAAAAATTTATATATAAATAAATGAAAAAAATTGAAACAAACTATTAGAAAAAGTTGATATTCATATTATTTATATCTAGCTGCATTTTGTTCACCGCTTTATTAATATTATACAATATGTTTTGCAGAAAAGAGGAAAAGATAACAAAAGAACCAAAGAAGGGTTGTTGAGTTTAGTTACAACTTTCTTATGTAAGATCATTTTTCTTGATTCATGTAGCATAGTCACATGCAGTTCATTATATGTGAATGTATATAACTACATATTCACGGCAAATAGTCGACTGCCAGACAAAAACTGGTAAGAGACATGTATATCTTCTTGACGCATGCATACTTACACATGATTTATTCGTTTGTTTGTTTTTGGCAATGTGGGATATATTGTTCAATAAAAACGCCATATTCTCCATTCAATGATAAAACTTTTTCGGTGGATTATTCTACTCGTTAAAAATATTTATGGGTTATTCAGTTCTGAATTGTGAAAGACTCATGTAAGAGAACATGGATGTGGGTGTTCTAAGACCCATAATAAGGCCCATAACAAAGAAAAAGCGGATTAAGGCGTTTACGTTGTTACTTCAATGATATTATCACACGTTTTGATTTTTTTCTCGACAAATAACAATTTTTATACACTGCCATGCCATGAGCCGCTTGTTTTTAAAGCAAAAATAGGTTGGTTCGAAGAAGAAGAATGAGAATAAGAAAATGATTGGTGGAAGAAGAAGAAGACCGAGCCGTTGTTAAGGAAAAAAAAACAGAGGTTGTTTCGAAGCCGGATGAGAGAAAGAGAGATTTTTTTTTTTTTTTTGTGTGTAAAGGGCCTGAGAAGAGGTATTAATGTTATATAGCGATACCATCTACGGTGAGTGGTAGTGTGGTATAACAACTTTATAAAACTGGTTGGATGTTGTTTTGGGACTGACTATCCAACCAAAAAATGGTGCAAGTGGGAAAGGAACTTAAGACATTTTCTTTAATACGCTTTCTCCCAAATCAGAGACTGTAAACGTAGTACATAAAGGTTAACACGTATTGCATGCCAAAGTGGTCGAATAAATGCTCGATGCAAGGCCGGATTTGGGCCAAGCCAATTGAAACATTTGTTTCAAGCCCCCAAATTTTTTTGTCCAATTTAACTTAAAATTTTTTAAAAAAAAAAAAAAAAAATTTCTCGACGGCAAAGAGAACGTGTGCAATCTTACTACTATAAACAGAGGAAGCCTTCTTTGTGGAATATACACCAGCGGTATTTCGTTGACCTTCACCTTACAACTAAAATAAAAAGAAAAATCAAAACCAAAGTTCCATAATTAAATACGTTTTGAATAACAATATCATCGTCCAGTAACATTACAGTATCATGCTCAGATCAGTATGCATCGCCATTTTTTTTCAGTTTTAATTCATTAACATTCAAACTTCTCTCACGTTTTCACCTCATCCCATGAGCTTTCTCTTCTCGCTCTTTTTTTTTTCAATGGAATATCTCTGTTTCAATCTAGATTCCAATTATTAACAGCGAATTATGATGGATGGCGACAGCTTGACAAATTCTGTCAAGATTTTATTTAATTGGTTGATTGAAAAAGTGGCAGAATTTTTTCAACTTGAATGAGTTCTCAAATACATTTTTTTCTCTTTTAAATCAAGGTTTTGAATATACAAGTTGTGAGCAAATTTAGCAGCCCCATCTAATATAAATAGAGTAACATGAATTGCCTGTTTTTAGAGAATCTCAATTGCAGTACATATTTTTTACAAAATGATCATTTTTGTATCTAATTTTAGAACCGTTTTTCAAACTACACAAAACTTTTGAGGCCGTCAAATATAATTTATGTATTAGTATCGTAAATAAGGGAATAAATGGTTACCACCTAAATGGATCAGTCTTTCTCAAAAAGACTAGTAGGATGTAGAAATGCAAGATGTGAGATCCTCCAATGAACTAAAGATAAATTGAAAAAAAATGTCGTTAATTAAGGAAAAGAAAGATAGAATAATAATTTGTGAATATTCAAAGGCAAAAAACCCTTGTTACAAAAATTAAGAATATTCAAAGGCAAAAGACTTTACTTTGGCGGAGTCATCGCTGGGATCACAGCCAATTATAAAGCGGTACGTAGGCAAACTCACGTGAGTTTAGCTTTCAATTAGTTAATGAAATACAAACAAAATAAAAAAGATGCTTCAAAAAGCGAACACATTGCAATCACCGGGGCTAAATTGGTAAATTACGCAATTCCCCGTTAGAGGAATGCGTCACCCACCGCCACCACGGTCTTTCTCAGACAACGAAGCGAGAATTAAAAAACAGGCAGAGAGAGACAAATTTACCGTATTGCCCTCAGCCGTCAACGCCCCCTTAATTATTCCACAAACAAAAACTCTAATTCATTTTTTAATCACCGTTGTTGTCTTCGTCGTCGAGTTAAGTTTTCAAGAAATCCGGTTCAATTCGATTACTAGTGATAACCGGAGAAATGGTCACAAATTGAAACCAAAAGATTGCTTTGACTGGTTTAAAAAAAAAAACTGTACATAATCAATTGATGGGAAACTATGGAAAAAGAAAAGGAAGAAGCCGGTTCGAATCGGTTAAGGAGATCAAAATATTCCGGGAAAGGAGGAAGGTGAATCAGGTGATTAAATTAATAGAAAGAAAGGGGAACATGACGCACACGACGACCATTTCCATAATCATTTGCTTTTCTCTTCTCCTTCTTCTTCCAGAGATCACACCCCGTGGCCGTCTCTCTCTAATAATTATATATATTTCCAAGATGCATCATCATCATTCATACAGTAACAATTATTTTTCAAATCTCTTTTTAATTAGCTGATAATTATCATATAAATCCTCCAACACCTCCCATGGTTGAGTTTAGTTGTCAACACATGACGTTCTCCCTCAGAGCTGGTGAGTTTTGTCGCTCTCTCTCTCTGTCTCTCCTTCCCTTTTCTTAAAATGTTCTGTCTCATTCTCGTTATTCTTGTAATTTAGTTTTATAGCTATCTTTATTTTATTTTAATCATGTAAATCAGTTTCGGATCCGGTTAATGTACGGAAACCTCTGTTGAAATCCCCATGATTCTCTTTGTGTTTAATCGGTTTCAAAGTTAAGGTATTTTCTGGGAGCCATTCATTAGTGTTCAAGCATTTCGAGTTTGAATTGGTATCTTTCATGGAGAGACAAATCTCCATTGTTATTCGGTCAAAGTTTATTGCTTTTTTTTATACTTATGTTAATAATTGCGCCGACTTGTAATTATGGTTATTGCCTAACCTTCTAGGCTATCTTCCCCTTATTTCTGCTCAGTTTCTTTGACGATTCAGTGAAATATATTTGTTTTAGTAATTATCATCCTGAATTTACGTTTCGTGAGAAGCTGGGTTTTGTGCCAGACAGGTACTAATCTATTATAATTGACTTGTTTGTGTGATCCAGGGCAAGTTTAAAAACTATTTGAAGACCATGTTTTCACACCAGAAATGGAAGTGCTCATGGTCTCAGATAGCCACTGTTGCTTCTGTGATTGTTCTGGTTTCACTCGTTCATATATTTCTTGGCCCTGTGGTGCCTTCTTTTGATTCTGTTAGTGTAAGGCAAGCTCAGAATCTCTCTGGTACTAGTAATGATTCAATCAGACAAGTGAGTGAAGACTCAAGTAAAACAGTTGTTGCCTTTGATCGCCGGTTTCCTGCTGACTTACACGGTGCAGTAGTTTATCGAAATGCCTCATGGAAAGCCGAGATCGGACAATGGCTTTCTAGTTGTGATGCAGTTGCCAAAGATGTTGACATCATCGAAGTAAGTCTTATTATTTTTGGCAAACTTGAAACAATGTTGTTTCTCAGTTTCGTTATAAAGGTTGTCTTTTTCTTTTCTTCTTGGCAGCCAATTGGTGGAAGAAAGTGTCTGAATGATTGTAGTAGTCAAGGTGTTTGTAACCATGAATTTGGAATTTGCCGTTGCTTCCATGGATATACTGGTTAGTATTTATGCTTTTTGAATCTACCTAAACCCAAAGTTGATAGCTTTGTAAATGATCAAGTCAAACACAATCCTGCAAAATAATTAACAGCAGGAATGATTTTTGATCTCTTTATTAGTCTTCACAATCATTGCCATTGGTGTTTTTAAATGAAGTTACTTTGACCGGTTCTGTGTAGGCGAAGATTGTTCACAAAAACTGCGGTTAGAGTGCAATTATGAGAAAACACCTGAGATGCCATATGGTCGATGGGTTGTTTCGATTTGTTCTAGACATTGTGATACCACAAGGGCCATGTGCTTTTGTGGAGAAGGCACAAAGTATCCAAATCGTCCAGTGCCAGAGTCATGTGGATTTCAAATCAAGTAAGTTTAGCCTGATTCTTTCCTTCTTTAGTCTTATTGTTTCTCAAATCAACCTCTTTAACATACACTCATATTTTCAGTTCACCGGTGAATCCTGATGAACCTAAAATGACAGATTGGTCGAAACCAGACTTGGATATTTTAACAACAAATAGTAGCAAACAAGGATGGTGCAATGTGGATCCAGAAGATGCATATGCTTTAAAGGTGCAAATCAAAGAGGAATGTGACTGTAAATATGATTGTCTTTGGGGACGGTTCTGTGAAGTGCCTGTACAATGCACCTGTGTTAATCAGTGCTCTGGACATGGCAAATGCCGAGGAGGTTTCTGCCAGGTAAAATACCGTATCCACTGTCACAAGCTTATCATCTTTGTACTGAGAGGTTTGCATATTCTGAATCTAAATGTTCCCAACTGTGTGTGCGCTTCAGTGTGATAAAGGCTGGTTTGGAACAGATTGTAGTATTCCATCCACTCTCTCGACGGTTGGAGAGTGGCCACAATGGCTTCGACCAGCTCATCTCGAAGTTCCAAGTGATAAAAATGTCCCTGGAAATCTCAGTAATATAAGTGCTGTGGTGAAGAAAAAGAGGCCTCTTATATACATCTATGATCTACCCCCAGACTTCAACAGTTTACTTCTTGAGGTCACAATCCAAACTTTTTATTTCTCTTCTAAATAAAGTTGCCTTTTTTAGCTTTTACTATAAAGTTTTTAATCTCCTTTGGTTGGAATTTGATGTTGCAGGGCCGGCATTTTAAACTTGAGTGTGTTAATAGGATTTATGATGACAGGAATGCAACAATATGGACAGATTATCTATATGGCTCCCAGGTTTTCCCTAAACTCGAGTTGAATGCCAAATAATTCAGCAATTTTCTCCAGAATTTAAAATGAAAGATAAAACATTTCCCCTTCTTTACCTATTTTCTCATTCTGAAGATGGCATTCTATGAGAACATTTTGGCCACCGCTCATCGTACACTGAATGGCGAAGAAGCAGATTTCTTCTTTGTTCCAGTTCTTGATTCGTGCATTATAACTCGTGCTGATGATGCACCTCACCTTAGCATGCAGGTTGGGTCGAGAAACTAGCCTTGTTGATTCTCTGCTTGCAGAAATCTAGTGCTTATATATTGTTTTTATCACTTTCAGAATCATACTGGATTGAGAAGCTCGCTTACCTTAGAGTTCTACAAAAGAGCTTATGAGCACATCGTTGAGAAATATCCATACTGGAACCGCTCATCTGGGAGAGACCATATCTGGGTAAGCTTGTTTCTTGATTTCTTACACGGATTTCTTCACACTAATGTGGCTAAACTTTCTGACGCCTGAAAAAGGCAGTTTTTCTCATGGGATGAAGGTGCTTGCTATGCTCCTAAGGAGATATGGAATAGCATGATGCTAGTTCATTGGGGCAACACCAACTCTAAGCATAACCATTCTACAACAGCTTATTGGGGTGATAACTGGGATGAGATATCTAATGAGAGGAGAGGAGATCATCCTTGCTTTGACCCTCGCAAAGATCTCGTGATTCCAGCTTGGAAAGTTCCTGATCCATTCTCCATGCGTGCCAATTACTGGGCAAGGTATATTTTCTGGTGGTTCTTGGACATTGTTTCAGTCAAATCGCTTAAAACTCAAAGCCTGAAAGCTTTTTTGTTCCTCATCATTAGGCCACGGGAGAAGCGGAAAACACTGTTTTACTTCAATGGTAATCTCGGACCTGCTTATGAAAAGGGAAGGCCTGAAGATTCGTAAGTCTCTTCTTAAAGAATCATGTTGAAACCAATAAGCGTAAACAGAGCTGTGCTTCAAACAGCATTTCCAGTGGAGATGTATATAATGGTCTAAATAACATCTAATGCAGGTATAGCATGGGAATCAGGCAGAAGCTAGCAGAAGAGTTTGGTTCGAGTCCTAACAAAGAAGGTAAGCTTGGGAAGCAGCACGCAGACGATGTCGTTGTCACTCCATTGCGTTCTGACAATTACCACAACGACATAGCCACTTCAATCTTTTGTGGTGTGTTCCCTGGAGATGGTTGGAGTGGTCGCATGGAAGATAGTATCTTACAAGGATGCGTCCCAGTCATCATTCAGGTATTACCTTGACCTTACCACTTTCTCTATATTCCAAAAACTTAAGCTATCTGATCTGAAAATGACTGTTTTTTTCTCTTTCTTTTCATTGATGTCTCTCTATTAGGATGGAATCTACTTACCTTATGAGAACATGCTCAATTACGAAAGCTTTGCAGTTCGTGTTAGCGAAGACGACATTCCAAGTCTCATAAACACTCTCCGAGTAATCAATTTCATCACTCTCTCTCGCGATCTTGTCTTCAACTTACTACTCCTAGCCTCAGACTGACTTAATCTGAAATCTCGCACAGGGATTCAATGAGACGGAGATACAATTCAGACTGGCCAATGTAAAGAAGATATGGCAAAGATTCTTGTTCCGAGACTCGATCTTGCTCGAAGCAGAGAGACAGAAAGCTAGTTTTGGACATGAAGAAGACTGGGCTGTTCAGTTCTCTAAACTGAAACACGACGATATCTTTGCTACTTTCATACAAACTCTGCATTTCAAGCTACACAACGATCCATGGAGACGAGAGCAAGTCGTGAACCGGACTAAAGAATACGGATTGCCTCAAGAATGTCTCCAGAAAACCAGCTGATCAAAATCACACAAAAAAAGAAAAAAAAGTTGGAACTTTGTAAGTAAATACCTCAGGAGCTGCAGAAGCATATACAACATATACTTGGCAGAATCATTGCCATTGATTCTTTTTGAAAAGGAATAATCTTGGGTTTTGAATTTTAGGTACACACCATCAACCATATCATGTAAACAACACGCAGTTTTTTGTTTTTTATACTGTAGTTTCTTGCTTTGTCTTGTCAAGGTCTGGTTTTGGTCTCGGTTCAACCAAATCATTAAGTTCATTCCATATTTCGGTTCAACCAAATCATTAAGTTCATTCCATATTTCGGTTCAACCAAATCATTAAGTTCATTCCATATTTCGGTTCAACCAAATCATTAAGTTCATTCCATATTCCGGTTCAATCGATGACTCGAACTAGAAATTATGAATTGTTCAATTGGGTTTCGGTTTTGTTTGGTTCAACAGATGTGAAACCAATTTTCTTATGGATCGGTTTGAAAGGTTTTATTCGTTGAATCCATCTGTTTTACCCGGTTCGGTATAATCTTGATTCAGAACATATTTCAAGTGGAGGGCAAAATGGTCATTTTAAAATTCACCTGAACTCAAGTTTGAAAAGGGTCTTCTGTTTCCCCATACTCGAGTGCCGGCGAACCCTAAGACTTGAAATCCCCTCTTTCTTCAAATATGTCTCTCTCTTCCCTCTCTCTCGACTCCAATCCGAGATTCGCCGTCGGCGGTCCATGTTACCGCCGTTATCCTCAGCTTCACCATCCTCGGAGCTTCGTCGCTTGCTCTGCTAAACGTCCAGCTGTCTCGGCGTCACTGAGCGTTGCTGCTGATTCAGCCGCCACTGAGTCTCTTGGACGGATTGGATCACTGAGTCAAGTATCGGGTGTGCTAGGTTGCCAATGGGGCGATGAAGGTAAAGGCAAGCTCGTTGACATTTTAGCCCAACACTTTGACATCGTCGCTCGCTGTCAGGTAAAGTTGACATTTCTCAGCAGATTCTTACTATTTTTCGTTAATCTTAACTTCTTAAGGAATCATTATCTGGGGTCGATTTAAGCTGAGATTTTGTTACTAGTAGTTTGTTTGTACATTTGAATTGAATTTGTATCGACTGCAGTTGAAAAGAGTTAAGTCAATTTCTATTCCTGATTGATTAGTTCATGCAAAGATTAAGGTTTTTTTTTTTGTTTGAATTTGTGACTTGGCTTACATAGGGTGGAGCTAATGCTGGACACACTATATACAACTCAGAGGGAAAGAAATTTGCTCTTCACCTTGTGCCTTCAGGTATACTGAACGAGGATACTACTTGTGTGATTGGCAACGGAGTTGTGGTTCATTTGCCAGGTCTCTTTAAAGAGATTGATGGTCTGGAGTCCAATGGCGTGTCCTGTAAAGGAAGGATTTTGGTCTCTGATCGCGCTCACTTGTTGTTCGATTTCCATCAAGAAATTGATGGGCTCAGGGAATCTGAGCTTGCGAAATCATTCATTGGCACCACCAAGAGAGGAATCGGTCCTTGCTACTCTAGTAAAGTGATAAGGAATGGTATTAGAGTGGGTGATCTCAGGCACATGGACACTTTGCCTCAGAAGCTCGACCTTTTATTATCAGATGCAGCTGCAAGATTTCAAGGGTTTAAATATACTCCAGACATGCTTCGGGAAGAAGTCGAAGCATACAAGAGATATGCTGAGAGACTAGAGCCCTACATTACTGACACCGTTCATTTCATGAATGACTCAATTTCTCAGAAGAAAAAGATTTTGGTCGAAGGTGGTCAAGCCACAATGTTGGACATTGACTTTGGTACATATCCTTTTGTTACTTCTTCAAGCCCATCGGCCGGTGGGATTTGCACAGGTCTTGGTATCGCACCCAGAGCTGTTGGTGATCTGATTGGAGTGGTAAGCATGATATCCACTCATAGATTTTTCTTTCTGCACTGGTCTTTAAATTGTTTAACCTATGTTGTTAGGACTTTGATAGCATTGATGTTGCTCATAAATTGGCATTTACTCCTTATAAACTTAATGTGCAAGCAATGAAAGAGATATGAAAGCGTTGTGATGATTATGTTTGTCAGGTAAAAGCATACACTACAAGAGTTGGTTCAGGCCCATTCCCTACAGAAAATTTGGGTCCAGGTGGTGACCTTCTTAGGTTGGCTGGACAGGAGTTTGGCACAACGACAGGTCGTCCTCGTCGGTGTGGCTGGCTTGACATTGTTGCGCTTAAATTTGCTTGCCAAATCAATGGATTTGCATCGCTTAATCTCACTAAGCTTGATGTACTTTCGGACCTGAACGAAATCCAGCTGGGTGTGGCTTATAAGAGAAGTGATGGCACCCGTGTTGAATCGTTCCCTGGTGATCTTCGTCTTCTCGAAGAACTGCAAGTAAGTGTTTTTCGCTGACGTATGTTTGACTGTCTCCTTTAGTGTAGGCAGATCATTTACTTTTACTTGTTGCTGTAGTATCTGATAAAGTCCTAAAAACAGAGTTTCCTCTTACTGTTAAGAAAAGGGTCCTTGATTGTTATTGTAAGGATGATAAATAACTCTGTTTATTTGTGCAAATGTTTGTAGGTCGAGTATGAAGTCTTACCTGGATGGAAGTCTGACATTTCCTCCATCAGAAGTTACGCTGATCTTCCAAAGGCTGCACAGCAATATGTTGAGAGGATAGAAGAACTCGTAGGTGTGCCCATTCATTACATTGGTATTGGGCCCGGCCGTGATGCCCTTATATATAAATGATTTTTAGGCTAGGCTTTTTTGGCTCCTCCACAGTCTTAAAGAATTGATGAAGCATCAAGTTACTGGAAACTGTTACTCGTTTTGGAATGACTAAAGTGTATCTGTTGCATTGTTTCTTATATTGGAATGAAGAGGAATTCTGTGTTTAAGCAGTGAGTTTGTTGAATTCTTGAAGTTTACGCTTTCATAATTGATCTTACTATATTCCTTCCATGGATAAGCAATCGATCCTTTTAGGTCTGTAGATATTGTTTAGACCTGGTCCAAACGATATCAACTGAATAAATATAAGCCAGCTTCTACGTTTAGGGTCATGGTGATCATGCCTAAATCCCTTAGATTTTGTTCAGATTCTGATTAGTGCTGGCAGGTGAAGCTCTTTGAGGGGTGTAAAGCATCATGTGATGCGGCTCTGTGTTATTCAGTTTTGTCGTTTTCTTTTCTCGACAGAATGTTTGTGCTGGTCAATTTGAAGGCACATCTTGGTTTACAGGTAAATGATCTGTTCCTACCACCATGATCATTATATATTGTTTCTTCTATTATTTCTTCAAAAAATTTGATTTTTCTCCATGAAAGGGGATATGGCAGGTAAGCTTTTGCATGATTACTTGCACAAAACATATAACACGCTTTTAGGACTGACTTTCACTACTTTTTTCAACTCTTGAGGAAAAAATGAACGAACATGCTTAATTAATATCCCAAAAACAGAACTCGTTCATATTCAGAAGTACACTGACTCATTTTATTGCTGCACAGACTGCACTCTGAGCATATCCCTTTCTACCCATGCAGCTATCATGTTACACTATTCCAAAACACTACGCTAAACCTAAATCCATATGTGTACTTCTGAATCTGATTCTACAGTAAAGTAGCTTTCACTCAATCTAAGCTTCCGCAGAAGTTCCAGATGGAAGGGAAACCTAGATCGTCCTCAAAATCATAGCTTCCGAAATTGCTGAAGTCGAACTGCATAGTTGAGGATTCACTTGTTGGCATCTCAATCATTGTGTCCCAGCATAAACTCTGAGCTTCGAAAGGACTTCCAGATTCTTCTTGCTCGTTCCAGGGCGGAGTTGAATGACACTCTGCTACTTCCCTTGCTTCTGCTTGACTTTTATCCTTCATGATTCCCATCTGCTGAAGAAACTCGTTCAGGTCGATCTCTGGTTTCTTCGGATCATCATCATCATCACCTTCCAACATCTTGTCTGTTGCTCCCTTGCTTGTCTTTTCATCAAGAAGGCTAGTGTTAGTTTTCGATTCTGTAGAGGAAGAGCTAGAAGAATAGGATTGAGATAGAAGTCCGTTTCTCTTGAGCTCTTCTAGTCTTTGCTGGATAATGTGAACACTAGGCTGAGCATTCACATTAAGCATGACACGAGAAGGAAACATAGAGATAAACTTCCTTGAAGGTACCCATTTAAACCTCTGAGTGTTGCTCAGAGGAGGTCCTGGTTTCCGCTGAAGATGAGGTAAGTTGAGATAAGCGTCGTGGCCGTATAGTTTGAGAGCAGCTTCATCATAAGCCATGGCTGCTTCTTCAGCTGTAGCAAAAGAGCCAAGCCAGAGCCTTGCTCTCTTCTTGGGCTCTCTGATCTCAGCAACCCATTTGCCCCACGTCCTTTGCCTGACTCCACGGTAGCGACAAAGAGCGTTCTGTGGACCACCTTTACCACGAGCAGGACCCTTCTTCCATTGTTTCATTGAGGATGGTTTCTCCATTTTGTGTTTGCAAAGAAGGAGATTGAGAGTGAAGAAAGAAAGAAAGAAGATGGATATGATTGATAATAAGAATGGAGTGTTTAAATATTGTCACGGTTCCCTTCACTTCCAAGAGAATTGCTTTTTTCACCCGCGCATGTGACCGTTGCTTTTTTCTCGTCATCTGTTGTTTTTTTCAGGGAAAAAAAAGTTTGTCTTTCATTTTATTATTTTTTGTCGGAAAAAGAGACTTTTAAGTTTTAACCATTTGATCTCAACCTCGTACAGTATTTAACTAATTCTACCTAGGCTAAAACTATAACATACTTAATCCTAGTGTCCCCTACATTTCAAACAGTCGTAATCCTTATTATTACCACTTTTGATGATAGCTATAAAAATTTCACACACATGGCAATCCCATAAAGAGAAAAAATTATAATTTTCGTGCATTAGACACGATTGTTCTGTGATTCCGATTCGATTTGCGTTCATTTAGGAACTCACTTTCTTCCGGTTCGGTTAAGCTTGGCATAATTTAATATATTTTAATAAAAAGGTGAATTCTAATACCTTTACAATTATATTTGTTTGGTATGAGAGAATACACATGGTTTTTTCAAAAAAGAAAGAAAGAATACACTAATCAAAATTGTAAGGAAATGAAAACAAAACAAAAGTGTAAAGAAAGAAAGAATACACTAATCAAAATTGTAAGGAAATGAAAACAAAACAAAAGTGTAGACAAATTTTGATTTGTTATTGGTTCGGTTTCAGTTCGATAAATTTTTTAGTTAAAATAACTACTTATAAAATTTATGTTTGATCAAAAAAAAATTCTTATTTTTGCTTAAAAACTATGTAAATAAATTTCATTTGCTCAATTCTGTTGCCTACACCTTTTTTTCGGTATGAATAAAAAGCATAATACCAATCGAATCGTTAAAAAAGAAAAGGGGTTTTGGATTAGTTGGGTTATATGGCTTAGCTCTAATATGATAAAGCGATATCTAGTGAGACAAGTTAAAGGAGTTTCTTGAGACACTTTAAAGCTTTTGGGTTTTATAAATTTTTATCCTTTTCGTTGTCCTCTTCTTGAGGAGGAAGGAGAATTGGAGGGACATATGAAGAAAAGAGAGGCAAAAGTCACGAGCCACAACACACATAACTACATAAGAATCACGTGTTCAGATCCTTAGACCCAAGTTTAAGTGTTTTTGAGATTTTCAGATTTAAGCACCGCTCACTTCATCTTTATCCCATGCTCATTCCCTCTTACCTTCACATTTAACTCACCACATTTGTCCCCTACAAATCCTTTTTATTATTAAAAAATTTTGATTATACATAATTAGACCAATTATTTTGTTCAACTGAAAACTACCCACCCAAGAAAAAAAACACAACTCTTTTTATACACTCGTATGCTTATACTCGACTATGTGAATTTGCTCCAATAATTGGTCTATGTAATCAAGTGCTATAGTGTTCTTTTTTTTTTTTTTTACTATAAAGTGCTTTATTTTTTTTTGTACATTACGAGTACTTTAGTTGTAATCCACTTTCACTGTGTTGACCCAAGCTCTAAACTATTTCTTCTATTGCATCTCTCATTAAACGTGCCAAATCAAAATACCAAAATAGAAGTTTAAATCTCTAAATTATAAACAAAACAAAAGGTATTGAAAAGGGATCCCGTATTGAAAATAAAAAACTTCCATATCACTTAAAAAAAAAAACATAACACTTCAAAATTTGGCCGATTACTTTATACACTAGAGTCATGCAGTTTTATATAAAAAAATATTAATTTTTGCTATTGTATAAAATGATATGTGTATAGCAGTTGGGGGTTTATAAGTATATATAAAAACTATGTCTTTTTATTCAGTTTAATAAACATTCGCTTTTAGTTTTTCCACTGCATGTCGACTTGTCGAGACTCTCTTAACTTTTTTTTTTTTTGGAAAACAAAATAAATTCAAGTTCTGTAACAACTTTTAGCAAGATATAGATAACTCTTAACCTTTTTTTTTTTTGGAAAACAAAATAAATTCAAGTTCTGTAACAACTTTTAGCAAGATATAGATAACTCAAATTGAATTACTTAAAACATTCTTAAGATTGAACGACTTGGAAGAAAATAAAGTTTTAAAATGATTGTCTTTTTTGCTTAAAAGCTAGTTTTTCCACGAGAAGAATAACATCAAATTGGTTCTTTTAAACCGGACCATTCATTACTGATAAGCCCGATAATTAGTATGGAATCTGGTCTACGAGACTAGTAACAAAGCACATTACTTGGTCCATGCATTTTCACAGCATTTAGAATCCATACAAAAAAAATTTAGGCCCATCACTTGCTACAACATGCCACACATCTACATACCGACTTCTACCCTCACGTGAGCACAAAACAAAAAGTGAGAAAAAGTAAAAGATAATATTATATAGAAATCTGATCACACTGGAGAAAAAGACATTACGAAGGCGTGATGCATGCCAATAGCTTAGCACAGACTTCACGTACGTCTTGAGAAGGATCTGACGAAGATGCTTTGGACAGAACTGATCTTGCTTCGAGCAATCCCTCTGATATGCTTTCCAGTATCACGTCTTCACTCGCCATGAGTGATGCCATCAGTTTTGCACCAGCCAGCTTCTCCTACACAACATCAGTATAATGTGAAACGAATACGACATTTCATAACACCGTCTCTGCAATCCATATGAAGATGATACTCGAGAGCTTTTCTGTCTACTTCCATTACGTTTGTTCACATGTTAGAAATTAAGTTTTGGTTTTCTTTTGATACCTTTTCGGATCCTTGCTCGAGAAATCTCACGGCAAGTTTCAGTAGATCAGATGAAAAAGGGAGGAGTGTGGACTTTAGATGGTACATGGCCGAGAACAGGACCTGGATACAAGCTGCACGGACCTCAGTCGCAGATATGAACTGCACCAGATTCAGGAGTTTTGTTGAAAACTAAACAATATACAAACAGATTAAACCAAACCTGAAAAGATTTTTAAGTAGCCAAAAGTACCTTGAGGGAATCAACAATAGGCGGAAGAGCTTTTCGAGCAAATGTTTTCTTGGCAGACTCAGGGATTTTTTGGCAAGCACTGATAAGAACATTTGCCATGCATAGACGAAATGGAATAGGAAGGGGCTTTTCACCATTTGTGTGTTCAGTATTCGGCTTCAGGATAGACGAGCAGTCACTTTTCTCTTCAATTAGACAATGGATCGTGTAATCTAGGACAGAGTCACTTGACGCATTAACACCTACAGATCAGGATAGAATTTATATGCAAGTCAGGAAAAAATTATTATCAACACCACAGACATACAACAGCAAAACTAACCAGATGCGTCCTTCTCTGCTGTACGTAATTTCTCTCCTTTGGGTGTGTTTGAAGATTCTGGATATTGCAGTTCAGCACATATCATCAGTGCCAGACAATCTATGCACCCGTGATGTACTTTAGAAACTGCACGGATAAATAGTAGCCATGATGAAGTGAGAAACTGAAGAAAAGTAACCAAAGTTGAGTAGCAAGTGTCTTACTCTCATCCTCATCAGAAGGCCACAACAAAATCTTTTCCAAGACTTTCCTGATCTTAGGTGTCACACTGTGTGAGAAAGACTCCCAGACCCGAGCCTGCAAGCGATGAAAACTTTGTAAGGTACGGAAATAATTCAACCAGTAATACATCAAACCAGCAACAAGAGAGATCACTGCAGAGGCACAGATAGAAAAACGAAAGACGAAAATATTACCACAAGGGATGTGCATATAGAAAATAGGCAAGCTTTAATCTTGAGGCAGTCTTGCAACTCTGTGGCTTTTTCAAGTTGCAACAAAACAGTTGGATAAAGCACCTGTTGAATAAATGTGCCAGCATATTAAAACTTTTGAAAAAGAAGAGTAAGCTAAACTGTTGTTTAAAGAAACCTGAAGTCGAGCATTTAGACTTTTTTAGATATCTAACGCAGCAAGCCTTTCTTCTCACTAACAGGACCTATAATGAAGACTGGAAATTTTGTGTACGCTTTGCCGTCACATCAAAGTGAACTTGAGAAGAAAGTTATTAATGAGCATCTACTCTTGTTTCTTTGGTTATAGATATTTTACTTTAGTTTTACATGACCTATGCTGACTGATGCGCAGTAAAACAAAGGCTAAGGACATATTGAAATATTTACAGAAGATTGACCAACAATACAAGGTCCAGGAAAGAAACCAATTAACACCTGGGGATGGATACGTCCACATAGCTCGGCCGCGAGTTTCCGAACTTCTTCGAACTCGAACTTAGAAAATGCTCTGAATTATAAGTGTTAGTTAGCTATATATATCAAATAAGTAATAAAGTAGATGGCATTTGATGATCATTGTGGAGTAAAATAACCTTTCCAAAAGGAAGGCAGCGATGCATTTACAATCCTCAAACTTGATGTCTCGATACTCTGGTTCCATATGAAAAGAAATAGATATAAAGAATTAACTCTAAGATTGTCTCTCTGGACCATGCGGCTAATTAAAATTTTATCCAAAGAAGCTTAAAGCGTTTTTTTCTCTAATTGATGATAAGGGTCAAACGACCTTATGATAAACATCCACACTTCTCTTATTAGAAAAAGAGAATCATAGCATAAGCATACATACCATTCACAGAGTCTCCGCCGAGGAGTTTACCATAAATTGTAGAGGATTCAATATCATCAAACACTCTTTGGGGAAGCAGCCTTAATATAAGCAATGGGCAAAGGTGGTCAAAGAGCGAATTATCCAATTTAGTTTTGTCAATGAAAATTTTAGTATCGGATGTGGATATGAAGCTCTCATCCATCCTACCATAAAAAGGACATTATTGGTGATCAATATCTAACATTCTTTGAAAAAATTTAAAGTTTTTCTTACTTGGAAATCAGATTAATAGAGCTTTACTTACTTGTTTTGCTCCTTCATATGTGATAGTACATGCAGAAGAACCATGTCCGATGCATCTGCCAAATGTTCACTGATGCAACTAAGAAACCTAACCATGATGGCATTGGATGGCTCCAAAAACATCTTGTCGAGCAAAGGTCCAATCAGTGAACTCCAGTTGTGAACCTGTAAGAATTTTATTTCAGTCAACAAGCAAATATTCTAGTTACCTAATTATAGCTGGACAAGTGTCGATCATTCCAGTAATTCCCATGTGAAGAGTTGCACAGCACAAACACAAGTAAATAATTAGATACTTAAAAGGTATCAGGACTGGAAGGGAATAAAGGAAATATGTGAACTTTTCTGAGTATTTTTTTTGTTTAGTTATGATTTTTTCACTCTATCTATCTATTCAACAAACTTTTCTAAGTTGCATTCATCAAAACGTATTCGTGGACCATAAATAATGAAGGTTCAGAGTTAAAAGCTACAAACAGTTCGTAAGTGATTCGTGCCTGTAGAAGCACTTAGGAAACTAAATGGGATTTCGTTTCAAAGATAACAAATAATTAGCAAGCATGACGTATTGTTGTACTTACACTTCTAGCCCACTCTGGGATCAGCTTTAGCACTCGATCACTGTCAAAAGTTGAACCTGCAACAGTACAAGAAGATGATAAGCATGTACTCGCCAGAGAAAAACTTAATAGCGTCCAATTAGTAATTCAGCATCAAACTAGCACATATTTTTTTTTTCTCGTTCACGTTTCAGATTCCAGTAAACTTATTCGTTTCAACTGTTTAAATATAACAATACTTTTGGATTGTGCCCCTGTAGATGTCAAATGTTTAACATTGGACGGAAAACAACAAAATAAAGTATTATGACAAGTTATGTATTAATGAGATAAGAAACCGAGTACCTTCTGTGGGATGTCCATTACTTTCTGAAGTATCCAACGCCTGAGTATTACTAGAAAGAGAAAAGTGGAAATCAGATGCAGAAAGGCCTATTGAATTGTAGCGTGATACAATGCGAAAACAGAATAGAAAACCAAATCCGGTAGGCAGGTCAATATCATGTATGAAGCATTTGTGAATTTACATTTTACAAACTTAACCTAAGAATAATGTGTGTTTCTCACTTGGGGTAAATGGGAATAAACAAACAACTATGTAGACACGAGGGAAAAGGAGAAAAAGAGACAAAGTACGATACCTAAGACAGGTTAACGACATGCATATAACATCAGAATCCTCCTTATGATGTTTAAGGACCCCAAGCAAGGTTTTAGTAGCAGGTGATTGTACTTTTCCATTGGTTGAACAAATGAGTTCTACTAATTCTGGTAGCACGAAAGATGGCTCTGGAAGAAGAAAAAAAAAAATCATGCAATTGATGGCTTGATTCTATGGGGAAGCTGAAAAGAAATGTTATCATATGAAATATAGCTGTTATCGAGATATGGAAAAAAAGGTCTTGGACCCCGTAAATTTGGATTTTTACAAGTTTCCTCATCTGAATAATTATTATTAACATAAATCTTTCTCTTAACAAAACATAGATTTATGTTCAGCAAACTATATGAAATTCATTTCATAAAATGAAGACAGACTATATCTAGAGGTTATAGGAGGCATAAGATTGCCAATACCAAATATTGATAACGGCCACAAATAAAAGCCGTCCAAAAGAACTGTCTACAAAGGCGAAAGAAGACTAACCAATTGACTTCAGCAACTCTGAAGTTTGTTTACGGATATAAGCTTCCTCGTCTCCAAGGCACTTTAACAAGCACCCCACAATCTCTTTCCTGAAATAAGAGCAGAAAATGAGTTCTGACTTCGGAGGGTATGAGAATGCAAATAATGTCAAGGAACTAAAGAAGATACAGAAACGATAGAAAGAGAGAAAACTGAGACGAAAAACATAAATGATTGTATACCAGGGCATATGAGAAGGAAATGAATCTCTTGACATAAGGATTACTTCTGATATCACATCCATAGAGTTCAGCCTCTGCACAGTAGTTCCAGAAACAAGGCGTTGTAGAACTTCACTGAGACAGTTATTATCTGCATTTCTGGTGAATGTTTCTTTAAGTCAGAAGACAAACTAGGAACCGTGACTGGTAATTAGAAAGCTATATTTAAGGTTTAGGATTAACGGGAAAGGAAGAATAGACATACTTGAAACAATAGTCTGCCAGGAGGACACTAACAGCTTTGGCTGCGCCATCCCTCTCATCAAGAAGGTGAAGCAGCGATGGTATCACAACGTCCATGCACATTGTATCAGAGAAGCTGTCTCCGGACTGAGATTGTAGTTTAGAGATAACTGCTTTAAATATAGCAACAACGCCTTCTGATATCTCTTCATTGTTGCTGCGAAGCTTCGAAGGCAAAAGAAGAATGTAAGTACTGAAATAATCACATTTGTTTTTATTTCTGTATAAGTTCTAGCATTACTATCAGAGTAGCCTATATAACTGCATAAAAGTTCCTGTAAAGTGTGTCATCACTCGCTATTCAATAAAAATTGGGAAAGATACCTGATGTAAAAGACAAGGCACAAGCTTCATTCCATATTCTGATAGTATGCTCTCAAATTTCTTTCCCTCAAAGCGGCCCAACAAAAGGCATAAACAATTTAGGAAAAACTTCTGTGTCTCTATACCACCAGTCTTGGAGTCAGCACATCCCTGAGGATAACTTTCTGAATAATACTGCATCGTTTTTATCATTATTAGCTATCTAATTACCCAATCAATTTGGTAAACACTAATAAGAGAAAAATTTCAATACGAAAGCTAGTAAAGCAGCCTTTTACCAATATAGCATACAACTTCTCTCTGTGTAGCTTATATAGGTTTCCCGCATGAATAAAGACTTAAGAGCAAATAATCCCACTCATATACCATGCAAACACATTCCATTTAAATTCAAGCAGACTCTACGATATGTAACTTCCACATTTCTATCTTCTTAACAAAGAATAAAAATTGTAGATTGCAATGAAATTAAATCTGTTTACCCTTAGACAAAGACGGATCAAAGTACTTGAACATATGCAGCAGTAATCCCCCATAGGTAGTACAATGCTACTGTATAAAATGATTTATCCCTATCACTAATTTTTGAAACCAAAAAAGATTGTCGATAATGTCTGACCTTAATACCAGACAAATATTGCTCGAGCAGTTCTTTACTAATCTTTGAGAACTTTTTATCTTCCATGTGAAGCAAGACACTGTAATGCTTCCAACAGGAAGAAAGCAGTAGAGCTCCACCCGAAGATACCTCCGTGCCTGGAATCCAGGAATATAACAAAAACAAAAAAAAAACAATTATAAGCAAGAATCAGAAACAGAAACGGAAAAGATGAAGGACAGGTAACATTAGTCATAGACCTGCCTCCTTTTGAGAGCCACCATGATGCTCTTTTAACTCCTCTAACCATTTCAGCACATTATTTAACCCCTTAGCATGCAGTAGTCGAGTTTTTCTGTTCCACTAGAAATAAATTTTTGTCAATATTACTCAACTCAAATAATGGATAACTTCATCACTTTAAAATGTAAACCACAGATCACACATATTTTAATGGATCAGTGAACATACAGCAAAGAGACACTGTACAAGACGCGTCAGCTCCTCTAGGTGGTTCCACAGTATACAATTTGTCTCACTGTTTGAGTCCTCAGGTTGGGAAACCTGCTTTTTTTTCTTCTCGCTACTATTAGGCATCAAAGCAGCCGGTTGATGAGTCCCCGTAATGATTGATGGCTTCGGTCTATTTACCAGAGTATCACCCCTCTTTGCTAAGGCTCCCGTAACTGACAGCAAGCAATCAGCAGCAGAAAGAGAAAGACGAGACGGCACCTCATATCCATCCTGCAAAATGCTAAACACAATAACAGCTCAGAACTAGGTGGAAACGACTATGTATACACGTGAAGAAACTTGCTCCGTATGAACAAAGTAATTTGAGTAATTTACTAAAACTTAAAATAGATAGCCAAAATCAAAAGAGATCAACAGAACGTGAGATGATAGTAATATCCACTGACAATTAAAAAAAACTATACCTTCCGTTGCGTACAATCGTTAACAAGTGAGGCACACAAGATGAGACAATCTCCACAAACATAGAATGTTTCTCCCTAATTCCTGTCAACAGATAAAATTATACAAGTACATAACGATAAACCAAGTGAGCTCAGAATAAGGTGAGCTTTTCCTTTTCCCCAGAGAGAGATAACCGGTAATGAAAACAAGAATGATTACAAAGCTCACCATTCCAAAAGCCTTGATCACCAGTATCTTCTACAAGTCTTCGGATAAGTAAACACCATCCAAGCGCTAAGAACCTGTCCTCGTTCCTCGAAATGATTTCCGAAAGATTCCTTGAAACGGCTTGAAAGAGAAGCTCATCTTTAAACAGCCAATTTAGAAGTATCATAGCTGGGTTACTGTGCTTAGCATCCTTGAACCTTAATGTCTAAACGAAAATCAACCCGTAAGAACAGACAAAATAAAAGTCTGGACTTTCCAACAATCAAGCAGGGTTTAAGAATATACATGTTCTATGATGGGTACAAGAATTTCATCCATCGCTTCTTCTCTCTCAGCAGCGTCTCTAACGCACTTGTGCAAAAACCAGAGTGCCTCATCGACGGAGCCTAACGCAGCCACCGAAAATCCGTCAGATAAGAAGCAAACATGTACAAACATGTATACACACACACAAAAAAAAAAACTTGCAAAGACTTACCTGATGAACCCTTTTGAGAATCATCAAGAGAGCGACGAGAAAGAGAATCCAGTAACTTTTTAGGACGAGCCGAGAGAAGCGTACTCATGAACCTCCCCACCGTGACAGAAACCATAGACTCTGGTTCTGATCTTCGTATCAGTTCCTCTTCCAATCGCTCCATCTCACTCCTACCCAGCTGAACAATCGGCAATTACTCGGAGACGACTGCAAATAATAAAACTGTAAACGGCGTCGTTTAGGTAACCTAAGACGGAGTCAAGAACATTTAACGGCGTGGATAGTAGTCATTGGTTCATTTACATAAACCATAAAAAGGAAAACTTTGAGAGACTCTCTCTCGCTTCGGTATATTCGCCGCCGCCTCCTCCTCCTCCTCCGGTGAGTTCTGAAATGGCTACCGTAACAACCAATGCGCCGCCTAAACCCTTCTCCTTCTCCGTTTCCAATCCTCTGAAATCTCAAATCCCCAATTCTCAATCTCTCTCCTTTCCACCTCGCAAGATCCATCAGCGTCGTTTATCGGTAAACGCCTCCGTCTCTGCACCGCCGTCAATCGAAACCAAAAATGCACCTTCACCGGATTACAGAGTCGAGATTCTCTCCGAATCCTTACCCTTTATCCAGAAATTCCGAGGGAAAACCATAGTTGTCAAATACGGAGGCGCAGCCATGACTTCGCCGGAACTCAAATCCTCTGTAGTCAGCGATCTCGTTCTGCTCGCTTGCGTCGGTCTTCGTCCGATCCTCGTTCACGGTGGAGGTCCCGATATCAATCGTTACCTGAAACAACTCAACATCCCAGCTGAGTTCCGCGACGGGCTTCGCGTTACCGACGCCACAACGATGGAGATCGTCTCCATGGTTTTAGTCGGAAAAGTCAATAAGAATCTCGTTTCTCTTATTAACGCCGCCGGTGCTACCGCCGTGGGACTATCGGGACACGACGGTCGTCTTCTCACTGCACGACCTGTCCCCAATTCAGCTCAGTTAGGTTTCGTCGGTGAGGTTGCGAGAGTAGATCCAAACGTGTTGCGTCCGCTTGTTGATTACGGTTATATTCCGGTGATTGCCTCTGTCGCCGCCGATGAAGCTGGTCAAGCTTACAACATTAATGCAGATACAGTGGCTGGAGAGCTTGCGGCGGCGCTTGGAGCTGAGAAGTTGATTTTGTTGACTGATGTGGCTGGAATCTTGGAGAACAAAGAGGATCCGAGTAGCTTGGTGAAGGAGATTGATATAAAAGGTGTGAAAAAGATGATTGAAGAAGGGAAAGTTGCTGGTGGGATGATTCCAAAGGTCAAGTGTTGTATAAGGTCTCTTGCTCAAGGAGTGAAGACGGCGAGTATTATTGATGGAAGGAGACAACATTCTCTGCTTCATGAGATTATGTCTGATGAAGGAGCTGGAACTATGATTACTGGATAATTTTGCTTTAAAATGGGTGATCGATCATCAATATCAAGTTCAGTTTTTTTTTTCTTTGTATTTGAGAATGCCCCACTGTTTGGCCATTAAGATGTCAAAATCATTTCTTTCTAGTCTTAAAAAGTTTTTGGGTTTGCATCTGCAACTTTGATGTCTCCGGTTTCAGTGATGGTCCTTGGTCTTTGAAAGTTTACATTTTTAGAGAGAATGAGCTGTTGTAAGAATAGTTGTCTGAGTAAATCTTTGGCTATGTTTCTTAGTATACATTTTCGACCTTTTGTCTTTTGGAAGGAACATCATTGACATATCAGTTTAGCTAACAATGGTGATTGATCTTTCTTGCCATGTCATTGTCTCATGTCCGCTCCAAGTTAATTGGTATAATCACATTCTTGCTCAGATGACTACATCCAAGAACATTTTTCAGATCCTTCATGCTTTGGCCAAATCCTGATTTTACGTAGCTAGGCTAGCTTCATCATGAATTGTGATCTGATCATGATGCAGACGCCGGTTTTGTTTACCAAGCTTCCTGGCTTACTATATTTAAGATGTGCAAAGAACACAACTTTACACCTTGTGCTGCTTAAAATTGCCCACTTATAGAAAAAATGTTGTAAAATCTCACAGATATCTCACAAGTCACGTAACATAGCTTCCCTATCTGTTTCGACCTCCACACAACAACTACTGCTTGCTTTCGTATTCAGCTCAGCGAAAGGATTCCAGCTTAGTTGGGCCTGAAATTCCTTATTAGGCTTTCTTTGTACCCAATATTTTCTTCTCCTCTGTGGTCTGGCCCAATCAGGGAATTGCTGAATCCAAAGCGTTATACAGAGGCCTCTGTCACTCTGTTGCCGTGGTATGATTGGGGTTGGCCCCAGAAAGATACGTGAACTGCGTGTGAGAGCCACGCGCGTCTATTTGGTATTAAAGATTACAGTGTCACTTGACAAGTGTGTGGTGGAGCAGGATATGAGAGTGAGAGGGAGAGATGGACCATCGTCGTCTTCTTCAAGTAAAGTAACACTCTGGTAGGCTACAACGAACCTTCCTTCAATTACACTGTCACCGACTTTTGGACCCACGAATCTATGCAAGTTGCAATCTTTCGAGTTAATTCCAAAGTCCCACAAGTTGCTCTCTTTTTTTTAATAACTTTGTCTTCTTCTTCTCTTATTGAGATGCTTTGCTTTTACTTCATTGGCTCATTTTCAACTGTAAACTGGCACTAACTGTCATCCTTTTGTCCAAGAAAATCTCGAGACATGTACGAATACTAAACACTGTTTTGTGGGATCAATCTCATTTATATCCCCAAGTTCGAAATTAATTTTCTTTGTCTGCCCTATTCCGCTATTCGAGTTGTGGGGAATCTCAAGAAAAAACATTGCATCGATTTCAACCTTTTTGATACTTTTTACGTCCTAATAATACCAAAAGAATAGATTCTTTCATGATTCATATTAAACAAAATCTTTTTACCAGTAAAAGGAACAAAAAAATCTTATTCCATCACCTCTCAAAAGAGATCATGTCTTTTTTTGAAACATCATAATCATAGTAACCATAATCATCATCATCATCAGTGCCTATCTAGTGAACGCATAACACTACCTTTCAACCGCGAAAAAGCCTTAACTCTTTTCAGTCAAAAAAAAACAACGAGCAATGTTCATCGTCATCATCATCTAAAATGTCTCCCTCTTTAGCTTTCAGCGGATGAAGGATAATGACACTTTTGTTAACTGGACTTCACCGAGTCCAGAACGATCCCTCTTGTTCTTCCCGGTGCTCCCCCGTTAATTGAAGATAAATCCAACACGATCCTGCTCACCAAAAGACGGTTCATTAGAAAACTGTATAGATAGATCATCATCTGGATAGGAAGGAAAAACAAGAACATTAATCAGTTTTACATGTCGTTCTTGGTCGCTTCTCCCGTTTCTTGAATCAAGATTTTATCTTCCATCTTTGTTACTGCGTGCTCCTTTGGAAGATTGATCCCTTCTACTGCTTGATCAAACAATCACACACAAACAAAAACCATTAAACTTACCCTCCTACGTAATTCGCATACATTGTGTCTACTCTTCGGTTTGGATTTTATTACCTTCGACGCCATTCACAGGAGCGTCGTCATTTATCCCCAGGAGATTCTGAAACAGAGTGATGAAGTTGTTTATCATCGAAGTGCTTTCAGAGGATTTTTTTCAAAACAAAAGGCGGGTTAAGTCACCTTAAGGTTCTTGTAGCATTCCTCGAGGTTGTCATTATACAGAATATGACCAAAAATGCCTGAGGATTTCCCTGCTTTGATTTCTGCTTCAGCGTTTCTAAGCCGCTTTTGGATCTGCTCCTCTGTTTCGGTTCCTCTGTTTTTTTTTCAGCATTTGAAATTTGAGGATAATCTCCTTGAACTTTACAATGAAAGATCTGGAAGAAATAACAACTCATTTGGTAAAAAGTCTGATTTTTACCGGGCACGAAGCCGATCTTCAAGTTCCTTCATTGATGGAGGACAAACGAATATAAATATCGCATCAAGAGAGCTCGCCTTCACAGACCTCGCTCCTTGAACATCAATGTCAAGAATGCATCTCTATACACACCACAAATACAAATTGATCACTCTAAAGATCAAAAGATATGAAAGAGAGATGACACAAAAGATTATCTTTTTATTACCTTTCCTGAATCTGTTACAACCTCAACGGATTCAATGCTGGTTCCGTATAGATTACCATGAACAGAAGCAAACTCAAGAAACTTCCCGTCTTTGATTTCTTTCTCCATAACAGTTTTATCAGTGAAATGGTAATGAACACCGTTCTTCTCCATACACCTCGGAGATCGAGTTGTGTGGCTCACAGAGAACCCAAACATTGAAGGAAACTCTTTCATAAGCATCGATATAAGCGTTCCTTTTCCAACTCCAGAAGGACCGCTTATAACAATAGGCTTCTCTGCATTTCCTCTCACTCCTTTACTCCAAGCAACAACCTCTTTTCCTAACAATTTCCTTTGTTCCCGGACAAAAGGACTATCCACCTATATCAATGTTCAAACATATTAGAATAAAAAAAACCCCAAAATTCAATGCTAGCAACATTGATATCTCGAAATACTAACCTCGAGGAACCATATAGAGTCATCAGAAGCTGAACCTTTTTTTATAACCAAAATCCGGCCTTGTTTAAGAACAATGGCAGAGTAACCCTTGCAGGGTTTAGGGCCCGTTCCAAGAACAGTAGGACTCGACCTGAAACACACCAAAAAATTGACTTCAAATCCTTAAGATTCCAAACTAATGGAAGAAACTAATTGATCAAAATATCATCAATGAACACACACCACTTGTTAGTGATATTGTCATAAATCTGAACTCCAAGGAACAATGGGTTCCCTTCATGACTTCCACCAATCACATACTGCAAAGATAAACCTCAAGATCAAACCAAGGGCGAAGAAACAACAACAGTTTCACATTATAAAACATCAAAAATTGAGAGGCTTACGGATCGATCCCCAATTTGGACTGATGTATCTCTGTTTTTAGGTTCGGATTTTACACCAAACCCATTGGTGTGTCCATTCTCCAGATGATCCACAAAGAAAGCTGGTGCTTCTCCCTATTAACAATAAATCAAAATCATCCCAAAAAAATGTGAGAAATCTATGAACAAAGATGAGCAACGAAGTGAATCGCGCCAAAAGAGGCTCACCATAGAGGTTTTCTATGCTTCCAAGAAGACACAACTCAGCCTGAGCAATGGCACAATCACAAAATAAGAGATCAAAACAAACAAACGACAAAATAACATTTCTCTAAATCTCAAATTAAAAAGGTTAGACCTTTTTCGTGTTTTCTGCATAAACAGTCAAAAACCCAAATGCAGATTCATCAAAATAAAACATAAAACTTTGAAAACGTAAACACAGATCTCAGCATAGAACAATGAAAACTAACAAAACAAAACCACCTTTAAAACAAAAGAAATCAAAACCCATTCTCTTACCTCGAATATGAACACCGGAAAACGCTGAGAAAAGACGAACGCTTTTGGATCGAATTGGCTAAAGCAGACGAGAGGATGTGTATTTATATCGGCAAATTATTAAAAAGGGGCAGACGAGAGAATTGAGAAACAAGTTTTAGCTGCTTTTTACAACAACAAGATTCAGTTTTTTGGCAATCGATATTTCTCTGGAATTTTCTCGTTCGGCTACGCGAAGAATATATATATGTTATATGTATCTGTGCATCGTCGACGAGTCCCAAGACAACTTGGAGACAAGCGGCCGTGACGGTGTGAGGAAAGTTACCTCTAGGAAATCTCGGAGGCCCTTCTTTAATATACAAAATTAAATATAAATTATGGAGATAATAATATTTAATTAAAGTTTTAATTATGATAAAAAGAAGTTTGGTGAAGACCTTAAAAAATTAAAAATTTTAGTTGGATGGGGGATGAAAACAAAATTGTCTACGGGTTGAAACATAATTGAAAAAAATAAAGTAAATTTGTTTTGTTAAGCTAAAATTAAATTATCAGTACTCAATGAAGCCAGTTAGATTACACATCACTGAAGCAATAATTATTATTTTGACGTTTTTGTGGAATAATTTAAAAATAGTAGTGTTAATATTGAACCAATGACACAGCATAATCCAAAAAATTTCTTCGAATTATTATATAAAGAAAATTCACATCTGAAGTTCAAAAGAAAAAAAGAAATTTCACATTTTATATTCAATTTATAAGATATTCATAAATTTATATTTAGGTTTAAGAAAATAAAAAAATAACTTTAACAAAATCTATTATACAATTATTACTCTAACTAATAGGTAAAGATATGGAATATTATCACACAAATTTTTTATAGGGGACAGAAAACCGATATCTCTATCGAAAATTCAGTATTTTCTTAAACACATCCGTTATAAATAGGGAAAGGGTATTTAATACTAGTACTGTATCCTAAAATCTGTGTCAACTATGTATATATATACTGTACTATACGTATTGATTGTGAATAAATTCAGTCTTAAGTGGTGCTAACTTCACGGAAAGACAACAACTTTTTCTTTTTTAAAAGTTCTTTTTATAATTTTGACGCACTACAATAATTATGGTCTAAACATAATTAATTTTGATTTGTCTCTATAAGTCACGTGTACTAGCTAGCCATCATTGTACCGTATATGCTGCTAATTTAAATGTTTTTATTACAGCTTAAATTTAATTTGGTACTAGGTGAATACCGGCACGTATGTGCGGGTTTTATTTCAATTATTTCCAATTTATAATTTTTTTATTTTTCTAAAAAAAACATAATCATCAATTACTATATTATTTTAAATCAATCAATTTTAAATATAATATCATTAAAAATTAAAGTCTTACATCAAAAAACCATTAATATTTTTAATTAATTATAACGTAAATTCTTGTTTAATATTTACATAAATGTTATTTGAAAATTAATTAATAAAAAATCTTTTCTTATTATTAACAAATCAAAAGTTTTATACAAAAAATCATTAATATTTTAATTAATTATAACATAAATTCTTGTTTAATATTGACATAAATGTTAATTAAGAATCAATTAATAAAAAAAAACTTTTCGTTTTCTTTGAATGGTTAAAAATTTAATATGAAAATTTAGTGATTAATTTTCTTTAAAAATTGTAACTTTAAATTAAAAATTATAATTTTAAATTAAAAATTAACACATGTCATCTCTATATTAATTTTAAAATGCTGAGGTGTCACTCATATGGAGAGAGTTGGTCATCTTTATATATAAGAATGGTTAAAAATTTAATATGAAAATTTATTGATTAATTTTTAAAAAAATTATAACTTTAAATTAAAAATTAACACATGTCATTTCTATATTAACTTTAAAATGCTGAGGTGTCACTCATATGGAGAGAGTTGGTCATTTTTTGTATATAAGACTAAGTGAAGACCCGCGTGTACACGCAGGTTTGTATATTATTTAAATTTTTTAAGTTGTGTTTAATATAATAAGATAAATTTCATATATATTTAGTGTTTAGGAGTTAATTTTTGATTGGTAGGAAATATACTTTAACAAATTCAACCTAATTCGAGATAGAGGATTAGTTATTCGATAAGTGACAAAATGTTTTTACTATTTAGAGTAATGTGATTTGTTATAACTTTTTCTTCTCTTTTCTGAGTGATTCTGTTTATTCAATCTTTTGATAAACTTTCCATAATAGTTTTTTTACTCTCTTTTACTTGATTTTTTTTAATGTAAAACACTTTTCGTTTACTCTAATTATAATTATAAGAACTTAAATTCTTTAATTATTTTTTTCTTAATAAAATCAAAACCTATACAAAAAAACTTCTTGTACATCCTAGAGGAGAGAGCAATATCCTTCGCTCTCTCATTCTTTTTGTTAGCCATCTCCTTGGTGTATTATCTGTAAGTTTTGACTCTCTCTTTGCCATTTACTTCTTCTATTTTTCTCTTTACACAAATTTTAAAAATGCAGCAAAAAAAAAAATTATGAGAATGGAGATAACGAAGTACCTTATTAATAGCTAGTATATGCTGCAGTTTTCTCTTTTAATTTTTCTAGAATCAAATTTTCCGTAGACCACACAATCTTCACCACATATGTATAAACACAAGCAACTCTTTGTATCCTTCTGATTCTGTGCATTGAACTACACAGAAACTACCGTTGGTGTGGTGATATCATCGCAAATTCTACTCTGTTATTCATGGAAAAAAAGATGGAATAACCTTCAATTTAGTACGCATTGCCGTCTACTTTGGGGCAGTCTTTACAAACGATAAAAGAGTGAAACTTTACCAACTTGAGTGTCAAGTAACAGATAATATTAGCATTGTCTCCTCTAAACAACAAATGGAACTCTCCATCCTTGATTTTTTTGCCTAAAGAGCCACCAATACTCTTGTGGGAATCAGAAACATGTCAACTTTAAGCATCTCCGCCTGGTTTTGAATCACAATCTTCACACTTTCAATAAGCGCAGCACCGGTCTTATTGATGCAGTTGAGTTCAGATTCAAAAACCATCAGCCCAAGTTTTCTCAAAATGACGTCTTATGATTCTATAGTTCCATTACAATATGCTATCAGGTAAGAAGACTTGCATGATTTTAAAATATTTTCTAGGCTTTGGTCGCACATTTCTATTTTCTTGACATCTTTTCACTTGTTGGGATGATTTCTGTAGAAGTAGAAAATTTAGGTACTGAAAATTAGCATATAATAAGCTCAAATCAATGACTTTAGACGAAGAAACATTTGAATTAAAAAAAAATATTAAAATTTTAAACCCTACAATTATAAAATTGTTCTGGAAAGACTATACAATACATGAAAATATAGTAAGATATCTGTAAATTTTAATTGTATTAAAGTTTGTTCCCAAAATGGTTACTTACATAGTTACATTCGTAATTGTAGTTGTAACATTTTCAACTTTAAAAATACAAAATGTTTATCAATCATTTCAACTGGTTATGTTTAAACATAATCATATAATTAGAAGAAAAGAATTTTAATAGAGCTTTAAATAGTTTATTTTTGATTCTCTATTTTAGTTCGTAAATAATTATTTAGTTAGGAAATAACTCAGATCTCTATTTTGTTAAGAGATTACAATTATAAAGATAGTAAATAATTCACAGCAAATTAATCATTTCAGTTTTACCAAGTTATTTCATTAGATGAAGTTTACTATCTTTATAAAAATTATCACCGTGATAACTAAATTTAAAAACTATCACCGTGATAACCATCTTATTTCATCTTTCTAACTTTTAGGAATGAGATTAATGAGATAATAGTGAGTGCTAATGACAAAAAATGGATATTTCTTTCTTTTTTTATTTTTGGGATTAAAAACAAAATTAATATTGGTGTTAAAATTTTTTTCATAATAAATTGAAAGCTGATGTGTCATAAGGAGAAGAGCTGATATGTCAAACTTGTGAGACACAATTCACTCTTTATATAATAGATTTTTTTCTATTTTTTTACGTTTCTCTTTAACTTTTTTTTTGACGTTTCTCTTTTACTTTAATCATGTAAAGAAAACTAAAATAATAATAAAAAACTAACATAATCGATTTGTGGAAAATTCTCATTGAGAGTCTGAGACTGCACCATTATAGAGTTTACGTCAACTGTATGTAATGTAATACGCCAGAATGGATTTGGACTTTTTTTCCTACAAATTTGACTTTTTTTTCCTATACAAAGAGATTTTATTCTTCGCCAGAATATATATAAAAACATGAAAAATATAAAGAAAAATTTGAGTAGAGAGTAAAACTTAATCGTAAGTAAACCAAATTTGCATTAGATCACCGAAGTTTTAGAGATGAGACTAGCGACAGATAATATGATTAATTAGTTGTGCTAGGCTGCTAGCTGTATCCTTGAGCACAGACTATTTGGTATAAAACTATAAATATGGCTTATTTTCTTAGGATTTTCATACTTAATTGATGAAATCTTATGAAGGGGCTTTAAAAGTGTTTTTATTTGAGAAAATGAGCCATTTAAGGTTTTTATCTGAAAGAAATTAGCTATTTAAAAGTGTTTTTACCATTTTGATGCAAATGTGGGGAAAAAATATCGTTTGCTGGAAAGTATTCTAGTAGGTGTATATATTACAAACTAACAAAGAAATCAGTCAATAGTCACACCACTTATCCCAATTTTCTTATAGCGAGTTGGTATTTTTAATGCAGATATTTTCGTCGATATATCCACTATTCAGAATTTCGGGTTGAAAAAAAAAATTGATCCATGAATCATGCAGTTCTAAGAGTTAGGTTTTTCACAGTTTAGACGATACGGTCACTTAGTTTAGTTATCGCATCGTCATAAAGGACGAAGATGGTTGATACAATCATTTTCTCTATTCAAAACTTTTATAGGTAAATCATGAATCTGATTTAAAGCAGCTTTTTTGGAAGATAAGCCAAAAACGGTAGGATTTAAAAGAGTTTTAGACGAATTAAAAAAAAAGGATTATAGCGAGTTAACGTAGAGAAGAGGTTGATATTTACTTTTTTTACATTAATGTGAAATTGGACCAATAAAGTTAGACAAAGGTCATATGGGATTGGTTAGAAACATGAGATTTTGTCCCCCAAAATTCAATCTTCCATTCAAACTTCATTTTGACCAATTAAACAGTCAATGCTCCAATTTTGAATGTTGGAAAGTGGATAAGGACATCAAAACAAAATTTGTCCTCATCCTTCTTTTTGTATTTTAACATTCTCTTTTTCGTTATTCCGATACTTTGTTCAAAGACGAGTCCACTATGACCATTTGGGTATAGAATTTTATTCATGATCGATCATTAAACACTTTTGGAATCAATATATAAGCCAAGACGTGTGAAACCCGTCGGCTATATCATATGTGGCGTGTCAAACAAGTTTGGTCAGACAGACTCAAGCTCCAACGGCTGCGATATTTTTTACTTTTTTGTTAAAAGAATTTTATAGGATAAAATACGATATCTCTAATACAAATTACCGAACTTATATTTAAACTGAGATTTCAATTACGTAGTAACGTAGACAAAAATAGTTGGTAATGTTTTAAAATTTACTAAACAGCAAAATGAGAATTACACCAAGAACTTGCAGCAGCTATAACTTAGCTTTTTTCTATAAACAAATATACACAGAAATCTAAAGAATATGTGGTATTGAAGCAGGATGCTTAATTGCAAAACTAGGTTTGACCAAAATCTTTTTTGAATAGAGTAGCTGATGAAGTCCACGAAAAAAAGAAGAAGAAGATGAAGTCTATTTAAAATTGTACATGTACTAGTGCGTCGTAGCCAAAGTCCGTACCTAACCGGAGCTCGAATTATCGGGAAATAGTGGAATAAACACACAATAGGCACAAACCAAACTGCCAAATCTGGATAAAATTAACATGTAGTCGAAGTCTTGCGTCACCTAAAATCAAAGGAAGTAATTAGGCCTATATCAATCTCCAAGAACATGGAGAATGTTGGTAATCATTTGAAAGAAAAACACAAGAAAAAAAGAAAAAGATGTTTATAAATAGTGCCAAAAAACCCAACTGATTTAAGATGATATAATTCGGTTGAATAAAGAGTAAGGTAAATATCTACAATTAATTTACGGAATGCTTAGATTTGTTGAAAATAATTAAAAAATCCAGTGAATTGGGCAGTATTTACTTTTGAATAGTTAGACTTTTTTAAAATCTTTTTATATAAGTTTTTGAAAAATGTAGTGTATTTTTTTATTTTTCAAAGTTTAAATATATGTGCCGACTCTTTTGCAAAAGTGGTTTGAGCATCATTTTTTTTTTTTTTTTGTAAGCAAGTCAAACAGAATCGATACAGATGGTTCCACCAAAATATACACTGTTAGTATTAGATGAATGTACAAGACAACGTCGTGGAGTAGGACTTGGTCTCTTTATGGATGCTACGTTAACGTGTTTCCAACGTTGGGTTCAAGCATTTGATTTTATTTTATTGTTACGTTGACAAGTTTCTAACCTTCCTAATTTTTATTGGTATCCGTCAATTTCATTCTATGGTATGTCAACCCATATAATATATGATATGATATGGGTCAGTTGTTTGGGCTCTGCTGAAAATGCGTTACTAAGTAAGTAGCTTACCTCGGCCCAATTGTTTTAGTAATCCCTTACGCCTTATATATATATAACAAACATTTTAGTAGCTTTTGCATTTTATAGCAATCTAAAAACCCGACTTCTACAAATTGCAACCCTTGTCCCAAAAACTATAATCGATGCGTGGTTCGACGAATCATTCCATACCGTACGGAATCAATCGGCGACATACTTTACCTTAGTCCCTTTTTGGATACTCGAGTTTTTATCAACTTGTTGCAGAAACATATATATTTTTTTTTTTTAAGGTAACCAACTTTTAATTAAAAAAAACCCTTACAACTATGACCGAAATCATACAGTTTTTAAAAAGTAGGTTAAAAGAAGAGAAAAAGTGAGGGGTACATAAAATGAACCAGATACAATCGAATCTTCCGCTTCGATTGACTTTCGTGCTTAGATTAACAAGAAAATTAGCTGCGACTGCCTCGGTTTCCACGTCCTCGGTTTCCACGTCCACGACCTGTGGATTGCCAATTCATCTCTTTAGCCTTTGCTGATGGCTTCACTGGTCTTTCTCGAAGAATTCTCTTCCCCGAAGGAGTCATGAGATCCATCGAGTCCATTTCTTTGTCTGAATCCGACAAGTCTTTTTCTTCTTCCGGAGAAATCAGAGAAGCAAACTTATTAGAACCCAAATCAGGCACTACTATTCTCATACTTTCCTTCTCGACAGTAGGTTTTGCTTGAGCATTAGTGGTAACAGTGGAGTACAAAGAACGAGCAGCCTCCAAAAAAGAAGACTCAATGACATTATTGTTGGTAGCTGAAGGAGAGGTTTGATATGCTGTGAGGACAGTCGCATTCACAATTGTCGAAGCTGTAGATACCAGAATGATATCTTCTATGATGGAAGCTTTAACTAAATCAACGGTGAAGTTGTTAGTAGCAGGTATCTCAATACTAATGGCAGGAGCTGAGTTAGAGTGGTTTTGAGCAGAGATCGGGACAGAATTGGAAGCTCCAGCCACGTCCATGTCAACCATCAACACAGTTTCTTTAGTTGTATTATCAACAACCCTTGGGCCGTTTTCCTCTTGTAAGCAACACTTAACTTTGTGTCCCAATTGGCCACACCTGCTGCATTTAGAAGGCAACCATGCATATTCCACATCAACCATTGAAATAACCCCATTTAAATCATCAGCAGCTATTCGGGATGGAAAAGCTTTACTCAACTCAACTTCAACCAAGATTTTTGCTTCACCCATGAGAATGGGATCCAACCGAGGCTTGTGAGTTGCCATGGGAGCACCTAAACCCGAAGCAATATGACTTATTCCCGGGGTAGAATATAAAATATTGGGTATGTTCTTTAAGGTTACCCAAACCGGAATGGTTTTAATCTCAGGAATAGCAAGGGAAGCCTCTGGGGTCCAAGAAGCTACAAACATTAGGCAATCATCAACATGCCATAGTGCTCGCTGGAGAACCCAAATCCTAGTGGATTCATCTGGTATATGGAATAAGTAATTTGATTCACCAAGCTTCCTAATGGTTATTCTGCAATTTCTTCCCCATAACTTGTTGAAGACAGAAAATATTAATCCACCTGACGGAGGAGAGCATCTATAGAATTGACCAAGAACATACTCTATCTGGTTCTCTAATCCTTGTAACAAGACATGTTGAGGAATTGTTACCTTAAGAGTCCCATCTTCTAGATATTCTGGCTCAGTTGCCCTGTAGAGATTCCTTGTTGTTGGATTCATTTTTGCTGTCCAGGGAAACCGAATAGGATCTTCTACAGCCGCTGGTTTTGGTTTTGGATTAGAAAAAACCTGTTGTTCACGAGCCTGCTGCTTTCTACTAGGCTTTGAGACAGAAAGAGTATGCCACATTTCTCTGGAAATTGGAGGAGCTTGATGAGATGACGATGCAATTGAGAAGTTTAGCTTTTTAGCCCATGCACCTTTTAAAGCAGGAGATTGAATGGGACAATGGTTGAGGAGTTCTTCACCAGCAACTTCCTTACCCAGAGTAGCAGGAGCTTGCTCCGTCAGAATCGTTGATTGGTTCCCTTCGTTCAACAATTTTTCGGCACAACAGACGACCGCCAAGCCTGTCGATTGAAGAGGATTAACCAAAGACGCAACTGGGCTCGCAAGGGAAAGATGAGACGGTGGAGGAAGCAATCGTTGGACAGCAGGACGAGTAGCGATTGAGGGTGGAGAGCTGGATATAGTGGTCGCAGTCCAACGATTCAGGTAGGGCCAGCGGGGGTCCAGAGAGTCAGAGGGTTTTTCGCCGGAGCTATCTCCAATTGCAGCGGCATGACCAGAAAACTCATCTGAATTTTTAAGTAAACTTGACGAATCTGGGTTCTGTAAATCCATAATGGGAAGGAGATGATGGAGGAAGTATTATGAAGTAGTTCACAGGCGAAGAACGAGATTAAAAGAGCGCAACAATCCGTAACGGCAGATTCGTTGAGAAAATCGAATGAAAAATTTAGGTTGTCTCTTTGAAGATCGCTTTTTAGGGGCGTGTGGTATGGCGCGTGGTATTTGATACGTGGCTGTTTTGTTTGTTAGGGGGCTCTGCGGAAACATATTTTATTGACATGACTTTCTTCTTTGCTACGATTAATTCTGCATTGTATCAATCATTTTTTCTCGAAACATTGTATTAATCTACTATATTTATAAAAAAACTTTGTATCAATCTAAGTTTAAATATCTTTCTTGCTTTCACCTAGAAGCTATTTGAGTAGCATTACTCTTAACTCTTTATAAAATAGTATATTAATTTTGTTGGTCAATGGTTGAGAATATCACAAGAAAACAATATGATTGTAAGAAGATTTTGTCAAAAACATATACAGTAATTAGTAATTTAGTAGTGAGTAATGAGAATAAGACATGTATAATTTGAATTAAAATCTAATACGTGGCATGTGCCTAGTGGGATCTCCACGCACATTCATGAAGCTGATGTGGGTAGCTTATTTTGGCGGGAACGCGTTACCACTCTTTTGACGCCACGTAGATAACTTTTGTTACAAGAAGATACGTATTAGTCCGTGGCTTGGTCCACAGGCATTATCATTTTTCGTGGTGGGTCCTCTCTTGCCGACACTCCTTTCACTACGACTATTTATTATTTCTTTTTCTTTTTCAAAAGACACAAAGAAAGATTTTTTGTTTTTTTATTGTATTGTGAAAGTTTCATAATATTTAAGATCTCTGACGTTGAATAGGAAAAAAAAAAAACATTACACCGAATTGAGGTTACAAGTGTTACCATTGGGTTTTATTAAGCTAGTATTTAATTTCCACCTTATAAATTAATCACTCTCTTGCTAAAATATCTTTAAGAGAACACGTCTTCATGAATAGAAAAATGTAAGTCGCTTATTTACAAGACGAACGTAGCTTTCATGGAAATACACTTGTAATGATTTTACCTCGCATGTATAACAAACTTTTAATTAATTCGTCACCCAAATAATTAAGTCATAATCATTGATTATTTATCCCTACCTTGTTTCTTCTCTTCCCATCGTTTAATTATAATCAGAGAGCTCAGCTTTCTAATTACACAGTCGAGTAATACCACTACTAGCTACAACTCTGATGTTGACTTTGTATGGTCAAGAGAGGTCAACGGAGATCACCACCACGAATACGGATGTTTCCGATCGCCGGGACGCGACGCCGCCGGCGGAGCCAGTCGTGAGAGATATTCACGCGATGACGACGACGGAGCTTCCACGGCTACAACAACAAAGGGGAGGAGGACACTTGTCTCCGTCGAGGTCGATGAATTTTAGCGACGGAGCTTCTTCTTCCGGCGAGAATTTCACCACCGTAAGCAGAGAGTTCAACGCTCTAGTCATCGCCGGCTCTTCCATGGACAACAACAACAACAACGGAAATAACCATCGTGACGTCATAAACGAGCTGGCTAGGATCGGTGAAAACGACGACGTTGGTGGTGGTGGTGGTGATCAACATCATAATCAGGTGCCTGAGGAAGATACGAATCCGTGGGCGATCGTACCGGATGGTTACGATAACCGGACGGCCGGTTCGGAGAATAATATTGTGTCGACGACGTCGTCAGGTGGTCAGAATCGGATGGTGACGACTGCGTCGGTGCAGAGGGTGAAGAGGGAGGAGGTGGATGCGAAGATAACGGCGTGGCAAACGGCGAAAGTGGCAAAGATTAATAATAGGTTTAAGAGACAAGACGCCGTTATTAACGGTTGGTTGAATGAGCAAGTCCATAAAGCTAACTCTTGGATGAAGAAAATCGAGGTTAGTTATTTATATCCCATTATGTATAATGAGCTGACATAGACGATATATATATGGACCTATATATTGTTTCAGACTCGGAAAAAATCTTTTCTTAAATTGAAATAAAACATTTTGTTCGTTTTTTTGTTGTCGTTAGAAAACATGCATTTTTGCAAGATTAAACACAAAGATAAATAAAATCTTATTCTTTCTATTTGCTGTTTAAGTTAATTTGCTATTAAAATTTGTTTTTGCTGGTGGAATCGATCGCTTGAAGTATAAAAACACTCTTACAGCATATATATATAAACATAAAAACAAAAGGAAACGCAAGCACATCAAGACAAGTATAATAGGCCGAAAGTAAATTGGTCGCGCTGTACTATAGAGTTAGTTTATTTTTAAAAATAAGGTACTATATATAAGGCATTATTAGCTTTATATTTAGCTTCTAATGCATGATGATGTTAGAGTTTAGTGGAGTTGGAACGTTAGTAATACTACATAGAAATAAAACGTCTTAAATCTTCTTAATCAATTAGCTCTTCATCAATTACAATGGTATATATATATATGTAATGTGATTTAATGTTGATGATGACGATCGGATCCAGAGGAAATTAGAAGAAAGGAGAGCAAAGGCGATGGAGAAAACACAAAACAAAGTGGCAAAAGCTCAGAGGAAGGCGGAGGAGAGGAGAGCGACGGCGGAAGCGAAAAGAGGGACGGAGGTTGCTAGGGTTCTTGAAGTCTCTAATCTCATGAGAGCCGTTGGACGACCTCCGGCCAAACGCTCCTTCTTCTCTATCTCCTAGCTATAAAGCCTAGCTACTTTTCATTACATCATATTTTCTCCAAATTTTTCATGTGGGTTATATATGCTACAAACGGACATCTTCTTTTGGAAATCAATGTATATAGAATGTAATAGCTATAAAGGTACTGTAAATTGTATGTTTTCTTCCATACCACAAAAAAAAGTAAGAAATTGTTGTGAACAAAAAGAGACTGAAAGTTGTGTGTATTGACAAGCCATGGAGACAGAAATATATACAAGTACAAGTTTTGAAAAGGAAGCTACGCTCTTAAATGCCTAATTACAAGAGATATCAATTAACGATATGTACAGTTATAGAGAAGTAATTGAGGAGATAGTATTTCCTAATATATGAGATTAGATTCTCATAATACCCTCCCTCAAGTTGGAGCATGTGGATTGAGGATGCCCAACTTGCCAATGATTCCTTCAAATTCTCTTCTTCCAAGTGCCTTTATGAACACATCGGCTAATTGAGATGACGAATGTACAAAACAGGGTCGTATGATATTTGCTTTAGTTGCATCACGAACCTTATGGCAATCAATTTCTACGTGTTTAGTGCGTTCGTGAAACACCGGATTCGCTGCGATGTGTAATGCGGCTTCGCTGTCACAGTAGAGGTCAATAGGAGCATCATGATTAACGCCCAAGTCTTGTAACAATCCTTTCAACCATTGTAGTTCACGCAGTGTTAGCGACATGCTTCTATATTCTGCTTCCGCGGTAGACATAGACACTACGTCTTGTTTCTTCGTTTTCCATGAAAGTGGTGAGTTACCAAGAGAGACAAACCAGCCTGTTAATGATCTTCTAGTCAGAGGGCAACCTGCCCAATCTGAATCGCACCATCCCTTAAGTGTAAGATCATCATCTGAGCTCAAAAGGATGCCTTGCCCAGGTGAGCCTTTCAAATAACGGACGACGCGTAAAGCTGCTTCCCAATGCGCTTGTGTCGGTTTCTGCATGAACTGCGACAATATATGGACTGAGTAAGTCAGGTCTGGTCGTGTTGCAAGAAGATATATCAGCCATCCCACGAAGCGGCGATACCGTTCAGGATCTGAAAGTAGTGGACTATCGGTGAGAGCAAGCCGATGTTGTTGTTCCATAGGAAATGCTGCAGGTTTACAGCCCAAGAGACCAGTTTCTTCTATAATATCCAATGTGTACTTTCTTTGATTTAAGAAAATTCCATCTTTCCTTCGTGCCACTTCAATGCCTAAAAAGTATTTAAGTGCTCCAAGATCCTTCATATGGAAGCAAGTACTTAAATACTCTTTAAATTTTCCAATTGCATCCAAGCAATTCCCCGTGATTACTAAGTCATCCACGTAAACAAGAACGTATATCCGAACTGTTCCCTTATGTAATGTAAACAAAGAGTAATCACGATATGATTGAGTGAAACCATACTTGATTAAAGCCGTTTGCAGCTTCTCAAACCAGCATCGCAGTGCTTGGCGGAGACCGTATAATGATTTGTGGAGTCGACATACAAGGTTGTCATTGGCTGCACGAAATCCAGGAGGCGGTTTCATATAAATTTCTTCTGTTAAATCACTGTGTAAGAAGGCATTATGCACGTCCATTTGGTGCAAGGACCAGCCGCGAGCAGCCACAACCTTAAGTGTAGCTCGAACTGTTGTCATCTTGACCACCGGTGCAAATGTCTCTGTATAATCTTCCCCTTCCTTTTGATTATTTCCAAGAACAACAAGTCGCGCTTTATAGCGCTCAATGGTGCCATCTGCCAGGTATTTAATTCGATAAACCCATTTAGATCCCAAGGCTTTCTCACCTGGCGGCAATTCGGTAACATCCCATGTCCCGTTGATTTCATGAGCATTCATTTCTGATCCCATTGCTGAATTCCATCGCTTATCGCGAATTGCTTCTTTGAATGTGGTGGGTTCAACTCCAGATGTAATCGCCGCAAGAAAAGCACGATGTTGTGGGGAGAATTGCTTGCAGGTTACAACATCTGAAATCGGAAAAGCACAAGTTGTTGGTGGCAATATAGGACCAGCTTGCACTGTTCGAACCACAAAATCTCTCAATTTGATCGATTTTTGTTTTTGGCGCTTTCCGCGACCAAGTTCTGTGATAGCTTCGTCGGCTGTTCTTACAGAACCCTCCCTGACTTCGGAGGATGAAGATTCAATGACGTAATGTGTTTCATTAGGGCCTGGATCCAATGTAATATTTGTTGGGCTGACTTCAGGCCCATTATCTGCAGTTGGATTTATTATTGTTTCTGGCCCAACCTCTGAAATATTTGTTGCAGGTTCCATCGGTTCTTCACCAACAATGGCGGCTCCATGTTCAGAAGTCGAAACTGCAGTTTGCACATTTGGACCAATCCGTGGTGCTTCCAAAACCCAATCACTATCAAGCTCTACATTAACTTGTGGAGCTTCTCGATTTTCCAGAAAAGATGGAAATACATCTTCCACAAAAACAACATCACGAGAAACAAATATTTGCTCTGTTTTAAGATCAAAAAGAGTCCAACCTTTCTTTCCGAATGGATACCCGACAAAGAGACATTTCCTACTGCGAGATGCAAATGTATCACCACCGCGTCGTTGATTATGTGCATAAGCAAGACAGCCAAAGACCTTCAAATTATCATACTCTGGTTCAGACCCTTAGAGGAGCTCATATGGTGTCTTTCCTTGTAATAACTGAGTCGGTGTGCGATTGATGATATATGCTGCCGTTAATACACTTTCACCCCAAAATTTCACAGGCAAATTTGCTTGGAAAAGAAGAGCTCTCGCCACATTTAAGAGATGACGATGCTTTCTCTCTGCTCGGCCGTTTTGCTGCGGCGTTCCGACACACGACGTTTCATGAACTATTCCTTGTTCAATAAACAAGTCGCTCATACACAGAAACTCAGTTCCATTGTCGCTTCTAATCCTCTTTATTTTCTGATCAAATTGCCTCAAAACCGTTGCATAAAGTTTTGAACAATTTTGCGTACTTGTGCTTTATCATGCATCAAATACACCCATGTTCCTCGAGAAAAATCATCAACTATTGTCAAAAAGTAGTGTGTATCGCAGGTACTTGCTACGCGATATGGTCCCCATACATCCAAATGTATCAATTCAAAAATCCTCGACGCTTTATTAGAACTTGAATGAAACATATCACGAGTTTGTTTAGCTCGCAAACATACATCGCAAGATGAAAAATCAGAAACTCTTTTACTAAGAACTGGAAGCAAATCAAAAACTCTATTCGACGGGTGTCCTAGCCGTTGATGCCACATATCCTCGGCTCCGTCTTTATTCGTACGAAAAGCATTAAAAACTCCTACGCGTCGGAAGAAATAGAGACCGTCTCGTAATTCACCCGCTCCAATCAACGTCCTCGTTGTACGGTCCTGTAACACACACCCGATGTTAGCAACTTGCATCACACAATCGCAGTCCTTTACGAGTTGTGATACAGATATGAGATTACACCGCAACTTTGGAACCAACAACACGTTCTGAAGAGAAAAGCTGTTATCAAAGACAACCGTCCCTTTCTTATCTGATGTAGTTTCATGATCATCAGGAAGACCAATTTTACATGGCAAAATCGTTGTCACTTCACTAAAAAAATCTGAGCAACCTGTCATATGATTGGAAGCCCCTGTATCAAGAACCCAGTCGAGAGAATCAGGCTTACCGTTTAGGCGGTTCTGGTCCCTTTTTCTGATCCTCTAGAAGTTGAATCAGTGTTTTCCACTGATCATTGTTCAGGCCAGTGAATCCGTTTCTCGCAGCTTCACTACTTTGCCCTTCAGATCCGAGTACGCAAGCTGCGTTGGCACGCACGGCTCCACCACATCCTCGACCGCGAGCAGATTTCCCTCCCCTTTCTCCCCACCATGGAGGATGGCCAATGATTTCAAAACAGTTCTCCTTGATATGTCCACGGCGTTTGCAATGGGAGCAAAGGAGCTTGCTTTTGTCTTCCACCGCATCAGTAGGTCGAGAAAATTGTACAGCAAAAGCTGCAGCTTGTACTCCTTGTTCTTCTCGGTTTCGTAATACCGTACGAACACGCTCCACCGATTTCACCTTAGAATAGACTTGATTCAAGTTTGGAAATGGCTCAGTGCTTATGATTGTGCTACGGAGACCTCCAAAGACCGCATCGTCGAGACCAAGAAGAAATTGGTGCACCTTATTATCTTCACGTTTCTTCTCCAATTGACCTCGCAAATCACAAGTACAACCACCGCAATGACAAGTCGGTGCCTGATCATAGTTTAACAGATCTTCCCACAGAATCTGTAATTTACCAAAGTAATCAATAAGGCTCATGCCTTGTTGACGACAGTTTGCCAATTCTGCTTTGATTTCCTGGATCCTTGGCCCGTTTCCTTCAGAAAATCGATATTTGATTTCCTGCCACAAATCTTTTGGATCGTCTTTGTTACCGAGAGTCCTTCGCACCTTTGGTTCAATGGTGTTAAGGATCCACAGCGCCACCATAGAGTTGACCGACATCCAATCTTCATACTCCGGTGCATCTTCCTTCGGCTTCAACACTGTCCCATCGACATAGCCGAATTTTTTCTTCACTCGCAAGGCAGATCGAATTGCTTGCGCCCATTCGTCAAAGTTATCACCGGTGAACTGCACTTGAGCAATGATTCCTCCGGGGTTTTCAGTTGCAGAAAGCTGATATGCCGAGTTGTTTTTCACGACATCAGCAGTTGCTTCATTCCTCACAGTCTCACCATTGTTAACTTGGTCATTCATTTTGTTTTATTTGTCGTGATGGCTCTGATACCATGAACAAAAAGAGACTGAAAGTTGTGTGTATTGACAAGCCATGGAAACAGAAATATATACAAGTACAAGTCTTAAAAAGGAAGCTACACTCTTAAATGCCTAATTACAAGAGATATCAATCAACGATATGTACAGCTATAGAGAAGTAATTGAGGAGATAGTATTTCCTAATATATGAGATTAGATTCTCATAATATGTTGTGAGCTAAGAAAGTGTCAGTCCATTACTAGAGCATACAAGTTTGGGGATTTCATCCAACTTTGAGTTGCCTGGTTTTGAATTTACCTGTCAGCACTCTCGAGTTTGTGTATGAACATTTTTTTGTTGTTGTAATACTACAGTCAACTACGAGATCGATAAAAAGAAAAATAAAAGTTTCGTATGACATGTGAAAATACATGATGTACTCCTTTTCGATCATCTGTATTTTTTGCTCATCTGGGCCTCTACCATAATAGATTAATGGGCCTAAAGAGCCTTTCTATGTTTTTTTTTCTATGGTTAGAGAGAGCCTATCTATGTTAAAGTCTTACATTTTCGTTCTGATTTTTCTTTCATTTGTTTCAAGTAAATAATTGATTATAAGAAGACTCAGTCTTTAGCAATCAACTAATGATCAAAGAGTTTTAGAGAACAGAGTATAAATCTCTCAGTTTAATGCCTAATTATTATTAATAGGACGACTGTCCTTTTTCAATGTTTTTGTAAGAAAACAAATTGAACAATTCATTGACTGGGTAGGAACTAGGAATCTAGGATTAGCAAAAACAATCTTGTAACGATGTAAGGATTAAGGAAGGTTCATATCATCATCGAGCTTTGGCTCTCAAATAAAATCTAACACATTTGACAAAGTCTTATTCCTCTCGCTTTCTTGTTTCCTACTCCATTGACTTTGCTCTTTTATATATTCGTTTGTTGTATAGTATAACTTATAAGTAAGTTTTAATAATTATTTCCCTTATTAAAAACGTTTTATACATTTTTTTCTTCTTCTTGTAATAATGAAATTCCCATATCATCATATAATTATTAACTATCAAATAGAGCTTACTACTAGAAAACAAATTTGGTTGGTGTGTTTAACACAATAATCATGAATGTCCACAATTCCAAAAGCAAAATTAAATTCTAGTTAATATATGCAATTTGGCATTTTTTCAATTGTATTGTTGGTTGGGACCAGGCAATAAATAAAATATTGTTAGTTGCGTCCGACGAAATGGGAAAAGAGTCAAAATCGCCGAGTTTGACCTTTAATAAAATAAAAAAAGAGGAGCACAAAAATCCCAAAAATAAAGGTCGCTCTTTTTATTTTTTGTTTTACAGTTTTACCCTTTAATGTTTCAGGATTCGAAGCTTAGAACGTGACACAGACTCGCGCTCTTATTTTTATCTGTTTACTGTGCATTTTGACTATTTTCTATTAACGAAATGACGTAAACACCATTCTCAGGTTGTTTAGTTTAAAGCTACTTGTTGCCAGAGAAGTGTTGTAATTTCTCGTAAAGCTGAGGGTACAAAATGAATAAGGCATTTGATTTCGCATTATTAGAAGAATAGAATAGGAAAATAGTCCTAAAAATAAAATTATAGTAAAGAAAGAATGAGGAAAAAAAAATTAAACAAAAAAATACAGAAATCGAAAAACAATCAAAGAGCTGGAGAAGAGAGATTAGGGAGGGAAGATTCATTTGACCTTCCTTCATCTCTCTGTAATTTTCCCTAATTTTTTCTTTATTTGTATTTTTCAGAACAAAAACATCGAACAATTTGAAAGAAAATAATTTTGACGTTAATTCGATCCATCTTCTTCGATTTCACGCGTTGAATTTCCACCCACCTTTATCATCTTCGTCTTCTTCGTCTTCTTCTCATATATATCCGTGCCCTTTCGACATTTCTTTTCCAAGTACCATCCTTTGATCTTTCCCATTTTCCTGGAATTCTGTCGTGAATCTGTGCCTAAGCTTCGTCTTCCTCTCAAGCTGCGGCGGATTTGATTTGGGTTCTTATTCGAATTTCGATTTGATCAGTCAAATTGATAGAAATCATGGGTAATTGTTGTGGAACGGCGGGATCGTTGGCTCAGAACGATAATAAGCCGAAAAAAGGAAGGAAGAAGCAAAACCCATTCTCGATCGATTACGGTCTTCACCACGGAGGCGGAGGAGCTCTTAAGCTAATCGTGCTCAACGATCCAACAGGTCGCGAGATCGAGCAGAAATACACGCTGGGTCGAGAGCTAGGCCGTGGAGAATTCGGTGTCACCTACCTTTGTACAGACAAAGAAAACGGCGACGTTTTGGCCTGTAAATCGATCCTGAAGAAGAAGCTGAGGACGGCTGTGGATATAGAGGATGTTAGGAGAGAAGTTGAGATCATGAGGCATATGCCTGAGCATCCAAATGTCGTCACCTTGAAGGAGACTTACGAGGATGAGCATGCGGTGCATCTTGTTATGGAGCTTTGTGAAGGAGGTGAATTGTTTGATAGGATTGTGGCCAGAGGTCATTACACCGAGAGAGCTGCTGCTGCTGTCACTAAGACCATCATGGAAGTTGTTCAGGTTCGTCTCTTGCTTTCTTGCATAGGATTTAGAGTCATTTTTGTCTAGAATCGGCCATTGTTCTCTGTCTCAGTTTAAGCTCTCGTGTACTGCCATTTCTGCTGGTTCTAGTTTTGGATTCTTGGACATTGTTGCAATGTAGCATTGCTTGAAGAGTACCTCTTTTTTTGCTGCATAGAGACTAAAAGAGAAAAAAAAAACATTTCTTGACATTTTGTGTGTTTTGGATTTATGCAAATCTAAACTCTCTTGGCCTTGAGTTAAAACGAGTTTCCACGTGATCTCTGTAGGTGTGTCATAAGCATGGGGTAATGCATAGGGACCTAAAACCCGAGAATTTCTTGTTTGCAAATAAGAAAGAGACTGCACCTCTCAAGGCGATTGATTTCGGTCTCTCTGTTTTCTTTAAACCAGGTATTGTGCTCTGTTTGCTTTTCTGTTCTCTACTCCTTTGCGGTAATGGCAACAATCTTAACCCACACTGTTGTTTGCTTTGCAGGCGAGAGGTTTAACGAAATCGTTGGTAGTCCGTACTACATGGCTCCCGAGGTGCTAAAACGTAATTACGGGCCAGAAGTTGACATTTGGAGCGCAGGTGTTATTCTTTACATACTGCTTTGTGGTGTCCCGCCTTTCTGGGCAGGTTAGTTTTCTTCGGTCTATATTTCTTTCTTCTTGGGTCGTCTATGGCAAATGTTCCTTTAGGGGGACATATTTGAAGTGATCATAAGAATAACGAACCTTATCTTTTGTTTGTTTATACCATTTACAGAGACTGAACAAGGAGTTGCACAAGCTATTATTCGATCTGTAGTAGACTTTAGAAGAGACCCATGGCCCAAGGTTTCCGAAAATGCAAAAGACCTTATCAGGAAAATGCTTGATCCTGACCAAAAGCGCCGTCTTACAGCTCAGCAAGTGCTAGGTACACTTTTACACTCTCCAAGGATAGCAATTTGTTAATGTTTGTCAGATGGAATCTTAGATAGAGAAAGAGTAATAATCGGTTTTTCTTCACTTTTGCGCAGATCATCCGTGGCTACAGAACGCAAAGACAGCTCCCAATGTATCATTGGGTGAAACAGTGAGAGCAAGGCTGAAGCAGTTCACCGTCATGAACAAGCTTAAGAAACGAGCACTCAGGGTAAGATATATATATATTATAGCTTGCTGAAAAAATAGCTCTTGGAATCTTAAAAGCATAAGCAGTAGTTTTAACTCTTCTTTTTACATTTTCTCTGTAGGTTATTGCTGAGCATTTATCGGATGAAGAAGCTTCTGGTATAAGAGAAGGGTTCCAAATAATGGACACAAGCCAGAGAGGGAAGATTAACATCGATGAGCTAAAAATTGGGTTGCAGAAACTTGGTCATGCCATTCCCCAAGACGATTTACAAATTTTGATGGACGCTGTAAGCTTTTTTATTTATCATTACTTACAAATGCCAGCTTTGAAGGTACTATAAACGCAATGCACTTGTTTTGCAGGGAGATAACGATAAAGATGGATACTTGGACTGTGACGAGTTCATTGCCATATCGGTGCATCTCAGGAAAATGGGCAATGATGAGCATCTCAAGAAAGCGTTTGCGTTCTTTGATCAAAACAATAACGGATATATCGAAATAGAGGAGCTAAGGGAAGCTTTGTCTGATGAAGTTGGCACAAGCGAAGAGGTTGTTGATGCCATTATTCGCGATGTTGATACCGATAAGGTTGGTTAGCCTCATCATTTTCACTCCTTTTATTGATTGACAAAAATCTGAGAAACAACTAAAACATGGTCAAATTCTTTCTTTTTGCAGGATGGAAGAATAAGTTACGAAGAGTTTGCGACGATGATGAAAACGGGAACAGATTGGAGAAAAGCTTCGAGGCAATACTCGAGGGAACGGTTTAACAGTATCAGCCTCAAACTGATGCAAGATGCGTCGTTGCAGGGTAATGGCGATACAAAATGAGAGAGGCTTAATCTGTCACTCGGCATTAGAAGATTGAATCAAAGAGATGCAAATCTTTCTTCATTTCTTTATTATTATTATTTTTTTTTATCTTTTTGGGTTTTTTTTCCTTACACCACGATTAAAGCTTTTGTAGGCATATAAGCTGTAACGAATTGTGTGTTTGATTTTTCTAGCTGAAAGAGCGAGTGTGTACGGATCAAGAGAGAAAAAGAGTGTGGTCTGTGCCTGTGTGTAGATATTTTGTATAATTGTATCTGGAAAAGATCATCATCAAATTTTCTATAACAATTTAAGCATTATATGAGAGATTGGATTTGTTTTTTTTCTTTTGTTTATGGGAAATCCAGAAGATAGCCTTTTATCATTTCTACCCTATTAGTCAGATTTTATATACGCATATGATAGAAATCTTCTTTACTTTATCTTTGCTTTTTGTTTTTTAAGTTTATATGTAACATTGCCATATTGGTGATTTTTTCAAAGAAAGTTAGAACTTCAAGTATTTTGATCGAAAATTGTGTAATTTGTAAAATCAACCCGATTTGCTTTTAAAATTTACATTAATGCTATATGAAAAAAAAAATTGAAAGATACTTAGGAATAAAACTTGTTTTTCAATGTTTTTTAAACGTGGTTTATGTCTAGAGTGAAATAACAAATGGAGAAGAAAGTGTACGGTTGCATAATCATCAAGAACTTTACAAACCTCAGTGATATCTTCAAAACTCGTTAAGCAGATGAGTCAGGAAAATTTAACCATGAGAGTTTGCTTTACAAATTTCACGATGTAAATCCATGATCTTTTTCTTTTTCATGGTCGAGTTTTTTTTTTTTCTTATTAGAAAAGGTATCTCAGGGACGACTTTCTGTCTTCACTCTTCACTTTTGTTTTTTTTGTTAGGATCTCTTTAAAAATACGTAAAATTCTTATAAGAAAAATGCATAAGAAAAAATCATATGGCCTGGACATTTTTCCCAAATCATTTATCGCTGAGTCCACAAAAATTCAGACCAATACACAGAAATGTTTTTATTTGCTTATCGCCATATCGAATCTCAACACAAGTACACTAAATTTTATGTCGTCTATATTATTGTCATCATGCATACAAACACCACCAATCAAATTTTTATTTTTTCTGAACCACAACTAACCAGCCAGTAACCCAACATTCCCCATTAAAATATATAGATATATATATATATATTATCTATATATATATACTTATTCCAAATAGTAGTGGAGTAATTTTGAATCAAATTTATTTTTTTCCATGAAACATCTTCTTTTTTCATTAAATTAAGCGGTTAAAAAAACTGTTTGTTACATAGATTTTAGTTACGTACCAATCACTGATTTTAAATCATTTTATTACTAGCCGAGTTTACAACTGTTCAGGATTGTGAGGTGTGACATCAAGTGGATCCGAGTTAAATTGCCCTCTTATACCATCACTGCACTTCTATTCTATATATTTATCACAATCACAGAACAAAAGGGCAGTTTAAGATCGGATCATTGCTTTTTGGTTAAAACGTCTTACGAATATCCACGTCGTAGTAGTCTCATCGACACGGGAGACTTACGTGGCCTTTTACCGAATTTGATTCAAATTATTAAAACCATCAATCATGCAAAAGGTGTGAGGACGAACGGTCCACGAACGATGCACATGTCCGATGTGGACTTTGTATTGTAGTACTAGTAGTAGAAAAACAATCAATATGCTTTTGGAAGGATACTAATCATGATTAAATGAGTCGACATTAATATCATAATTAATGGTAATATTGAAATACATGCAGCCAACAAAATTTATAATCGTATCACACACCTAATGTCTAATGATAAAAAAAAACTCGAAAGTGAAAAAGGAATAGAGACAATGACATGCTAAACTGATCGATGAACTCGAGCTGACGTGTCCGGGACCTACTTGCGCCGTTTAATTGCAAAAACATAAAAACTTGACCCACTTTATTTGACCCCTGTGTCCCTTTCTTTTTTGTTGTTTTTGGAAAAAAATACTCGTCTTTTTATATATTATATAATATTATATAGGTGAGTATATATATATGTATTATTTTGTGTGGTGGAGGTAAGAAGAAGACGATGAGTGAAGGAGTAGAGAGAGAAGAGAAGAGATGTTCTTCTTATTTCACTCGTGTAACTACTAGTTTACAAGGGGAGGTAACAACATATTTATAACAAACATTATGAATATAATAAGAGAAGTTATCGACATGGTAAGTCGGTCAATGGCGGTGATATTTGATGAGGATAATTATCCTCTCTTCTTTAACACTCCCCCTTAATTATCCATCATCTTTAATATATTACGTACTGCCTCGTTAAAAACCTTATCATGGAAAAACCCAATGGGATAAAAACCATGACAAGGAAAAAAGAGTACAGTAACGTAATCTCCCCCTGGAATGATGGATATAACGTTCTCTTCATAAATCCCGTAAATGACGCATTCCGATACTTTGAATATGCTTTCTGAATACTGTAGTAGGAAGCGCCTTTGTAAAGAGGTCCGCCGCATTTTCACATGAACGAACATACTGGATATCGACTTCTTGATTCTTCTCGAGCTCTTGAGTATAAGAGAAAAATCTTGGAGGAATATGTTTCGTTCTATCACTCTTGATATAGCCTTCTTTTAGTTGAGCAACACATGCAGCATTATCTTCGAACAATCTTGTCGGTTCTTTGTTAATGGCTATTCCACTTGCTTCTTGTATATGATTGAGTCATAGATCTGAGCCATACACATTCTCTACATGCTTCATGAAGCGCAATAGTTTCTGCATAATTTGAAGAAGTGGCGACTAATGTCTGCTTTTGAGAACGCCAAGAGATTGCAGTTCCTCCAAACGTAAAAACATATCCAGTTTGCGATCTAGCTTTATGAGGATCTGATAAATAACCTGCATCTGCAAAACCGACTAAACCAAGTTTGGAGTTTCTAGGGTAAAACAATCCCAAGTCAATTGTTCCTTGAAGATAACGGAATATATGTTTTATTCCATTCCAATGTCTGCGCATAGGAGACGAACTATATCTTGCCAGTAAATTGTAGCAAATGCTATATCCGGTCGGGTACAATTTGCAAGATACATAAGTCCACCAATAGCGCTCATATAAGGTACTTCAGGACCTAATATTTCTTCGTTATCTTCACAAGGTCGAAACGGATCTTTTTCCGTATCGAGAGATCGATTAACCATTGGAGTACTCAAAGGAGTCGCTTTATCCATACAAAAGCTTTTTAATATCCTTTTAGTATAATTTGATTGATGTATGAATACTCCATCTCGGAAATGCTCTATTTGTAATCCAAGACAAAACTTTGTCTTTCCGAGATCTTTCATTTCGAACTCTTCTTTCATATGAGTTTTTGCATTATCAATCTCTTTTTGAGTTCCAATAATGTTCAGGTCATCCACATAAACAGCAATGATCACGAATCCTGACGAAGATTTCTTAATAAAGACGCAAGGGCAGATTGCATTATTCACATACCCTTTCTTTAGTAAATATTCGCTTAAGCGATTATACCACATGCGTCCGGATTGTTTTAATCCGTAAAGTGATCGCTGTAACTTGACTGAACATATTTCTTTCGATTTGGAACTTAATGCTTCAGGCATTTTCAATCCTTCAGGGATTTTCATATAGATATCATTATCAAGTGATCCATATAAATATGCTGTCACAACATCCATAAGATACATTTCAAGATTTTTGGATGCCGCAAGACTCATTAAGAATCTGAATGTAATTGCATCCATAACCGGAGAATAAGTTTCTTCATAATCAATTCCCGGTCTTTGAGAAAATCCTTGGGCGACAAGTCGGGCTTTATATCTTGTCACCTCATTTTTCTCATTTCTTTTTCTCACAAAAACCCATTTGTACCCAACCGGCTGTACATCTTTAGGTGTTGTAACAATCGGTCCAAAAACTTTCCTTTTATTAAGGGAGATCAATTCAGTTTCTATGGCCATTTTCCATTTCTCCCAATCAGATCTTTTCTGGCATTCTAATATGGACCTTGGATCTGGATCATCAATTTCATATTCAATTTCTTTGCATACAGAGAATGAAAATATTCCATCATTATCTTCTATTTCATCTCTAGCCCATAATATCCCATCTTGGGCATAATTGATGGAAATCTCATGATTTTCTTCGTCATTTTCGTCTTCAAGACCTTTCTCTGTATGTGGTTCTTCTGGACTATTTTCATTTTGTTTTCCCAATTTCTTTTTCTTTCGGGGATTTTTATCCTTTGAGCCAATCGGCCTCCCCCTCTTTAACTGAACTTTGGGTTCATTCGCTATTTTTCCATCATTTTGTTCTTCCGGAACATTAATTCTCGATGGAACATTTGCAGCGGGTATATATGACTTTGTCACCCTTTTCGTATCTGTGAATGCATCTGGTATTTCATTTGCCATATTTTGTAAATGAACAATTTTCTGAACTTCGAGTTCACGTTGTTTCGTAGGGGGATCAAGGTGCAACAAAGATGGTGTGCACCATGTAACATCTTTTGGAACTTCTTTAATTCCTCCCCCTAACGCTGGAAATTCATCTTCATTAAAATGGCAATCGGCAAAACGTGCCGTAAACATATCACCAGTTTGCGGTTCAAGATACCTAATTATACTCGGTGACGTATAACCGATATATATTCCCAATCTTCTTTGCGGCCCCATTTTTAATCTTTGTGGCGGGGCTATCGGAACATAAACCGCACACCCGAACACACGTAGGTGGGATACATTTGGCTCTTGGCTAGATGCTAATTGTATTGGGGAATATTTATTATAAGAACTCGGTCTTATCTGAAGCAATGCTGCTGCATGCAAGATAGCATGACCCCATACTGAAATTGGGAGCTTTGTTCTCAATATTAACGGTCTAGCAATGAGATCATTACCTCCATATATTTGATCTGAGGAGACATAGTCTACCATATGATCATGATCGTAAAGGCATAGCCTCCATAACGATCGGTTCGGAGAAGGCAGCGCCTATCATCCCGACCATAAAATATAAACATAAAAGTAAACGGATTGAACATAAATTAAACCTCACCTTTTCGGTATAGGAACGGTATAAGAATGGCTCGTGCTGATAACGTTTTATGTATTATATGATATTATATAGGTGAGTATATATATATGTATTGTTTTGTGTGGTGGGGGTAAGAAGAAGACGATGAGTGAAGGAGTAGAGAGAGAAGAGAAGAGATGTTCTTCTTATTTCACTCGTGTAACTACTAGTTTACAAGGGAAGGTAACAACATATTTATAGCAAACATTATGAATATAATAAGAGAAGTTACCGACATGGTAAGTCGGTGATATTTGATGAGGATAATTATCCTCTCTTCTTTAACACGTCTCTCTTTATTCGAACTTAATGCAATTATTAGAGAGATGAGTAGATGACTGTATGCGAAGAGATTATTAGAAAAGCTTGATTATGCTTTTTTTGCTTCGCTTGATTATGTTTTTTTATCTTCACTTGATTATGTTTTTTTTATCTTCGCTTGATTAAAATGCATCTAGGACGAATACGATATTAAGAACAATCATCTCCTCTCTCTCACGCTCATCTCTCCTCCACTCTACTTGTATAAGCTTTAAAGAATCTCTCTATACGGAGAAATTAAATTAACTTTTGTCAAAAAAGAAAGGAGAAATTTTACGCAAACATTTTACTCTATTTTAAAATAATTAAAAAGTATTAGAAACTCGGAAGTGAAGGGTTTGAGACTCCGAGTCACGAATATGGACCATATATACATATATAGTTTAGTTAATTAACATTAACACGAAAATTTCAATTTAGCAAAAAAAATAATAATATAATACGAAGAGCATACAGAATATACGAGAAGACGAGATGTAATATTAAACTTCCTATATATACGTACATATTAGTATCGCTCCGATTCAATAATGGCATATTATCCATATAACGAAAATTTTGTGGCTTTTAGTAAGAAAGAGCAGACAAGTGAACCAGCCCGGTTACAACCGAGTCGCCAAGTGTTGACCACAAACATGGTTCCAGATAAGTGGATAAGGATAGTGACATATCAAGTGGGTACGTGTGACGGTCTGTATCTCAAAGTTCTCAACGACTACGTTGTTATGATATGCGCCGCAAAGGAGTCAAAATAAAACCCAACTTGTATTATTAATTCTCAATCATACAGAAACATAAAACAATAAACCAACATGGTTTTTTTTTTATCGTAAAAAGATAGACTTGGGGGGCGTATATAACAAAGGTCGTTCACTCGTTCTGTTGCAAAGCTTTTATACATAGCGATGAAATTAATAATATTCTGAGAATCTGCGGACAGTTTTTAAGTGTGACCCAATCTTTAATAGAGAGTCACTTCAGTCATCAATTCCTTGGGATGAGCAAATCCTAAAACAAAGCCAAGCCGTTAGATTTGACATGTACAAGATGTCTCCTTCGTTTTTTTTTTTTTTTTGCTAAATGATTTAAACACATCTCACCTTATATTAAGCGATAACTAGACAATGATTTTATGTTGGGATAAGAACGATATATGTAATATGTTTTGTAGCGTTTTCGTTATTATATATCTGAAGATTATTTTTGTGAAGCATAAACGAAGAATATACAGTAGGTGTACTGTTAGATGGAGAAATTAAAGAAAGAATATCCAAAATTTGTGAATTCAAGACACCTGAGTACCTGTACCGTCCATGTGCTTTAAAACCATTGCACCAGAACTCCTGACTTGACTTAGCCCATAAGATTTCCAAATTTATCGCAAATATGTACGTCATCATTATAGAAGATATAAAAAGTATAGTGTTAACTAAAATATCTGTAAAACTGATAGGTGAATCGGTGATTATATGTGTATATACTACTGGCCTTCTCATAAGAAACGCCGCACGCGATTCAAAATATATATAAAAAGACGCGTATAGAACAACGTTACAAGTTTTCTTGTACATCTGGGACTTCTTATCATTTGTGCCAAGAGATCGATTAACTACGCTTATAGTTTTCGTATTAAGATTTGATTCAATATTTAATATGATTTTTTTTTACAGCCTTAAAACAACCATGATTTCAACATTTCAGATTTTAAATAATCTCGGTTTCATTTTAGAGTTAATTGACATTTAACAACAATTTGTTTTCATAAGCTTTTTTTTTTAACTGGAATTTTTTAACTTATATCCATATAAAATTATTATTGTTATTTATTTTAAGGAATATAAAAACATTTGGTTTAATGTATGAAAACTGACCCCCAAAAAAATCAAAAGATGAAAGGACAGTAAAAATAGGTGACAAATTGAAAAGTAGTTAATAATTGTTTTTTTTTTAATGAGTTGTATCTGATTCAGCAATAAGCTAGAGACGAAAAATATCATGATTTTTCTATCACTTTTTTTGAGTTTTCCATTTCCACGGAAAAAGCAACACGACACGTGTCGACATCGTAACGGCTCTTCCCAAATCTCCTCGCATATATAAACCGTCTTCTCCGCCACCACCATCATTCGGCAAACAAACACCGATTCGATTCTTGAATCTTGACCAGTGATTCTTTCCATTGACGGAGCCACCAGCTTTGGGCGGCGATTCCGTGTTCTCCTGTAGAAGCAACATTTTGGTCCTGCATAGTTGACTTTCTCTCTCCTTTCTTATTTACCACCGCATTTTCTCTCTCTTTCAGTCTCGGACGAACGGGAAGCAATCCGGTGAGTTCCGCTGATTTATTCGAATTCATTTTTTTGTTGCATTTCTAGGTCATTTGTGATTTCGTTGATTCGTCGTGTCTTTTCTGTTTTCTCATTTTTTTTCTCCCTCTTATAAAAAAAATGAAGAATAGGTGGAAGTAACAAATTAAACAAACATGAAACAATTCTGATTTACTCTATCAACTGAGAGTAAATCTTTCAATCCATGAATTCTGCAATTCGTCTAATTTACTCTAAATTTTCTTACCATTCACACTCTGAAATGAGAGATATTTGAAATCTCCAGTTTGCTTCTTTCTTAGATTAATAATCTATTTTTGGAAATGTTTTAATCAGAATTTGTTCCCAAGAGAAGGCTTTTTGTTTTGTTTTTGTTTTTCGTTTTTTGAACTTGTCACTTAGGGATGTAGAAAATATCCAGCTCAAGCTTGGATATTGGTCATCAGGTATTTAGTCGATGGAATGTTTTGAAGAAGAGCGTAGAGCAAGAAGATTATTGTTTTTTTGGGGTCTAAATGTTAAGATTATAAAATTAGACCGCAAAAGATTATTGTTTAACGTTGGTTTATCTGTTGTGAATTGTGTGAAACAGTTAACTTAAGCGGTCTTGAGAAGATGACGATTACATCAAATATCTCTGTCCAAAACGACAACCTCGTTGTCCAAGGGAAGACAATCCTGACCAAAATCCCCGACAACATTATCCTAACTCCGGTTACCGGTGCTGGATTTGTTTCCGGCGCTTTTATAGGTGCAACATTTGAACAAAGCAAGAGTCTCCATGTGTTCCCAATTGGTGTCTTGGAGTAAGTACCAAACTTTGAGTTTCCCTGCGATAGTGTTTTTCTATCATTATTTGAGCAATTAAGATGGTTGTTGGAACTTATTGTTTCTAAATCTTTCACTTTCAGGGGCCTTCGGTTCATGTGTTGTTTCCGCTTTAAGCTATGGTGGATGACTCAGAGAATGGGAAGCTGTGGAAAAGACATTCCTTTGGAGACACAGTTCATGCTACTGGAGAGCAAGGATGAAGTTGAAGGAAATGGAGATGATGCTCCGACCATCTATACCGTCTTTCTCCCTCTACTTGAAGGCCAGTTCAGAGCTGTTCTTCAAGGGAATGAGAAGAATGAGATAGAGATTTGTCTCGAGAGCGGTAAGTGAACTAACTAGTTTTGCAGGTGTTCCATCTTACAACTTCCAGAACTCAAGAAACTGATATTTTGTTTTGATTGATTTTCTTTTCGCAGGAGATAAGGCGGTTGAAACTAGCCAGGGAACCCACCTTGTCTATGTCCATGCTGGAACCAATCCCTTTGAAGTTATCAAGCAATCCGTAAAGTATGTTTGGAAAATAGCCGAAAATATTACGTTTTGTTTCGAGTTTCCTGGATGTTAAGGTTATGTGTGCTCAACTAACACATGGTAATCCTTCGTTGTGTACAGAGCTGTAGAGAGACACATGCAGACATTTCATCACCGTGAGAAGAAGAAGGTCAGTAAACATTCCACGGTTATGGTCACAGAGAAAGAGCTCACTTAGATTTTATATGATCTCCTTATGTTCTTCCTCTTTGTTTGTTTAGCTGCCTTCTTTCCTAGATTGGTTTGGCTGGTGTACATGGGATGCGTTCTACACAGACGTGACTGCCGAGGGCGTTGATGAAGGCCTTAGAAGGTATACCAAGTAGAGTGACATGTTGTTAATATAATGGTAATTGTTTCAAAGCTCTATAAGTTGATCGAGTCTCTGATACCTTTTGGTTTATTGCAGTCTTTCTGAAGGAGGTACCCCTCCTAGGTTTCTGATCATAGATGATGGTTGGCAACAGATAGAAAACAAAGAGAAAGATACAAACTGCGTTGTCCAGGAAGGAGCACAGTAAGATCTCTCGGTCATTTTTTTTTTTTTTTTGTATTCATGGAGACGAAACTGGCATGGAAAATGCTAATGTTTTTCTGCATTCATATATATATATTCAGGTTTGCTACCAGGCTTGTTGGTATCAAGGAGAATGCAAAATTTCAGAAGAATGATCAGAAGGATACGCCAGCATCAGGACTTAAGAGTGTAGTTGACAATGCGAAGCAGCGCCATAATGTGAAGTATGTCTTTTCATCTTATAATTTGTTAAACTCTCTGTGATTATTCAAGCTGGTTAGTTTTTATTAGCTAGAACATTTAGCTTTGCATACTTACACGGCTTGACTACTCTATTCACAGGCAAGTTTATGCGTGGCACGCTTTAGCTGGCTACTGGGGTGGAGTTAAACCCGCTGCCTCTGGAATGGAACACTATGACAGTGCATTAGCATACCCAATTCAGTCCCCAGGTGTCTTAGGGAACCAACCAGATATAGTAATGGACAGCCTCGCTGTTCATGGTCTCGGTCTTGTCAACCCTAAGAAAGTGTACAACTTCTACAACGAGCTGCATTCCTATCTGGCTTCATGTGGTATAGACGGAGTCAAAGTCGATGTGCAGAACATCATCGAAACACTTGGTGCTGGTCTTGGCGGAAGAGTCTCTCTCACTCGCAGCTACCATCAGGCTTTAGAAGCTTCCATTGCGCGGAACTTCGCAGATAATGGTTGCATTTCATGTATGTGTCACAACACAGATGGACTATATAGCGCTAAGCAAACCGCTATTGTTAGAGCTTCCGATGATTACTACCCGAGAGATCCTGCCTCTCACACCATCCACATCGCATCGGTTGCATACAACACCCTTTTCCTTGGGGAATTCATGCAACCTGACTGGGACATGTTCCATGTAAGTGAAGAAAGATTTTGTCTTTAGATGTCTAGAAAGAATGAGATCACTTATAAATGAAGCTTTGTTGTTTCCAGAGTTTACACCCAACTGCAGAGTACCATGCTGCAGCGCGTGCTGTTGGTGGATGTGCAATTTATGTCAGGTAAAACCTTTCCTCTTGTCTTTAACACTATTTTTCTGACTTGGTAAGTGTTTAATCCGAGGTTCTAACCAGAGATGTGTTTTGTAAAATTACATGAGCAGTGATAAGCCAGGGAACCACAACTTTGATCTGTTGAGGAAGCTGGTTCTTCCAGATGGATCAGTTCTTCGTGCTCAGCTTCCTGGTAGGCCTACCCGTGACTGCTTATTCGCTGATCCAGCTAGAGATGGGATAAGGTTTGCTTTTGTTTTCTTTCTAACTCGTTTCCTCTTTAATTTTCACCCTCCTAAGCCTAACACTTTGCGAAAACTGAATTTTTATTTGTCAGCTTGCTCAAGATATGGAACATGAATAAGTTCACTGGTATGGTTGGTGTATTCAACTGTCAAGGTGCTGGTTGGTGCAAGGAAACGAAGAAGAACAGGATTCATGATACTTCTCCTGGAACACTCACTGGTTCGGTCCGTGCTGATGATGCTGATCTCATTTCTCAAGTTGCTGGTGCAGATTGGAGTGGAGATTCAATAGTCTACGCTTACAAATCAGGTAATAAAAAAAAAAAATCTACTTTACACAGACAAGACAAAAACTCAGAACATTACAGAGCAATGCTTAAAAAACACGAGCTTGGTTTCAATTCTACAGGGGAGGTGGTAAGACTACCAAAAGGTGCCTCAATCCCACTCACTCTCAAAGTCCTTGAATATGAACTCTTCCACATCTCTCCTTTGAAGGTATAAAAATTTAGTATTATTATATACTACTGCTATTGATTTTCTAATCACAATGAAAATGAAGAATCTTTTCCTTTTTGGGTTGAAATTTGGATATACAGGAAATCACTGCAAACATCTCGTTCGCACCTATTGGTCTACTAGACATGTTCAACTCAAGTGGGGCTATCGACTCCGTTGATATCAATACCGTGACCGACAAGAAAGCAGAGCTCTTCGATGGAGAGGTCTCCTCTTCTCCCGCGCTCAGCGAGAACCGTTCTCCAACAGCTCTGGTATCTCTAAGTGTTAGAGGTTGTGGTCGTTTTGGAGCTTACTCTTCTCAGCGTCCACTGAGATGCACCGTAGATAAGACCGAGACTGATTTCAAATACGATGCGGAGGTTGGGCTTGTGACGTTGAGTCTGCCGGTGACGAGGGAGGAAATGTTCAGATGGCGTGTAGAAATTCTGGTCTAAAATTGGAAAAAACCTCGAGATCTATATAGTTTGGGGTTATTTTTCTTCTTCACATTCATCATTATATTGTATTAGATGTTTAAGATTTTAGGACATGCATGGTTGTAGTAGTAGTAGTATCTTCGCATGTAATAATGTTGTTACCTTTTTAAATTAGGGAGCCGATGTCTCTCTGTAGTTTTATACTAATAAACTCTTTTAAAAATAAAATTAATCCTTAACTCCATATCTTTATTTTGGTTTTTCTTTCTTCTCATATGAAACTGGACTTTAAACTTTGGTTTGAGGAATGATAAAAAGAATACTAGAAAAGAAAAACCAAATCTATTCTTTTAGTGTCTGATTCTGACAAACCGCAAATCCACAAATAAGAAGAACGAACACTGGTAAAAGCATTTTTTCTTAAACTTGAGAGTTTATTTATCTGAAACGGATATGTCTAACAAAAATTAAATTATGTTATCAGGTCTATTTTGTAGGAATTAATCCAAAACCATAATGTTTTTTTCTTTTTAGAATTAGTAGGGCGTTTAGTAACAAATGTAAAATATTAGGCAGTTAGGCCTCTAGGCAAATAAATCGATAAACCGACACCTTTACTTTTACTATATGTACACCCTTGATAGTATTTATATATGCAATTAATTATATATATACAGAAAAGGAGGGTGATAAGAATAAAAGATAGAAAGAGTTAGGAATTACATTACTTCCAGAGAGAGAGAAAGAGAGAATACGTAATTTAAGGGGTCAATACGAATAATGATGACAATTCACAGAGTCAGTTATACGATCATCAACTTTGTGCCACATTCCATGCGTCTAGTACCAACGATTTTACCATAATATTATTTTTAACAACAAAAATTTCAGGATTACATCATCATCTCGTCAAAATTTTCTCATCTATGATCTCTTATTTTACCTGAACTATAATAACAAAGTTGTAGTTAATATTTTTTAGATTTGTGTCAATATATATAATTTTGTTTTCTTAATACGGTATGCTAATGGAATGTGTTGCCCACAATTTCCTTTTTGCGTGTCGAGCAAATATTCCAGTTTTGGTCTGTTGGTCGTTAATTGGCATGCTTCCCCCAACCATGCATATTAATCGTAGATTCTTATTTTAAGTTCAATTATATTTTGTAATGTTCTTCACGTGTGTAAATGATATCGTTTTTAGGAGATTTGATCAGAGGTTTAATATTTTGATAACAGACGTGGTTTACTTATTTTGATCATAAATACTCCATCCGTTCTGCTTATATGAAATGTTTTTGGAAAAAGTTTTCTTTTGTTGGTTTTTTCAAGTTTCTATACAAAAATTCATTTTATTTGATGTTTGTGACCATTTATATTGTTTAATTGATCCTTATTTAAATATGGAATAATGTTTTAATGCACAAACAAAAGAAATTGGAATTTATGTAAAATTCATAATTTTGGTTTCAATTTCATACTCTCTCCGGATTTATTTAGTTGTCGTTTTAAGATTATGCACACAGATTAAGAAAATATTAATTGCATTAGTTTTTCAATATAAAAACATTATTAATTATTTATTTAAATACAATTCAACTAATAATAAAATAAATTGTATAATAAAAATAATTATAAAAAATAAAAAAACTAATAAATATTGCATTGAAAACTGAAAACGACAACTAATTTAAAACAAACAAAATTCTCTAAAACGATAACTAATAAAAAACAGAAGAAGTATATAACAACGGAAAGTTGGAATTTCTATTGTTTAATACATTCAATTACTCTTTGTAAAATTTAAAATATTTTATATTAGACATGTTCTTTTTTTTTGGTCAAACATTAGACATGTTCAAGATCTTAGATTACTTGGTGATGATTGTATCTTTTTTATCTGTTCAACTAGTCATTTTTCTATGTATTTTTTTATTACGCCAGTCATGTTTGCGTTTATGTTTCATTTTTAGTACAATTATTTACTCATTTTGTTTTATAATAAGTGTTGTTTTAGATTTTATTTTTTGTTTCAAAAAGAATGTCATTTTGCATTTTCAATGTAATTTTTTACTCTTATTTCATTTTTTATCTCTCATTTAAAGATAATAGTTTTTGTAATTAAATGTTATAAAATCATATTAATTAAGGATATATTTATATATTTAATTAATTTTTTAATCTGTGTGAAATGTATCAAAATAACAACGGAGAGAGTAATAAACTTAATTGGATTATTTGATCATACACTAGGTATTAATTGGATTACGACCTGTAGCATTTACATCGAACGTAATAGGACATTAATATCTCAACATTAAAATCAGAAAAACATTAGTTAGCTCATCAATATATCAAACCTGATACGGCGCACGAAACCCCAAAGCATTCAATTTTAAACGTACATGTCTTTTCTATCGTTTTCAGTTTTTGAGTTTTTCTTTCTTTGCTCTTTTACCGACACCAAGTAATTAAAATATAAAAAGTAAAATGAAAGTATAATTGAAATATTGACATCCAACGAAAATGATGAGCAAGTTGAATCCTAAACATTTATTACGAAAAATACAACAAAATAAATTCAAAGAAGGAAGCAATAACTAAGGAAAAGTTAGAATAGCGACTGGATAAATTTCCAAAAGACTTCCCACCATACCTTTAAGTCTGGCAAGCAAACTTCGCAGTTCGCACCATACGTATAAATGTACATATTTGTACTAATTAATTGGTAATTATCACAAAACATTCAAAGTAATTATTTTATATGTAACGGATAATTACGTGATCTTTTGTGGTTGTTAATCGATAAGATCATAAGAACATAGTATGAATGGGCATATTTATGAGTCTTTATCGTAGTTCTTGATGTATAATAGTACTTTTTAGATATTAGGTTACTTGAAGCCGTAAGTTAATACTTTTCGTGTTAATAAAAGACTAGATATAATATATTTTGTTTTAATGATTACATCAAAACTTAAAATGACGAGATATACATATGTATATCATCTAACTATATATATAGTCACATGACTCACATTAATTAGACGACGAATACGCTTCTCACCATTCACAGTTTGGTTTGCTTTATAACGGATAATGCACTTCATCATTTTACTTGATTGAATACATTACTCTTTATAATATTATCTTAATGTGTTTCTCAACTTGTAAACTGGTCTCTCAAACAATTTATGAAGTCTTATTTGATCTCAAATCTCTAGATTGTAAATTTTTATATTGAATCAACCCGTCGATAGTTAAATCTCACGTTTAAACAATTAGTGGACAAAAGAATACTGAACCTAACAAGTTTTCTGAGTTTTTTTTTTTCTTGAAATGTTCTGGAATTTAAAAGGTATTGATTAATGATAAATACTGAACCTATAAACTAATCAACCACCAAACTTATGAGACGTGTCGTTAGAGAATTTCAGGCTAATAATTTTCAACATTTGGGACGTCTTCCATACTAGAAAAATCATTTGGCACTTTTGATTTAAATACTAAAACCGTTCCCAAGGATAAACTTGTTAATTGACTTAAGTTCCACAATAATACTCCCGTTCATGATTTAATTATATCGTATTATTACACATTTTGTCACTCATTACATATGGCATTTCTAGTGCCGTTTACGTATTTACATTTCTAATTTGAGTTTGGTATTTTTACACATTATGTATAATCCTACCTTTCTAATTCGAGATTAAAGGAGTTTTCACTACTTCATAGTTCATATACACACTGAAATATTTGGAAAAATATCCTCGTGTTAAAATTCAAATGTATCTACTATTGATTCCTGACCCCGACTATAGTTAGTAAGAAAATCTGCACTTAATACAGTGGGAGACACATATGTACTGAATTCTAATCTCACTTGTGCGATGCGACCTAATAATCTAATCTCGGTTTAATTGCAAGTCACCTTTTCATTTACTGAGAAAAAACCTGATTTATTTATGTGTTTTATTTTATTGAATTTATACTTCTATATTAAAAGAAAATTATGCATTTTTTTTGTTTCTTGTACATATAGTTATATTTTATATCTTAGTCTTCAAATAGATTTTTTTTATAAAATACCTTTTTTTTGCATAAATATTTTATATCTTAGTTTTATATTCGCAGATTCAAATCATGGATCGAAGATATCATCATCACCATACACTGATACACCTCACAACTTGGTGATAAGATTCAATAAATCTATAGCTAACTCTAACCAGCTGAAATATATAGGAAACCAACTAACATGAGTAACGGTTGAAAAAATACTTCATCTATTCGACCAACCTAACCGGCTTTGGTCCCCGATCCGAGGAAAATCCCGAACACAAAGAGAAAGACAGAAAGATCGCGAATTCGAGCACAGGCAACGAATACAAAACTAACGTAATATGTTTTGGTCCCCGATCCAAGGAAAATAATTCCCTTGATTTATATACATATATGTTATGTAACGCCGAGAAATGTGAGACTTAAAAAACATTACAACAACAATGTGATTAAAAATACTACAACGGTAATATCAGCAACACACAAAAATTAAAAAGCAAGAAAGACTAAAAGAGACCCAAAACTAATACCGAACTTTGAGAGACAGGAGACGACGACGTTTTCTTATGACTTTTGCTTATATGTTGTCAACTTTTATATTTATGTATGGATATACATCACGTACTGCTTAGCTCAGTAATTACGCATGATGAAATGTTACTGCGAATGGTATACGATGATGAAAATAAACCTTTTTTATAAAGAAAAGAAGAAAAAAACTAACTGAAATGTAAAACTCTCTATCAATCAAGAAAGCAATAAACTAAATAAATAAAAAGATAAATTGAAATAGGGGGAGAGGAGGTAAGGGTAGAAGCTTAAAGTGATGTTTTCGTATCAATCTCAATCTCTCTCCATACCTCCAACGCCATTAAAACTTTGATAGACCTAACTTTTTATCTCCTTTAATTTGCCTATAAATACATTGTACACATACCTTATACTTATTCAGTTTCATATTCCAAAACCCCCTCAATAAACAGCAAAGAGTCTCATCTTACTCACAAGAATCAACACTACATTCTTTTTTGTTAAAGAATACAGTTTCAATCCTCGAAAGGCTAAACTCGATATGGCCCGTTGTTCCGAACTTCTTGCTATTTGCTTATGTATTCTTTTGATGCTCTCGTGGTGCGAAGCTTTGAGTAGCAACGTTGATGATGGATATGGCCATGAAGATGGAAGCTTCGAATCCGATAGCTTACTCAAGCTCAATAAAAACGACGACGTCCTTACCTTGATAAGCTCTGATGATAATACCACTTCGGCATCATCAACTGTTAGTGTTTCCGATTTCGGAGCCAAAGGAGATGGAAAAACGGATGATACTCAGGTATATTCTACATTTTTAAAACGTTAGATATGAAATTATATATCTTATAAAGCTAGTTATGGAAATTATGGTAGTTTTCGGTGTGAAAAGATGTACGGATCAGAAATTCAGCAGAGAAATGTTTTCTTATTTTGTATTGATGATGCATGCATGCATGGGTGTAATATGTATGCTTAAATAGGCCTTCAAGAAAGCATGGAAGAAAGCATGTTCGACAAATGGAGTTTCTAAGTTCTTAGTCCCTAAAGGCAAGACTTATCTCCTTAAGTCTACTCGATTCAGAGGCCCTTGCAAATCTCTACGTAACTTTCAGGTACTATTTTGTTTGTTTTCTTTACTGTAAGTCTAATCATTAGTTAATAATATTCGGTTAGTTACTAAATTTTATTACTTGATTTTTTAACTTATTAAACTGCAGATTCTAGGCACTTTATCAGCATCTACAAAACGATCGGATTATAAAAACGACAAAAACCATTGGCTTATCTTGGAGGACGTTAACAATCTATCAATCGATGGCGGCTCGACGGGAATTATTGAGGGCAACGGAAAAATCTGGTGGCAAAACTCATGCAAAATCGACAAATCTAAGGTATGTATATGTGTCACACAAAAATATCTTTATATATACTTATTTAAGATACTCCTAAACAATATAATTAAATTGGTTTGTCTTTTTTTTTTTTTCCTTGTGTTATGCAGCCATGCACAAAAGCACCAACGGTACGCAAATACAATACAAAAGCCCCATATATATATATATATATTTATATGCATATACTTAATTTTTTCACACGCAAACTAAGTGAAAGTTTGATTATAAAATTGGCATGTTTGTGTGTTATGCATATGCAGGCTCTTACTCTCTACAACTTAAAGAAATTGAATGTGAAGAATCTGAGGGTGAAAAATGCGCAGCAGATTCAGATTTCGATTGAGAAATGCAACAATGTTAAAGTCAAGAATGTCGCAATCACTGCTCCTGACGATAGTCCCAACACGGACGGTATTCACATCACTAATACCCAAAACATTCAGATCTCCAATTCAGAAATTGGAACAGGTAATGATCCATAAATTTACATAATTGAGGTTTTGTGATGCATTTATGTGTAACAAGAAGCTAAGACTAAACTGAGGTCGGCAGCTATCATTTTTTGATTCATTATAAAAAAAAATGTTCTTGGATGTTTGTATTTATATAGGTGATGATTGTATATCCATTGAGGATGGATCCCAAAATGTTCAGATCAATGACTTAACTTGCGGCCCCGGTCACGGGATCAGGTAAATGAAAGTATCGTTTTTCGAATTCCAAAATAATTAAGGGTTACAAAATCGTACTAGGAAACACTTGTTCTTAACTAATATTATAATCTTTAACAAACAAAAAATTAATAAATGTAATTATTTAAAATTAAAGTAATATAAGTAAATATATAACTAATATCGATAATTGTTTGATTTTTCTGATGTGAAGCATTGGGAGTTTGGGGGATGACAATTCGAAAGCTTATGTCTCGGGGATTAATGTAGATGGTGCTAAGCTCTCTTCTACTGACAATGGAGTTAGAATTAAAACTTACCAGGTGATGATCGATTTTATTCTTTTTTTCACAAACAGCCCCACTTTTACAAATCTCTCTGATTTTCGCCGTTTGTTTTGAAACATCCAATAAAACCCCCTTAACTATTGATCTCAGGGAGGATCGGGAACTGCCAAGAACATTCAATTTCAAAATATTCGTATGGAAAATGTCAAGAATCCGATCATAATCGATCAGAACTACTGCGACAAGGAAAAATGCGAGCAACAGGTAACTGATTGATTTTACTTAGTAGAATTGTTTCATTTTCTGTTATTGCTAAACTAGCTAGCTTCACTCGTATTGAAATATGAAATATGTTTTGGGTAGGAATCGGCGGTGCAAGTGAGCAATGTGGTGTACCGGAACATAAGCGGTACGAGTGCAACGGATGTGGCAATAACGTTTAATTGCAGTGAGAAATATCCATGCAAGGGAATTGTGCTTGAGAACGTTAATATCAAAGGAGGAACAGCTTCTTGCAAAAATGCCAATGTACAGGATCAAGGCACCGTTTCTCCTCGGTGTTCTTCCAATTATTTCCTTATGTAATATAACATACATATATATATATATATATTGATATACATGTAGATGGTGTACTCTACGTATTGAGTCTTGATATATGTAGAATAGTAAAGATATTATGGGATTATACATACACTAGTCTTAATTTGTCTTATATATATGTAATATAATAAGTAATATTGATTGTTTCTATTTCCCTGAATAAATGAATAAGATTATTTGTCTAATATTTTGTATTACTATTCAAAAGTGGTGGAAACTATACAAAATTCCGTAAAGTCGTTTAATATTTAATGTTTTGTCTAACATACAGTAATATATTATAAAAAGAAACATGTTGCGCAAATAGTTGTTGATACAAATCATATGGGCCGAATTTGTGCCTAGCTATCTTAATTTATAGTTGTACAACTATAATCCCAAAATAAACCAATGTTTTTCAGTGAGCTCTTTGCTTTGTGGCCTATTTTACTAAAAGCTCTTTGAATAAATCTTGATGTATTTTTTATACACTAATAGAAAAATGATAAATCCCATAATAAACTGACTTTCAGCTAGCTCTTTATTTGCCTACTTTTCTAAAAGGTCATCGATTCAAATTCTTGATGCAAATTTTTGTGTTTAATTTTTGTTTTTGTTTTTTGTTTTTTTTGTTTTTAATGCCGTTGGTCTCAAATCTCAACGGATAACTTTAAAAGTTGGCAAGAACTTTAGCCTTTAAAAAAAAAATCATAAAACATCTGAGGAAATTCCGAAATCAATGTCCGTAGAATAAGGTACATAAAAAGTGTCTTCAAAATTAATGAGATTAGATAAAGTTAAAAAGCAAAATCCAAGAATGTAGTTGTTACCCTTTCTTTACTTCAATTCTTGCTTTGCTCTTCAGTTGCTGGCTTGTTCTGCTCCTCCGCCGTTGCTGTCGTCGCCGGAGGCGGCGGTGGAGGTGGAGGAGGAGCGTTGGCAACGGTGGGAACGCCGGCATCGATGCAGCTACGGCACTTTCTCTCGACCCAACCTTCGATGTCGTGGTCTCCGCCGTCAGATAAATGGCGGCCGCCGCAGAGCCGAGCAAAAACGCCGGCTAAGACAGATAAAATGGTGATGACGGCTAAGACGACGACGAGTGTTTCTATTGAACGGTGGTCCGAGTTGTGACTCGGCTGGTCTTGGGAAGGTGGGTCCACGTATATGGTGGTCGGTGTGGTTGTGGTGCCGAGTTGGTCATCGAGTTTTGCCGTGACTCGGAACATGAGATCAGAGAGTTTAGAGAGAGTGAGAGTGAGAGAGTTAGAGTGAGAGCCTTTCAGGTGGGCTTGTGGGAGCCAAGGTTTAAGACTTGAAGTGGAGAGTGTGTTTAATTAATAATTATATGGATCGACTTTATAATAAAATTAAAATGTAGTATATGATTAAATTAAATTGCAATTCCCAATTTGTCCTCAGTGTCTGTAAACCCAAAAAATCACATGCATTTGGTTAAAACGAAGAGGTGTTTGTTTTGTTGTCCCCACCACACTTTAATTACCCACTTCTCGTCTGCTTCTTGTCTTTCTATTGAGCCCCCTTTGACTCAATTAAACATTATTTATTCTTACAAATAAATGTGATCATCATGAATACATACATATATATATCTATACATTATCTTTGAACTCACTAGTAACTGATATAGATTTATGTGGCCTTGGCTTTTTTTGTCTGTTAAGTTTTTGCAGGTGATATCAATGGTGGGGTTTGTTCATCTTGTTTTATCTCTGCCTCTTCTTATTTTTAATATAACAATGTGTCAGCTCAATAATGTTAAAAAAAATGTCACTACCCATAAATATCTGTCGACTATAAGAAAATCACGCAATTGCTCAACAAGCTCAATTTTTCAGCACATCACATCAATTGTTGGGCCTGAGTTGAGTATATTGGGCTTAGAAATCCAACAAGCTCAATTTACTCAACAACCCTAATCACCTTTATGGTTTCATCGTCTTCACTCTTGAGCTACTATATGTAGAGTAATTTTACCGCCATTAGGGTTCTACAGCTCATCTACGCATAAAATCGAGTTGCGTCGTCGACAATGGCGGAACGTGGCGGTGAGCGTGATGGAGAACGTGGTGGTGAACGCGGCGGTTTCGGACGTGGATTTAGCGGTCGCGGTGGTGGAAGAGGAGGTCCGAGAGGTCGTAGTCGCCGTGGAGGTCGTGCTCAAGAGGAGACGAAATGGATCCCAGTGACGAAGCTTGGTCGTCTTGTACAGGAAGGTAAAATCCAGAAGCTGGAGCAGATCTACCTCCATTCTCTACCAGTGAAGGAGTACCAAATCGTGGATCTGCTCGTCGGTCCAACGCTGAAGGATGAAGTGATGAAAATTATGCCGGTTCAGAAACAAACCAGAGCCGGTCAGAGGACTAGATTCAAGGCCTTCGTCGTCGTCGGAGATAGTAACGGCCACGTCGGATTGGGAGTGAAGTGTTCCAAGGAAGTGGCGACGGCGATCAGAGGAGGGATTATTCTGGCGAAATTGTCTGTGATTCCGATTAGAAGGGGTTATTGGGGTAATAAGATTGGGAAGCCACATACGGTCCCGTGCAAGGTTACCGGAAAATGTGGTTCTGTTACGGTGCGGATGGTTCCGGCACCAAGAGGTTCTGGTATCGTGGCGGCTAGGGTTCCTAAGAAGGTTCTACAGTTCGCCGGAATTGATGATGTCTTCACTTCTTCCAGAGGATCGACCAAAACGTTGGGAAACTTCGTCAAGGTATGCATTTTCTTATCAACTGTTTTCTTCAATAATCAGCTGAAATTAGGTAGTGGATAAGCAATTGATTGTATGTATCATTACGAACTAGTACCAATTTAGTGAATTCATATTAGACATTAGGTTTTTGCTGAATGTAATTGGGTTGAGCATTTGATCGGATTTGAGCCCTTGTTTGATCGGATTCTTCTTAAATGTAATGAGTTTTTGGTTGTTGTTTTGGGTTATGGTCAGGCTACGTTCGATTGTCTTCAGAAGACTTACGGGTTCCTTACACCGGAATTTTGGAAAGAGACAAGATTTGTAAAATCACCATACCAAGAGTACACTGATCTCTTGGCTAAGCCTCTCAGCAGCAAGCAAATCACCGAAGTTGAAGACCAACAAGCCTAGAGTATATTCTCAAGCCGAGTCAGCTTTTTGTTCGAAATGTGCTTCTCTGTCTTTGAAATAGTGTTTTTAAAAGTTGTGTTTGTTTGAAGTTTTCAATGCAATCATACGAATTTTCTAAATTTTGGGAGTTGCACAAATACGCTGCGTGAGACAAAATGACTAAGAAATAAGAAGATTTACATAAGCAAAATCAAACGGCAATCACTGTAATTTGAATCGGGTTGAAAGCCCAACTTTGAATTATTATAAAGCCTTGAGAAGGCCCAGCCCATTTATAATTCTAATTAATTAATTGGTTGGTGACTGGAACTTTTGGAAATATTGACTTTGAATAAGAAGAAATACAGAAGATGGAGGTCACGTTGACATTCCTTTACAATTCTTCCAACTTTCTTCCCGGCTCAGCGAGTTTTCTCTCTTCATCTAAATTCTAGGAATCTGAGTTTTTATTTGTTTTCGCCGGGAAACTCGAGTCGAGGACTCGTTTTAATTATCCTGTTCCGAATCCTATTAGTCTATTCTTGAACATCTTCAAGCAATAAATTTTGTATTTTTTTTTTTGTCGGAATTGTTCTGTATTTTTGAAATCTCGGTCTCAATGGGGACTCCGGAATTTCCAGATCTGGGGAAACACTGCTCCGTAGATTATTGCAAGCAGATCGATTTCTTGCCATTCACCTGCGATCGCTGCATTCAGGTTCGCTTTTTGATTCCGTCTTAATAGAATAATAATTTATATAATGCCATTCTCTTAGATAGATCCTGCTAGTTTCTACGATCTATGATATCATTTTGATTTTTCAAATATCATGACTTCTTAAATCTCTGGTCGATTTTGTGGTTTTGAAACAGTAAGCTTATTTTTGTCATTTCATTATGTTCAAATTCAGTAGTTGATTTGAATCTAGTTTGATCGGTTTCTTAGATTTCCATTAATAATTGGCATTTTGAAGATTTACGGGTAAATCTTGTGATTAATTTTTTTTGTTTGGGGTTTGAGAAATCAGGTGTTTTGTTTGGAGCATCGTAGCTATATGAAACACAATTGTCCAAAAGGAAACAGAGGAGATTTAACTGTGGTTATATGTCCGTTATGTGCTAAAGGAGTTCGGTTAAACCCTGACGAAGATCCAAACATCACTTGGGAGAAACATGTGAATACAGATTGCGATCCATCAAACTACGAAAAAGTTGTCAAGAAGAAGAAATGTCCTGTCCCAAGATGCAGAGAATCGCTAACTTTCTCTAACACAATCAAATGTCGAGATTGCGGCGTCGACCATTGCTTGAAACATAGGTTCGGACCTGATCATAGTTGTTCAGGACCGAAGAAACCTGAATCGAGTTTTTCATTCATTGGTGGTTTCTTGAGTACAAACACAAAAGAAGCTCCCGCAACATCATCATCGAGATGGTCTAGTCTTTTAGCTTCAGCGGAGGCAAGTATTAGCAAACTCGGTAACGATATTAGCCAGAAGTTACAGTTTGGGAGTGGCAGCGATGGTAATTTAGAGAAAAGGCAGGAGAGGAATGGAAAACAGAGTAGTGGCAAAGTAACGGTTGATGTTTGTCCGAAATGCAGCAGAGGGTTTCGTGATCCGGTGGATCTGTTGAAGCATATCGATAGAGATCATCGTGGCACTTCTAAAGCTTAAATGCAGAGAAGCCCAAGTGATTAATATTTGTGTGATTTGTATGTATCACTGTTATTTTATTTTTTTGTAACACCACATTCTTTGAGATCGGGTTTTCTTTGACCGGTTTTGGTTTTCTTGTTTAGAAAATCGTAAACAAATCTCCTGTCTATTATACTCCTACAAATCATACAGATCATATGGTTTTCAACGCATATGGTTTTCTTGGAGTATATTCTTTGCTCACATTCTTCTTCTTTCCTACATAAAAAGAATTCTCCCGTCATTCGCCGTGCAGTTTTTATATTTAACAAAACTAAAAAACTTATTTTCGTTAAGTATATTACAAACATATTTTCACTAAAATAAAATTTTATTTTCTTACGAAATTTTAGATATTTATAACATCTTATTCAGTTCGACAATAGAAAAGAGGACAGAAACATATTACATAGTACAGACTTTACAACAAATCAACGTGTGGGCATATGATTTACCGCACGTGTGTAACTAATATTGTGGGGCTGCACTATCGGGGTCGTTGATCTCTATGAGGTGGCAAATACACACCGTTGATTGGATAGTAGGCAGACGTAGACTCCTTAACACACGCCAGACACTTTCTTCTCTCTGAAATAATATAAAACAAAGACTACAGTTTTTTATTTTTTATTTTTTATTTTAAGGACGACGTTGGACATATAAGAGACGCAAGACCAAGACTCAGATTTGCCAAGACCAAGACTCAGAGCAAGACTTAATGGCGGTAGGAAAGGAAAACGCGACGTCGACGTTGATGGAAGATGAAGAAGTAATAGTGAAGCCACGTACGGACAAGAGAGAGTATCGGAGGATCGTTCTCAAGAACTCGCTTAAGGTGTTGTTAATCAGCGATCCAGAGACTGATAAGGTTACTAACTATCGATTCATTCATGCTCTAATTTCTACTCCTTTTAAGAAAGAAAAAATATTAGTTCCTCTGACGATTCCTCTGTGTCCTTGCTTTTAGTGTGCTGCTTCAATGAATGTTAGCGTTGGATCGTTCTCCGACCCTGAAGGACTAGAAGGGCTAGCTCATTTCCTTGGTACTTTACTTTTTCTCTTTCTTTTAGTTTAATGATATATATTCTTCATAGCAGTATTCAGTCACTGAGTTGAGATATAAACAGTGATTTATTTCTCATTTTCTTTCTATATATGAAGAAATAATATCTGATTTTTATGCTGGCCGTTTTGTTATTTTGGATGTGGGGGTGTGTCAAGAGCATATGCTATTTTATGCAAGTGAAAAGTATCCAGAGGAAGATTGTTACATGAAGTACATCTCGGAGGTAATGTTCAAATACAAGTCTTTGATCATAATTTGATGTTCTTCTTGCATCGGTTTCTTGTCTTACGTTAACGAAACTTGAATAAAAAATAGAAACTGGAATGTCCTTAATTGAATTATCTTGTTTTTTTTTTTTTGGTAGCATGGAGGGCGCACAAATGCTTATACATCCAGTGAAGATACAAACTACCATTTCGATATCAACACAGATTGTTTCGATGAGGCTTTGGACAGGTTGACCACTCGCATTTGTTTTAATCTCTTGCTAAAGCTAATCTGCTCTGATTTGACAGTGTTGGATTCTTTATTGCGTAAATCAGGTTTGCACAGTTCTTTATCAAACCGCTGATGTCAGCTGATGCCACCATGAGGGAGATCAAGGCTGTCGACTCTGGTTAGCCTTTTTTTTTTAACACTTTCTCAGATAGCTTTCTTGTTGCAGTTTGCTAACGACTTCCTTCTCATCCAGAGAATAAGAAAAACTTGTTGTCTGATTCTCGGCGTATGCGCCAGGTATTTTCCTCTGTTCTCAAGATCTTAATATATGGGTTATTTGTGTCATATGTATCCATTTAGTTATTAGCACTGAAAGATTCATTTTACTGATTATCTACGGAAATTAAGTGTGCATCTGTTGAGTGTTTTTGTCTTCCTTTTTTGCTCACACAGCTGCAGAAGCATCTAAGCAGAGAAGACCATCCATATCACAAATTTAGCACAGGTCCATGTTCGACCTATTCTTGATTGGTGTTAACTGGCGTTCATGTAACGAGGTTTCGTGCTATGGTGCATTAGAAAAGTTAGTGGTCTCCCGCTTATAAAGTGATGTGTTTCCTCAGGGAATATGGATACTCTCCATGTACGACCCCAAGCAAAAGGAATAGATACAAGGAGTGAACTAATTAACTTCTATGATGAACACTATTCTGCCAACATCATGAATCTGGTTGTTTATGGCAAGGGTAGGTTTTGAAGCTAACCCAAAAACTCAAATTCTCTTACTTTCAGAAAACCTTATATAACATTTGTTACATCTCTTTGCTATCTTCAGAAAACCTTGATAAAACTCAAGGTCTTGTGGAAGAGATGTTCCAGGAAATTCGAAACACCAATAAGGGTATCCCTAGATTTTCTGGTCAGCCGTGTACTCTGGACCATTTGCAGGTTTTTGTACCTTATTTCAGCTTTAGCATTATTACTTCAGTCACCGAGAAATGTTTCTAATAGGGCTCTTTATTTCATTGGTTTTTAGGTTCTTGTAAAGGCTGTACCTATAAGGCAGGGTCACAAGCTTACTGTTTCATGGCCTGTAACGCCTAGCATCCATCATTATGAAGAAGCACCATGCAGGTACCTTGGTCATCTAATTGGTCATGAAGGAGAAGGAAGTTTGTTTCATGCCTTAAAAATCTTGGGTAGGTCTTCTTTGGATCCAAACTTATAATGTTTTATACCTGAAACTGAAAGAGGGATATTACTTGTAGTCTTCAGTTCTATATTTCCTGTTTTCAAAATGATTAGCTGTTTCCTGTGAATTAGTTTCAAGGGTGTTGCTTGATCATTATAATTATCCACTTTGAAGATTTGTGAGGTTTTCTAGCCGATAATTTAGAAAAAAGTTTCTTTCGAAACTACAGTTGTTGTTTGTTCTAGTAGCTATAAAATTTCTGCCCTTATTTTGGCGTGCCATATAATCAATCTACTATACTAGTCTTGCTTAATTCTTACTAATACTTGCACAGGTTGGGCAACTGGACTGTATGCTGGCGAAGGAGAGTGGACTATGGACTATTCTTTCTTCAATGTTTCGATTAATCTTACTGATGCTGGCCATGGTGGGTTTATAACCCATCATCTTGAAACAATCTTTCTAAAATGTAAAATATCGACGTGCTTGATATCTTCAATATGGTTTTTGTTTTCTTGCTTGGTATATAGAGCATATGGAAGATATTTTAGGGTTGTTGTTCAGACACATTAAGCTATTACAACAGTCTGGTGTTTCCCAGTGGATTTTTGATGAGGTATTGGTATTATTATTAAGCTGTACGACTTTTTTTCTGTTGTTGTCTGCTTTTAATTAATCTTGCCAGTATTCCTATTGATTCACTAGAGTTTAATACTCTTTTTTTTTTTTTTTAATTTGTTGTTGAAGCTCTCAGCTATCTGTGAGGCAAGTTTTCATTATCGAGCCAAAATAGATCCAATTTCTTATGCAGAGGATATTTCATCAAACATGACGGTAATAGTATATTTCTTTTTCAGCTGTTCACTTCTCATATCGTTTTAACTTCTTATATATCTTCATCTGCTTGATATATGGGTGGCCTTTCCAGTGAAAAAAATGTAGAATAGATGCTTAGTTACAGGGCTTAACTCTGTTACATTTAAGCATATTTTTTTGAAAAATTACATTCAAGCATTACACCCATATGAAGTTTGATCTTGATCTTTTGCAATTGTGCTTCAGATATACCCAACCAAGCATTGGCTCGTTGGATCATCACTGCCTTCGAAATTTAATCCAGCTACTATACAAAAGGTTCTTGATGAGCTTTCTCCTAGAAATGTTCGGTAAGTCTCACTTTAAGCAGCCCTGAATGTGTAGAATTTACATGTAGTCCAAGCATTGAAATCCCCTAATAACTCACTGCCAAGTAAGCTCGTGGTGCCGCAGAATATAATACCATTACATTTGTAGAATCTTCTGGAAATCAAATAAATTTGAAGGAGAAACTGACAAGGTTGAGCCATGGTACAACACTGCTTATTCTTTTGAGAAGATAACCGAATTCACCATTCAGGTTGGCTTTTGATATATTAACTGAAATTGTATCCTGTTTGATTCAAGATTTTCCTGTTACTCTGGAGGTAAGTCCAATTTTTTTTATTTGTGCTTAATAATTACAGGAGTGGATGCAGTCTGCCCCTGATGTAAACTTGCTTCTACCAATACCTAATGTCTTCATTCCTACGGATTTGTCATTAAAGGATGTTAAAGATAAGGTTCAGTTCCATCACTCTAGTTTCAAGTATCTCCTAGAGTTAGAAATGCATGAAGCAGTTATCTAATGTTAGGTAATCAAATTGTGGAACAGGAGGACATCTATCCTGTTTTGTTGAGAAAGTCAGCATTCTCAAGATTGTGGTACAAACCTGATACAATGTTCTTCAAACCAAAGGCTTATGTTAAGATGGATTTCAACTGTCCCCTTTCAGTCACATCTCCGGATGCTGTAGTTCTTTCAAATATGTTTGTTTGGTTGCTGGTGGACTATTTGAATGAATATGGTAAGATTCGACAACGACTTTCTTTGGATGCCCTTCTGTTCTGTTCTGTCACAATATCAGACAAGTACCAAAAGTTATGAGCCTTCTTGTTTGGTGTTTGTATCATGAGCATTGTTGTGTCATCTTTACCTCAATGTTTCAGCTTATTATGCTCAGTCTGCTGGTCTTCACTACGGATTAGGTCTTTCGGACAATGGTTTTGAGGTGGGTTTTGTAAAAGGACTCTGACGTTTCCTTGTCCTTTGCTTAATGAATCTTATGTTTTTTCTCATTTCCAGCTGACTCTTGTTGGCTTCAATCACAAATTGAGGATCTTGCTGGAAGCTGTCATGCAAAAGATTGCAAAATTTGAAGTTAAACCTGACAGATTTTCTGTTATCAAGGTAACCTTTGTTAGTAGACCTCCTCCCTCTTTCTAGATTAACATGACTCTCCTTTTCAATTTTTGGTATGATATTAACAACATCCAATAATATAATGTGATTTTCTACTTCCTTATCTATTATCATGTAATATAGGAAACAGTCACCAAAGCATACCAAAATTACAAATTCCAACAACCATATCAACAAGCCACGAGTTACTGCTCAATGGTATTACAAGATCACACTTGGCCTTGGACAGAGGAGCTAGATGCTCTTTCTCATTTAGAAGCTCAAGACTTGGTGAATTTCGTTCCAATGCTATTATCCAGGACCTTTGTTGAGTGCTACATAGCAGGTATGAATATCATCCCTGTAGTCTTTGCTCTCTAATCATTTTTCTGTCGTTTTTTTGTATATAATTAGACACTCATTGCAGGAAATGTTGAGAAGAATGAAGCTGAGTCAATGGTCAAGCATGTTGAAGATATTCTTTTTAACGACCTAAAACCTATTTGTCGTCCTTTATTCCCATCCCAGTTCTTGACAAACAGGGTTGCAGAGCTGGGAACAGGAATCAAATACTTCTACCATCAACAAGGCTCAAACCCCAGTGATGAAAATTCTGCTCTCGTGCATTATATTCAGGTATATTTGCGACCAGATTAGTTACATGTGTTATAGAGATTGTCTTGTAGAACTTGATACTTCAACTCTTTGTGAGTTTGGAGAGTTTCTTCTTGTAGATCTTTGTTTTCTTACTAAAGGGAAATTGATATGCAATGAACAGGTTCATCAAGATGAATGTGCCATGAATAGCAAACTTCAACTTTTCTGTCTCATCGCAAAGCAAGCCACTTTTCACCAGCTTAGAACGGTCGAGCAACTTGGTTACATCACTTCACTTTCTCGGAGGTATGTGTTTATTTTTCTCTGTGTTAGAATATCCCTGAGTTATACTTGAAGCATAACCACTTTTTCTGCAACACAGCAACTACTCTGGTATCTATGGTGTAAAGTTCATTATCCAGTCTTCAGTTAAGGTACCAACTGTTCTTGCCTCTCTGCTACTCGGAGTTTTGTATAGTTATTGCATATCTCCTTAATTGCTTTTTTGAGTTTGTCGTTAATAGGGTCCTGGACATATTGATTCAAGGGTCGAATCACTACTCAAGGATCTTGAGACTAAAGTTTACAAGATAAGCGATGAGGAGTTCAAGGTGATATGACACAAGCAGATATTATATAGATCAATATTTGCTTTGCTTAAGATAACAATAGGCTTCCCACAGTCTCACCATTGGGCCTCTATAAGAATTTAACTGACATTGACTTTACTCTCCTCAGAGCAATGTAACGGCTTTGATAGACATGAAGCTTGAGAAACACAAGAACTTGACGGAGGAATCTTGGTTTTACTGGGGAGAGATTCAAAACGGGACATTCAAATTCAACCGCATAGATGCAGAGGTAATAGACAACAAAGTGTAGAACTTTTAGCAATGTTCAAGCCACTAACAAAGCTTCTTGGGGGTGGTTTGTCTTTGTGGGTTAGGTGGCTGCACTACGAGAGCTAAAGAAGGAAGAATTGATAGATTTCTTTGACGAATACATAAAGGTTGACGCACCAAGAAAGAAATCGTTGAGCATATGCGTTTATGGAAGCCAGCATTTGAAGGAAATGGCATCTGACAAAGACAAAGTTGTATCACCATTCGTAGAAATCGAAAACATTGTTGGTTTCAGAAAGTCTCGACCTCTATACGGATCGTTGAAAGGATGCAGCCAGCTCAAACTGTGAGGAGGTCCCAAACTCTTTGCAACGATATACACACAAACACTCGTATACCAAAAAAACGATATTTTTATATGCGACTCTGTATTCATCTGATTGTTACAAAACAGAATTTTATCATTGAAAAACACGGATTATAAGTTATGTTGATTGCAGCTTTTGTCGAGCAAAGATAAGAATGGTATCAAAAGGTCTTCTATCACTTGGTTGTGTTAAATACTATATTATTTTGTTGGGTTTTTTTATCAGTTCTTCAAGTCCATATGTTAAACATTGGGACAGCTAATAAGATACAGTTGACTCTATTGTCCAAAATCCGACAAATCGTTGTTAACTCCAGAATCTTCGGGTGTGGTGGTGGTTCAATGCTGGGCTTGAACCAATATTGATAATGTTCTCAAGGATCCGACAAAAAAAAAAGAAACAACTTGCACATAATTTAAAAGATTATCAAGTTGCAGACGTAAGCAAGGAATCGTTCCAAAAGGCAAATGGCTTCGTCAATAAATTTTTAGGAGCTAAACCAAAGATGCGGCAACCAAAGAAAAAAAACAATAGAACAAAAAAATAATCAATTTTAATTTCTCATCAACATCCAACTTGGAGTCCAGAGATTGTTAAATGTATCACAAAACCTCACAAGAACAGTTTTCTCAATAATAAAACAACAGAAAAGAAATAAAAATCAAACATCGCTCATCAAATCTCTCCTCCAAACCAAAAAAAATTAATAATATTTCTATATGAATTTTTTTTTTCTGATAAATCGATCAAACAACAGAGAACAACAAGAGATCCCTAGCGTCTTCATAACCATTAGGAGCCTTGTGACCACAACCACCAGTTCCGGATCCTAACCCACCAACCAAACCGGTCGAATCTTGACCCGACCCACCAAGAACACTACCTCCGATTAAATCGGTGACGCCGTGATGATGGTGGCCGTCGGAAGGAGGATGATAATAGAGACGCGCCGTCTGAGGACAATGAGAATGAAATCTCGCCGCTATTCTCACGCCTGCATCCAGCATCTCCGTGTATTTCCCCATTTTTTGAAAGATCTTCTTCTTATTTATTTTTTTATTTTTACTTCTTTTTTTTTTTTGGTCTTTCTCTTGAAGAGAGAGAGACGGAGACAATGGTGATGATTTTCCAAGTCGCCTCCAATTTATAGGATGCACGAAAAAGCGAACGAGTCTCCGCTTTCTTATCTTGAGGGTTTTATAATTCTTTTCGGTATTTTTTTCCTTGTCCCTTCGTTTCCTATCTTTTTTTTTCAAATCTGCCCCTCAAGTCTATTTCTTTCTTTCCTTTTTATTCTTTTGAAATCTTACCTTACCATAAGTTTCCTTTTTTTAATGGACAATTAACATACCGCGTAAGTTATTATTACTTTATGAGATTCTTTGAGTTCATCATGAATGAGTATTTTTTTAGATCTATGATATAGATAAATAATCATAAATATTAATTACCAGACAAAGACTCGATTAGGGTATTAAATTGCAATTTATTGAAAACCTGTGGGACTGTATAGTTCAATATATAAAAGTATAGGGTCGAAATTAGGGAAATTTGAAAATACTATTCTGAGATGCAAATTTAGCGTTTCTTGCCAGCTTCCTTTCCATTTAATTTAATTTATTTTATTTTTATTCGGTTAACTAACAAAATTTATTACACGATTCCTTGTTTGAATTTTCTCATACAGCAATTAAAATTAATGAATCCGCGTCAGAGGACCCTACCAATTACTCCTACCAGACCGTCGCCGCGTCTTTTTGACTGCGGCAAAACCGCAAAAGTCGCTTGAAAAGTAAGCGTTTACTTTAAGCATATTGCCGATGGATGGACTAATATCATCGACTTTTTGGACTAGTTTTACTTTTAAGAGACTTTTTGGACTAGTTTTAACTTTAAGAGACTTTTTGGACTTTCATTTCATTTGTAACGTATGGGTATTTGTTAGAATATTTTCAAACCTAATTAACATAACATGACACGTTCCATTATGAACTTAATACTGTATAACTGTTACAGCAAATTACAATTGTCAATTGATGTTTGCTCTTTTGGCGTATGTCAAATGGTTTGTGTAAGTCTTTAGTATTGTAATTTTAGATTTGTTTAATATAAAGTAATTTTATCATAAAATTAAAACAATAATAGCTTACATATATCTAAAAATATATATTGAATTTGAATTACTTATAAGAAAAGCTAGCTCGTCCTCCTTTATTTCCTTTAAGTAAACAAATCAAACTGACATGATTTATTCACTTATCAATTTTATTGATGATTTGCTCATTAGTGAAGTTTTAAACTTCTTGCAAAATCACATTTATCAGATTTGTCACAATAGGAGTTAGATGAGATTTATAAGATTAGCCATGCATCAACCCATTTTCAGCTCACAAGGGAAACCAAGTCCGAGATTCACACAAAAACAAACATGATGTCTTAACTCTCTTGGCTCTAAATTTTATAGTTTTTTATGTGTATGTAATGTAACAGAACCACTTCTTATAATTCTAGCGTTGTAGACCATATATATATATATATAGTTTTCATTTCCCTAGTCCATATCAGGACAACATATATTGTGTTTAACCATAAAGTTGCAAAGGGATATACCTCATACCTGCTCCCAGCAATGTCTTAAATTTTCATGCAATCTACAAAACAAACAAACAAAAAAGGAGGCAATGTGTAAAGGGAAATTTTGTGTAGCTTTCGAATTTCAAACGATTTGTATGTTATTCAATCATATAATCTCATGTCTTTTTTTGTTGTTGTTGTTGATAAAGTCAAATATCTCATGTTATAATGAAGAATATGAAGGTTGAGTTTCATACCTTGTAAATATAGGGATTAAGTCTTCCTCCTGTGCCAACCCTCTTCACTTCCTCCATCTTCAACAACCTGCATCAAGATATCAAGTTCATAAGCCATAAGGTTGCGATTATTTGACCATTACTAAAGCCAATACCAATATCTTCTAGTCGACTCCAGCATGCACAAAGGCTTAATTTTTTTTTGCTAATCTAAGAAATGAAACCTAGTTCATGGATAAAGTGTTTAACAAGTGTGTATGAGAGGGAAGCAGGGAATACATCCTGAGAGCTTTGCTGGTGTCGGGGGTGTCGCCAAGAATCTGACGGATCTGAACTTCAGAAGAAGAGGCTGAGGAAAGTAACTCCAAGATCTCTTTTGCTCTACGGCGTATAGATATCGACCTGCTACTTTCTTTCTTCTTCTCCTTCTCTACCACTCTTATCTTATCGTAAATTTTCTGATTTCTGAGTTTGAGTCTGCTCTCAATGCTGGAAACTTCACTTGAGCCCGTTGACAAGCATGACGACTCATCGATGGAATCAACGGAGCATGTGGAGAGATCACACACAGAATCCATCATCAACTGTGTTGGCTTAATATTGAAAGATCCCCATATAACCTGAGAACGGCGTTTTCTTGCTGTCTGCATAAACCACTCATTGAAATTAGGAATGATCTCCGTCAATTTACACACCGACTCCAAGTTTCTTATCTGGAAGGTCTGTTTCTCACTGAATTCAGAGCATAAGAAATCCAACAGTCACATGATATTCGAAATTTCAAACTCCAAATGATCCGTATATGGTAAAATCATAATCATTAATCCAGAATCGAAACAGTAAACATACAAAATTTAGCTCGAACAGAGGAATTCAACAAGTCAAATCCAGAAGAGGCTTGTCGATCAAAATTCACAAGAGTTTGAACATATCTACATGTATTCGAAATTTAAAACTCCAGAAATGTTCCGTTTCTACATTAACCCAGAATCGCATAAGGAGATTTTGAATATTTCAGAACTAGCGATTATCATTCAGGTTAATAACAGTAACATCAAAACTAAAGCCCAAACGAATGAAGGAAATCAACAGAACAAATCCACCAAGAGACTAGTCAATCTAATTTCTCAGTATTTCAAATTCTTCCGAACAAATGCAGATCCAGAAAACGGCAAAACGAATACACTGAAACAGAGACGCGATCAAGAGTTCGCACCTTGAAATCCAAGAGATGAAATTGATTTCCAGTATAATCAATTTTGAATCCGCGATCGTTACCATTCCCAAACGAACCGTCGCTGGACAGAGCGGAGACGCACGATCTCGATCCTGTAGACCCCAACATCAAGCTCAGGTTCGAGCTTCCTTCGTCACACCACTTCCTCACATAGCTCGATTCCTCTACAGATCCCGACCTATTATCACCCAATTCGATTATTAGAAAACCACGAGGAAGATAACACAGATCTGAATCGCGATCCTCATAAATTGAAACAGATTGGCTGTGCGATGCGACCTTGTAGGCGAGAAGAACATCGGTTCATAGGACAGGAGGAGAAGAGAAGAAGCAACGGTTCTCTCTATCGTAGAAGGAAACTTCGTCATCTTCTAATTTTTACTTCCGAATCAAGGTTTCTCTGAGTTTCTGCTAATGGCGGGATGATATGATTTCCTCTTGAGTTTTGAATTCCTCCCTCTCTCTCTCTCTCTATTTCTCTCTACTCTCTCACTCGCACATTCTCACTCTGTTATATACCAGCGTGCATTGAATAGAGCGGAGCAATAATCGGCGAGCCCTTATGTTAAGCCCATTAATGGCCCTAGTTATGGCCCAATAGAAATTCTTCTGGACTCACAGTCTCAGAGTAGCACAGGCACAGAGATAGAGAGACGCTATAACGACATTTTCCAGATAATAAAAACTTGATGTCATGTCCTCTTGCCTTCACCTTCTCCCTCCCGTCTCTTTCCCGTTTCCTTCTCAACCTCTCTCCATTTCCCGCCACAAACCTCTTTATCTTCTACGCGCCACTCCAACCTCTGCAGCAGCGGAAGTCACCGGCGCCATTGATGGCTCATCTTCGAAACTTGTCTCTCGATCACGCTCTACGGAGTGGTGGATTGATTCCCTTCGGTCGAAGGTTCGATCCAATTTGCTCCGTGAAGCCGTCTTCACTTACATTGACATGGTTCTTCTGGGTATCAAACCCGATAATTTTGTGTTCCCTGCTTTGCTCAAGGCTGTAGCCGATCTTCAGGACATGGATTTGGGGAAACAGATTCATGCCCATGTGTATAAATTCGGGTACGGAGTGGATTCCGTGACTGTTGCTAATACTCTTGTGAATTTTTATAGAAAGTGTGGAGATTTCGGGGCTGTCTATAAGGTGTTCGATAGAATTTCCGAGAGAAACCAAGTCTCTTGGAATTCTATGATTTCTTCTTTGTGCAGTTTTGAGAAGTGGGAAATGGCGTTAGAGGCATTTCGGTGTATGTTGGATGAAAATGTGGAGCCTAGTTCGTTTACCTTGGTGAGTGTGGCTATTGCTTGCTCGAATTTGCCTATCCCCGAGGGATTGATGATGGGTAAGCAGGTTCACGCCTATAGTTTGAGAAAAGGTGATTTGAATTCGTTTATCATCAACACGTTGGTGGCTATGTATGGTAAACTGGGAAAATTGGCATCTTCCAAAATCTTACTTGGAACTTTCGAAGGCCGTAACTTGGTGACATGGAACACTGTGTTGAGCTCGTTATGTCAGAACGAGCAGTTTCTTGAAGCATTGGAGTATTTGCGCGAAATGGTGCTCAAAGGTGTTGAGCCAGATGGGTTCACTATTTCAAGTGTTCTTCCTGTTTGTTCACACTTGGAGATGCTGCGCACAGGAAAAGAGATGCATGCTTACGCTTTGAAAAATGGCTCTCTGGATGAGAATTCTTTTGTTGGCAGTGCTTTGGTTGACATGTATTGCAATTGCAAGCAGGTGTTGAGTGCTCGTCGAGTATTTGATGTAATCTTTGATAGAAGGATTGGCCTTTGGAATGCTATGATCGCTGGGTATGCCCAGAACGAGCATGACGAGGAAGCGTTGTCACTGTTTATTGAAATGGAAGAAACTACTGGGCTTCTGGCTAACACAACCACAATGGCAAGTATTGTCCCTGCTTGTGTCCGTTCCAATGCATTCTCCAGAAAAGAAGCGATCCATGGATTTGTTATGAAAAGAGGTCTAGACGGAGACAGGTTTGTGCAGAATGCACTGATGGATATGTATTCGAGGCTAGGGAAGATCGATATCGCCGAGATGATATTCTGTAAAATGGAAGATAGAGATTTAGTTACATGGAACACGATGATTACGGGTTATGTATTCTCAGAATGTCATGAGGATGCGCTTCTTGTGCTACACAAGATGCAAAACATTGAAAGAAAGGTGGGGGAGGGTGTTAGCCGAGTTGGTCTGAAACCTAATTCCATCACTCTTATGACAATCCTCCCCAGTTGTGCTGCACTATCAGCATTAGCAAAGGGAAAAGAAATCCATGCTTACGCTATCAAGAACAATTTGGCAACCGATGTGGCTGTAGGAAGCGCTTTAGTTGACATGTACGCAAAATGCGGGTGCCTACACATGTCGAGAAAAGTGTTTGATCAGATTCCAATAAAAAATGTTATAACTTGGAATGTGATTATAATGGCTTATGGGATGCACGGAAACGGGCAAGATGCCATAGAGCTGCTCAAAATGATGATGGTTCAGAAAGTAAAACCAAACGAGGTTACACTCATCTCAGTATTTGCAGCTTGTAGCCACTCAGGCATGGTGGATGAAGGATTAAAGATATTCTACAATATGAAAAAGCACTACGGGGTTGAACCTAGCTCAGATCATTATGCTTGTGTTGTAGATTTGCTTGGAAGGGCTGGTAGAGTTAAAGAAGCGTATGAGCTCATGAACATGATGCCTCTTGGTTTCGACAAAGCTGGAGCTTGGAGTAGCCTCCTTGGCGCTTGTCGGATTCAGAATAACCAAGAAATTGGAGAAATCGCTGCTCAGAATCTCATTCAATTGGAACCAAAAGTAGCTAGTCACTATGTGCTACTTGCCAATATTTATTCATCAGCAGGCCTCTGGGATAAAGCAACAGAGGTAAGGAGAAAAATGAAAGAGCAAGGTGTGAGAAAAGAACCTGGATGTAGCTGGATCGAGTATGGCGATGGGGTACATAAATTCGTAGCCGGTGACTCGTCTCACCCGCAAAGCGAAAAGCTCCATGGATATCTGGAGAGCTTGTGGGAGAAAATGAGAAAAGAAGGATATGTACCTGACACATCTTGTGTGCTTCACAATGTAGAAGAAGATGAAAAAGAGGTTTTGCTTTGTGGACACAGTGAGAAGCTAGCAATTGCCTTTGGGATACTTAACACGTCGCCGGGAACGGTCATTAGGGTGGCTAAAAACCTCAGGGTTTGTAATGACTGTCATCTTGCTACAAAGTTCATCTCAAAGATTGTTGACAGAGAAATTATCTTGAGAGATGTTAGGAGGTTTCATCATTTCAAGAATGGAACTTGCTCCTGTGGAGACTATTGGTGAGAGACAAGATACGGAAAAAAGTCTCTTCTCTCTTGACTGTATATCTTGTAAGTGTTGTTGATTCGTGTATTCTTCTTATTATATACTACACAGTTGAGCAAGAAAAGCTAAACTTCGTCACTGAGAAAGCATGATTGCAGAATCGTTTCACAAACTTTTACTATTACTGATTCTCAACTACAGAGAAAACGAAAATTTTGATTTGGTGTCATCATATTTGGTCTCTGTAGTCTATACGTTGATTCTTTATTTGCCACATCTTCTTGAAGGACAAATGTGTTATTATATTTGGCAAAATAATTTAGATAATTTTTTAAACAAAACATAAATAAGTTAAGATAATTGATTTTCTAACTTTTGGTGGTCTGGTCCTACAGATCAGCAGCAACCATCACTCTTTCTTTAGTTGTCTCTTTGTTGTACATATAGAAGGAGATGAGTGATAGTGGTGGAATTCCAGTTCTGTAATCAAACGTAAACAACAAGATAAAAGAAGCAAATAATAAGAAATTTCCAAAAAGGGAGATTGACGAAGACATTTGACCTCCCAGCTCAACGAACAACATCGCTTTCGCAGTTTGCATTGAATTGAAGCATAAGCAACCCTTCAATTCCGACAACAACCGATTTGCAGAGAATCACTGTTATGTTTTCCCGGGAAAGCAAATTACACTAATCCTCGGTATCAATCTTTTGGCTGTGTGTGACTTGATTCAGAGTTTGGTTTCTGGGTTTTGGAGGTTTTAGGGCTTGAATCTGATGTTGGTTCAGGACCGTGTGGCTCCTAAGCCGCCGAAATCTCGAATCAGAGAACTTTCTATTCAGCAACATAGCCACCGATTCGCTGAACCCAAAAACCTAGATTTCTCGTCATGGTTTTCCGACAATGTCTATAGAATTGCTGTCTTCTTCCTCGTCCTCGTCACCGTCGCAGCTTTCTTCTTCCTCTACAACACCACCGACACTGCTTCCCTCCTTTGCTTCCAGTCCCAATCAACTCAATCGATTCAGTCTCTCACTCGTCCTCAAATCAACTGGAATTCGATCCAGATCGTCTCCGACAAAACCTCCCCGTACGCTAATTTCCGTACTGAGAAATGGATCGTGGTGTCGGTGACGAAGTACCCAACGGAGGAGCTCAAGGGTTTGGTCAAGATTAAAGGATGGCAAGTTCTAGCGATCGGAAACTCTTTAACCCCTAAAGATTGGGATCTCAAAGGTGCGATTTTTTTATCTCTCGATGCTCAAGCCGACCTGAATTACCGGATTCTGGATCATTTGCCTTACGATTCCTTCGTGCGCAAAAGCGTTGGTTACTTGTTCGCGATCCAGCACGGTGCAAAGAAGATCTACGATGCGGATGATCGTGGCCAAGTGATCGATGGAGATCTTGGGAAACATTTCGATGTCGAGTTGGTAGGTGAAGACGCAAGGCAAGAACCAATCTTGCAGTATAGTCACGAGAACCCGAATCGAACTGTGGTGAATCCTTATATCCATTTCGGGCAACGGTCTGTTTGGCCTAGAGGTTTGCCATTAGAGAACGTAGGCGAGATCAACCACGAAGAGTATTACACTGAGGTTTTTGGTGGTAAGCAGTTTATACAGCAAGGGATTTCAAACGGCTTACCGGATGTTGATTCTGTGTATTATTTCACCAGGAAGACGACTTTTGAACCGTTTGATATCAGATTCGATGAGCATTCTCCTAAAGTGGCGTTGCCTCAAGGCATGATGGTGCCTGTGAACTCGTTTAACACGTTGTACCATTCCTCGGCGTTTTGGGGTTTAATGCTTCCTGTCTCGGTTAGTTCCATGGCTTCGGATGTGCTTAGAGGTTACTGGGGACAGAGGCTTCTGTGGGAGCTTGGTGGTTACGTTGTTGTTTATCCACCTACCGTTCACCGGTACGATCGAGTCGAAGCTTACCCTTTCTCGGATGAGAAAGATCTCCATGTCAATGTCGGTCGTTTGATCAAGTTCTTGCTTGCTTGGAGATCAGATAAGCATAGATTCTTCGAGACGATTCTTGATTTGAGCTTTGTTATGGCTGAGCAAGGGTTTTGGACAGAGCTGGATGTGAAATTCACAGCTGCTTGGCTCCAGGATTTGCTTACTGTCGGATACCAACAGCCTCGGTTAATGTCACTTGAACTGGATCGCCCGCGAGCAACCATAGGACACGGAGATAGAAAAGAGTTTGTTCCTAGGAAATTGCCTTCGGTTCACCTCGGGGTCGAGGAGATAGGCACAGCGAGCTCTGAAATTGGGAATTTAATCAGGTGGAGGAAGAATTTCGGAAACGTCGTGCTTGTTATGTTCTGTAACGGACCTGTCGAAAGGACAGCTCTTGAATGGAGGTTGCTTTATGGGCGGATATTCAAAACCGTTGTCATTTTGTCCACTCGGAGAAACTCAGATCTTTACGTTGAAGAAGCTAAACTCGATCACATTTACAAGTAATCTAAGAAACTCCTCTGGATCTTAGTTTCAACCTGTTCTTTCACAATGTGAGCGAGCTTTCTAAACTGTGACTCTTGTTATTTCTATTTCAGGCGTCTACCGAAGATATTTGATCGGTACAGCAGCGCAGACGGGTTTTTGTTTGTTGAAGATGATACAATCCTCAATTACTGGAATTTGCTTCAAGCCGACAAAACTAAGCTCTGGACTACAAACAAGGTACCATAGATTTAGTTAAAGTTGAGATTTTTAGTTTCAGTTTGGTTGCATTGCACGTAGTTCAGTATTGGTTTGTTTTTGAGTTTACTCAGTTTGGTTTATTAACATACATGGAGACACTTTTCAGGTTACTGAGTCATGGACAACAGTGAGACCAGCTGGGAATTCGGATTGGTATTCGGTTCAGGCGGAATTGGTTAAGAAAATTGTCGGTACAATGCCGGTTAATTTCCAAGTCAATTACAAGGAAGCCACAAAGAACAGCCATGAAACAGTCTTAACGGTTTGCAGCTCGGAAGTATTCTATGTCCCTAGACGCTTCGTTGCTGACTTTACCGATCTTGTTAATCTCGTGGGGGATATGGATTTGCATTACAAAGTGGCTTTGCCTATGTTCTTCCTGTCGATGGATTCGCCTCAGAATTTTGACCCGGTTCTTGGTTCGATGGTATATAAGAAGATGGAACCAGCTTCGTTAAACACTTCTTTGAGTTTTTATTCTGCGGAAACACCAGCGGTTCATCCTTGGAGCATCTCGAATGAACAAGATTTCATCAAATTGGTACAAAAGATGGCCAAAGGCGATCCACTTTTGATGGAATTGGTATGATTCAAAACATGTAGACTATGTAATAGCTTCAGCAATGAATGATTGTTAGAAACAGGAAATTAAATCATTTGTTTGTGTTATACGAAAATGGGTTAATCGATTCTTTTTTGGCTCTCTTGATGTAACTTTTTTCCATGAATTCCTAGAATGTTCCTTCTTGATGCTACTAGTTTGGAGACGAAATCTAGTTTAGATTAGGGAATGTTTTCTATCAATTAATATCAGTTGTTATAAAATTCATTCCTATAAAAAGGACTAAAACTGTAATTTAAAAAGATTTGGCATACTTCTTTAATTTTCCTAAAATATTTGACCTATTTTACTAATTCTCGCTACTTTAATTGAACAATAGAAGACTTTGAGTCAAACATCTATCCTAGTCTCCCAGAGGAGGACGCGTGTCGTCACATTAGCGTCAATAACATCTACAGTATCAAATATAAACTGTAGCACACAGGATCACTAACTACTCTAACAGAATTATCCCGCCCAACTTCGTCTTCCACCTTTCGTCTCTTGAACAGAGATAGATTCTCATATTCTGGAAATTTCCACTAATCTCTCTCGAAGAAAGTAAGCGATTGAAGAAAAATGCAGTCTGCCGCGTTTAATCTCCTCCTCCTCCTCATCTCGTTTACCGCCATAGCTATCCCGTCAATAACCTCCGCCACAACGATCGGAGTCACCTACTCGAATCCAGCGTCCACCTACAGCTCCATTCCGATATTGCCGGAAAAAATCGCTTCGAAGGTCGTTGCGATGAACTTTCAGGCGGTGAGGCTTCTCGACTCGAATCCGGAGATGATTCGCGCTTTCGCGGACACCAACGTCGCTATCTTACTCTCAATTCCGAATCCGATGATTCCTGTCCTCGCTTCAAATCTTTCGCTCGCGTCGCTTTGGGTGTATCACAATGTGTTTGTCTTCTATCCGCGCACAAAGATCTCAGTGATCTCCGTCGGAGACGACGTGATTTCGTCGTATTCTTCGCCGGACGATCCACCTCTGTTTCTCCTCAGGGCGATGCAGAATGTTCAAAAATCTCTGGAGAATCTGGGAATCTTCAAGATATCGGTATCTACGACGTTCTCTTTCTCCAGCATTATCCCAAACGCTTTCCCTCCGTCATCGGCGAAGTTCGAACAAGGTAACGGAGAAGCGATAATCAGGCCGATTCTGCGATTCCTTGAGAGAACCAACTCATCTTTCATCATCAAGATAGATCCCTACGAGATGTACAGATCCAGATCCTCGACTACAATCGGGTTTGCCATTTTCGAATCTTCAAGTTTCAATTTCAGAGAGGATCTCACCACCGGAGTTAAGTACCATAATCTATTCGACATGATGGTCGACGCTGTGATCAGCTCCATGGCCGTCATGGGGCACGAGAATCTTCCGGTGATTGTGGCGGAGACTGGTTGGCCTAGCACGGGAGGGATTGGTGCGACGCCGTATTACAGTTGGCGATTTTTGCGGTCTTTGATTGGCCACCTGAGACGTGGATCTGGTACACCACTGAGGAAAGGTGGTCCATTAGAGGTTTACATATTTGAGCTTGTTGACAAATATGATCCCGAGCAGCTAGGGACTAGGAGGAACTGGGGACTTCTAGATCACAGCTTGAAAGACAAATATCAGCATTTGGGACTCAAAGACTCGGAGACTATCTTCGCAATCTTATTAGCTCTCTTGACAGTTGGTTGCCCTCTTGCATCTCTCATGAACGCGAGCCACAAGCTTATTGGCTGGTACATTAGGAGGAATGATCCCCCAAGACCCATCAGAAGAAACGTCAGAAGAAACTGAGAAACCTAGCTACATTTTGTTGTTTGAACTTGAAGTCAGGTTTGTTTCCATTTGTTGTTTAGTTAAACAAGAATTCATATGAAATAGCTGCTATATCGAGATATGGAACAACAAGTCCTGGACCCAATAAATTTGGTTTTTTACTAGGAGGCATAAAATTGTCAATACGAGAAACTGGTAACGGCCACAAATAAAAAGCCTTCCAAAAGATTTGTGTTCAAAGGCAAAACAAGTCCAACCTGACTTCAGAATTATGGATATAAGAGCATCTGCATTCATGAGTCTATCAAAAGTCTCTCAACAAATAAATATCGATATAATATAATTCAAATTTATTATTAAATTTTAATTTTAAAAAGGAATCAAACTAATAGCAAAATAATATGGGGTTAAGAGTCTCTTAGACTTGGTGATAGACTACCAATACATATGGTCTAGTTTTCCTCGTCTCCAAGTCACTTTAACAAGGCAGTTTAAAAACAAAAAAAAGCTCAGAAATCATAAGATAAAGTTCCAAATGCAATGGTAACAATATAATAATAATAATAATGACAATGCAAAGAGGGATTCGGTACGTCGCTAATGGCAAGAGATCACTAAACAGATAAAGCACCAATCACAGAATCACTCATAGTGCTGCTGCTTGATTTGGTCTCTCTCAAGTGACATTTATAGGACCGTACAGCCACTGTGATAACATCTGCAATGAGTAGCAAAAGGCAAAACATGGTCCAAACAAAGAGCCAGAGTTTGCCGTTACCGCCCCATGAGTCCACACTAAACTTGCCATATAAACCGCAAAAAACTCCCAGAGAAACGTTAAAAGCTATATCCGTTGTCTGATTTGTTCCTAATATACGATGAATTGTCAAGTACGTGACGACCACGAACATGAAGACAGCGTCATAGATCTGCGACCACACTTTATGCCGGCAAAGAAAGATTGTAAGCTTATATATTATCAGTGGAAATTCCCACCATAAAAAGGTTTCTTCGTCAAAGTATTTGCATATTGAGGTATCTTCTTCCATGAAGCTATGTTGTGAGAAGAAGACGCAAGTCAGAATGTTGAAGACACATACGAAGAGCCAGCCCATGATACTTGTGACGACCATATCGGCGCCGTCTCCTTCTGTATCTTCTTCTAATTCGGTTTCGAATCTCTCATTGGCTCTGATGAATGCAGCTTTCGAAACACCCATCTCTAGCTTGGATGGTGCTTCTGTATCTTCTTCCTATTGATTGTGCTTTCTATTAATTAACTACATTCAATAACAAGTATTTATAGGTTTTAGGGTCTATCCCTAGGACCCTAGGTCGGTCTATAAACAAACCACACAAGTCGTTATGATAAGAATATATCCTAGATACAGATGATGATATTCTCAAATATCATACGAATATATATCCTGATGTAAATAATTTTAAAAATGGTGGACCAAAATAAACATCCGGGAAAAATTAGAATCTTAGAACATAACGAAAAATGACAAATGTGTACAATAATCTATTAAGAAAATATGTAACGAAAAATTTCCCTTTTTTGTACTTTTTCCTTTTTTAAAAGATTTCCAAATTAATAATGCTAACAGGAGTAAACTATTGAACAAAAAAAAATATATAATTCAGAGAAACAAATGTGATGACCCTATTGGTACGGATAAATTATTGATGAGTTTGTGTATTGAGAGATATTCATGTTGAAGATGATACAATTCTCAATTACTGAAATTTACTTCAAGCCGACAAATCTAAGCTATCGACTACATACAAAGATACTCATCAAGTTGCTATGTATCTCGATTCTTGGGGTGGGCGTTTGGTTAGTTTTTGGGTTCATGGGTTTTGGATTTATAAAATAAACCAAACAAAAAGAAATAATTAATTTCAAGAAGATACATTATTTATGTCTTTTTTATGAATTTCATTTTATTTGGTTCGATTTGGTTGCACTAGGTTCGGTTTCTGTAATTCAGTTTGTTTGGTATAATTATGACGTTACCAACTGATTAATTTATAAATGTTTGTTTGGTTTTGGTTTGGAGAGTTTCGATTGGATTCAGAGCCGTGTTTGAGCACAGACTAATGAAGCATGTGTTTCAGGATCCAGAGAAATTAAATAGTTTTTTGGGGTCAATTTTCCAAAGTTTGAATTAGTCCAAGTAGTTTGTAAAGAGGTGAAAGAAGGTTTGGTTAGAGGTTTGACTGGGTTCGATTCTTGCCAAGCATATATCTGTCATTTTTTCTCCTTTTTACCAATTATTTATGGATTAAACTATATTAAAAAGAGTTTTAAGAGACCAATTTTTTTTTCTCGCTTGTAAGTAACGGAATCATGCAGCAAAGAGTATTATAGCTGCAGCAATGAATGGTTGTTAGAAATAGGAAATTAATACATTTGTGTTATACGAAAATGGGTTTATCGATTCTTTTTTGGCTCTCTTGATGTACTTTTTTTTCCATGTAGTCATATAATGTTCATTCTTGATGTTTCTAGTTTGGAGATGAGAGAGTGAAAGACGAAAACTAGGTTAGACTAGGGAATGTTTTCTAGTTTGTTATGAAATTCAGAAAGATTTAATTAACATTTCATACAAAAAGGGCTGAAATTTTAGTTTTAAAAGATTTGGCATACTTCTTCAATTTTCCTATAAAATTTGGCCTCTTTTATTAATTCTCCCTATTTTAATTGTACAAAAGAAGACTTTTAGTCAAACATCTACCCTAGAGGAGGACGCGTGTCGTCACATCAGCGTCAATAACATCTACGGTATCAAATATAAACTATAGCACACAGGATCACTAACTACTCTTAACAGAATTATCCCGCCCAACTTCGTCTTCTACCTTTCTCGTCTCTTGAACAGATTGATTCTCATATTCTGGAAGATTCCTCTAATCTCTCTCTCAGAAAGTAAGCGAGTGAAGAAAAATGCAGTCAAATCTCCTCCTCCTACTCATCTCGATTACCGCCATAGCTATCTCGTCAACAACCTCCGCCACAACGATCGGAGTCACCTACTCGAATCCAGCGCCCATCTACGGCTCCGTTCCGATATCGCCGGAAAAAATCGCTGCGAAGGTCGTTGCGATGAATATTCAGGCGGTGAGGCTTCTCGACTCGAATCCGGAGATGATTCGCGCTTTCGCGGGCACCAACGTCGCTATCTTCCTCTCAATTCCGAATCCGATGGTTCCTCTCCTTGCTTCAAATCTTTCGTTCGCGTCGCTTTGGGTCTACCACAATGTGTTTGCCTTCTATCCGCGCACTAAGATCTCAGTGATCTCCGTCGGAGACGACGTGATTTCGTCGTATTCGCCCGACGATCCTCCTCTGTTTCTCCTCAGGGCGATGCAGAATGTTCAAAAATCTCTGGAGAATCTGGGAATCTTCAAGATATCGGTATCCACGACGTTTTCTTTCTCCAGCATCGTCCCAAAGGCTTTCCCTCCGTCGTCGGCGCAGTTCGAACAGGGCAACGGAGAAGCGATAATCAGGCCGATTCTGCAATTCCTTGAGAGAACCAACTCATCTTTCATGATCAAGATAGATCCCTACCAGATGTATAGATCCAGCTCTTCGATTACAATCGGATTTGCCATTTTCGAAACTTCACGTTTTAATTTCAGAGAGGATCTCGCCACCGGAGTTAGGTACCATAATCTCTTCGATATGATGGTTGACGCTGTGATAAGCTCCATGGCCGTCATGGGACACGAGAATATTCCGGTGATTGTGGCGGAGACTGGTTGGCCTAGCTCGGGAATCGATGCCGGTGAGATTGATGCGACGCCGTATTACAGTGGGCAATTTTTGCGGTCTTTGATTGGTCATCTGAGACGTGGATCTGGCACACCACTGAGGAAAGGAGGTCCCTCAGAGGTTTACATATTTGAGCTTGTTGACAAATATGATCCCGAGCAGCCAGTGACTAGTAGGAACTGGGGGATTCTGGATCACAGCTTGACTGACAAGTATCAGCTTTTGGGACTCAAAGACTCGGAGACTATCTTCGCAATCCTATTAACTGTCTTGGAAATATTTTTCTATCTTGCACTTTTCATGATCGCGAGCCACAGGTTTATTGGCTGGTACATTAGGAGGAATGATCCCCCAAGACCCATCAGAAGACACGTCAGAAGAAACTGAGAAACCTGCATTTTGTTTTTTTTTTTGAATAAGAGTTGATTTGTTCCTCGTCAGAAACTTGAAGTCCGGTTTGTTAAATTTTTCCATTTGTTGTTTGTTAAATAAATGAGTTGATTTGTTCATATGATATGTAGCTGCTATCGAGATATATGGATTAACAAGTCTTGGACCCCCTAAGTTTGGATTTTTACAAGTTTTCCTCATCTACATAATAAATATTAGCATAAGTCTCTCGTTTAACAAAACACTGATTTATTTTCGGCAAACTATATATATGAAAATGAAGACAGACCAAATCTAGACGTTATAGGATTACCAGTAGCAGAAATTGAAAACGGCCAAAAATAAAAGCCTTCCAAAAGAACTGTTACAATGGCAAAAGAAGACCAACCAATTGCCTCCAGCAACTCTGAAATTTGTTTACGGATATAAGTTTCCTCGTCTCCAAAAGTTGGAAGGTATATGGATATAAGTTTCCTCGTTTATGGATATAATATAAAAACTTAAAATAAAAGCATGAGAGGTATCTGGAGCGCAAGCGTGTTCATAGCTTGAGTGTTCGAGTCCCACAAAAAAAACAAAGCAAAAAAAAAAAAAGAATGCAATGGTAACGATAAATAATAATGCGACGGATAAATTAAGCACCAACATAATCACTCATAGTACTGCTTGATTTGGTCCCTGGACCCTATAGCCAATGTGATAACATCTGCAACGAGAAGCAAAAGGCAAAACATTGCCCAAAAAAAAAGCCAGAGTTTGCCGTTACCGCCCCATGAGTCCACAGTAGACTTACCAGGTAAACCGCAAAAAATACCGAGGGAAACGTTAAAAGCTACCATCATTGTCT